ATATAGTTATGCTTTAGCTATCCATGCACAATGCAATCAATCAAGTGAGACTATATACCGCTAAAAGATTGTGTTCTAAACTGGCCCGTTTTACAGCGGATAAACTTTTTACAGAGACTGTCGCGCGACAACCACCTTAAGGCTAATTTTATTTTCTACTTTTTCAGTTCCATGATTTTTTAAACTTCTTTTTTTATAATTAGAGGTATATCCTACAGTAAATAAGTATCCTTAGTGTCCGAACTGAGCAGCTATTAATAAATTTAAGCTCTTTGAGTCATCTCACTTATTTTGGTGGATGCTCAGGTGTATGGGCACCCCCTACCTCGCTTTTCCTTCAAAAAGTAGTTAATTTATAATTAACTGTACGATATTATGAGGCATTTAGAGAAATTCAACGCGTGGTGAAGGATTTTTTTAAAAAGTTTCAAGCCTCACTAGCACTTGATCCGGGGTTCGCGACGGGGACGCGACTGGTACAAACCCCACCAAAGGTCGTCTTGGACCGGTCTACTCCCTTCAGGTATATCCCAGGTATATATTGAGTGCGACTCAATTTTATTCTTTCCTGTGTTTTTGATAGTTATTAAAGTGCATAGTAACTCAGAAAAATTGAAAATTAGATAAAGTAATTCTATATACTATTACCAAAATTTTGATATCTCTTCACGATTGCGAGATATTTCTTTATAAAAATGCAATTTCTAAAGAAGAGAATTCTCAAATGAATAACTATTTTACCCATGTACATGCTCATGAATAAAATGAATATAAAATGTTCGTGCAATTTAATTGACCAATTTATAACTGAAAATTACTGAATATTTACCTCATTAACGATATGAAGAATTTCGTTAATTGGTTGTCACGCAGACGAACGTACGGAGTAACGATTCGACGATTCGGTTAAAATTTCGCTATTTTCATTTTTCACCTCTCATCTAAAATAAAGTGTTGATGCAACATGAATTCTAACACAAAGAATTTAATTTCCAGCGGAAAAAGCATGCCCCTTGAAGCAATTCCAGTGCGACAATGGAAAATGCTTGCCAATGCCATGGGTATGCGACGGCCACGATGACTGCACCGACAATTCTGACGAGAGTCCCACAAAATGTAAACGTGAGTAAAATTCCAGTTTAACGCTATGGAAGTGGAAGAATATTTCACTCCAAACAATAATTCTATTTTAAGGCCCGGGTGGACTATCTATCGAATCTCATCTTTTGTTTAAATTTCATCTTCTTAGCCTAAAATAGATTAAAATTTGGGCTCAAATTTGTGTTACGGAAGCTATTCGAATGATTATAAAAAAATAATGAAAAAAAAGTCAAAATTATTGAAAGGCGCTAAAGAGCGACATTGTTCAAGTTTACAAAGAAATAATAAAAATTACGCAGGTTACCATTGCTCTCCAGAAGATTGAGTGACAGCTAGATGCAATAGTAAGCTACGTATTTTTTATTATTTTTTAGCAAACTTGGTAAATTCTTTTTAAATAATATCGATCTTTAGCGCCCTTCAATCATTTTTCCTCTTTTTTTTCATTATTTTTTCATGTCCATTCAAGTGCTTCCCACAACACAAAATTGACCCCAAATTTTAATGTATTTCAGGTTAAAAAGATAAAATTTAAAGAAAAGTTGACGTTCGATAGATAGTCCACCCGGGCCTTAAATAAAATACTAGTGAATCCGTAAATCCTCCCTCATTCAAAATTCTTCCCTAAATTGTATAAGCCAATTAAACAAATACGAGGAACAAATTATCCTTCACACTTGAATAAATTCATCAGCAACTGGTAATCCGAGTCTTATGTTAATTCTCGTACGATTAGCGACACATTTGTCAACTTAATATTAACATGCTCTTAAAAAAGTGAGTTAAATCATCGGATGATTCCTTCCGAAGTTGACTCGATGAAATATGCAATACCGCACATAAGAACTTTAAGAGGTACAAAACCAACCAATAAAAAACGCCCGACCTGGTGTGGCCTTTTGTAATTATTCATGGATCACTTAACCCGAATTGAAGACCTAAAGAGACCGCATCAAATATTTCAAGTACCTCTTTTCATTCTAATTTGCTTATTGTATTAGTCAGTGAAAAAGGAACATCCAGAGTTTTTTATCGGACATTCTCTCTGCACAGAAAAATTGACATCCTATTCATAAATTTCGTGTATTTCGAGCTCTCAATAACGTTCAAATAATTTGTAGCCATGAGGAAAATACACAAAAATATGTTATCGCGCTTTTTTCAGGACTCAAGGAGATATTTATCCCTGGCGTTCTCTTTGATTCGAGTTATGGAGATTTAATTCTGAAGATTTTCTCGGTACATCGCAATAGTACTCGTTTCATTGAAATTTATAGCCATCAAGGCTAATCCATTTAGTTCACAGTTCAAAGGTGAATTGCCAGAGGAAGATTTCCTCTCTTCAGTAGCGCAAAAATATAGTGCAGCTCCAGTTTGAGTTTTCGAGAAATATCTTCGAATCCATGAGAGATAGAAAAAAATTCTTGGAACTATTTTATTGGATGGAATGCAACCTACAAAGCAGCATGTGCCTGTCTCTCTCGAATTCAAAGGTAGTCTTCAGAACGAAACTACCAGCTAAATCAACTTGTTACTCTTCCCCATTTCGTCGCTGAATTATTCCACATGAATTCTAAGTTTTTATAGCAACTTGCTTTAACCCACTTTAACTTAGTTCATCTAACTTTGAGAGGATTGATTCTTGGACTTCATTACTACGACTATTATTTTATCACAAAAGTCACTCCTCAAATTCTCTAATTTTTTCAATAATCTTATATTTTGACATATTTTTTAAAATTAAAGCGAATTATTTAGTTTCCCAATTATCTTGAATTTATGATGAAGAATATTGAGTGAATTGATCACGTACTCAATAAAAAAAAAAAGAAAAAGGGAATAAATTAATGAAATAAAAAATAACTCAAAAGGAAGGGAAAAAAAAAAAAATAATCCCCCAAGGTGGTCAATCCAAAAAGAATAAACCCAAGAAGGAAATGAACCGGAAAAGAAAATTAACCTGAAAATAAATTGCCTAAAAAAACCTCCCGCAAACGGAACCAAAGGGCCAAAATAAAGAAAAAGAAACCTGAAAAAGAAAAATAAAACAACCCCGAAAAAAGCAAGAAAAAAAAATTCTTCGTTAGAAAAGCAGTTACCAGATTCATTTTCTATCAACAAAATATGATTTAAAAAACATTGAAAATGAATATCTTTGCTTTAGATTGATGGAAAAAACGCGGTAAAAATTGTGAAAATATAGTTTGGCAAGTACGCCCATAAAAAAAAAGAATTGAGGGACTACACCTGGTGGATTTGGGTCTCATATACTTCGCAATATCCGTCTCGGTGATAGCCGACATCAAAATCTTTTTCACCCATTCAAAATCCCGGTAGAATGTCTCAAAGAGTGACGGAAGATTTGATTGAACGGTTTGCAGGGAAAACCTGGGAAAATCCATATAAATTGAAATTTATATCCACTCGGAGACATTTTTCTTCAATTCTTTCGAAGCATCACTGGTACAGAGCGTCTCCCATGCTATTCAATATCAAAGTGTCCTCAGCACGATATCCCAGAAACGATCTTCGGCATTTCCCCGAGCTTTGTGTATCAATTTCCAAGACAATCACATTTTCGATGAACCGATGGGTCCATTGTTGCTGTCATAACTGGCACAGCACTGGATACACGAATCAAAGGAAAATACCGATAAACCTTGGGGTACTTTTAAAGAACGGAACTCTATCTTAATTGTCGTTGGGCACCTTAGTTTGTCTTAAACTACAAGGAGTCTGGGTGGATTCAAGTGAAAACACCTATCCTCTGACAACAATTTACTACCGAGGAATATACGTTCAATTAATTCCTGGAATTCCTTTGAGAGACCCATTACCCGCATCTATCGCTCCTTCAGAGCATCTTCATCTCGACAACTCCTCAGATTTCAATGGAGTATTCAATCGAATGTGTGAGTATTTGGGGATGATGGCTCTCTGCGGGGGCTCGCTGTTGATTGAAAATCTCGCTCAGGCAAATACTGTTTTATTAGTACAGTATCGGTAAATTTTTGTTATTATCTTTCATATCATTCGTTCGGGAGTCAATTCAATAACGTCTAGTTATATTCGACCTTTCTCAACTTGGAAAAATAGGGAGTAAAAAATTCTTCTAGCTAGAAACATATTTGTCAAGGGGAAAATTGTCGAGACTCGAAAGTTTTCTTCAACCACAATTGCATTTTTTCTGTTTCTTAGGGTTTCGGGTTCATGTAAGTCATGAATACGAGTGAAATTCATCAGTTGGTGATGAAAATATTTTAAAACTCAAAAATACTAGATCAGGCCCCTGTTGTTATGCATTTACCATTGCAAATTAAATATGTTATTATGTATATAAATATATATACAGTAGAGTCTCGTTGTAGTCTCGGAAAATCGCACTGTATGCAAATTTAATTTTTTCATAGTAAATTCGAAAACGTAAGAAATTTAATTTTTTGCTTTATTTTTCACGGAATTCAATTCCTCATCACACTGAACAATAGATTGTTTACAATGGATTGTTGAAATCGAAAGATACACGAAAAACGCGAAAGACGAAAGTGTGAAGAGGTGCGACTATATAACGGGATTCTCTACTGTATAATTATATATATAATATATTATATCTTTTTTCGATATATCTTTTAACGGCATTATTTCTGTGAGATAATTGACTACATGAATTCAACAAAAAAAATTATTTTTGAAGCGGAATTAACCGATAAAAAGTATTTGCATAAATTTTGCATGTGAAGTATGAACCTTCCGTCACCTCACATGTTGACATTCGTTCAAAGTACACAGCGCTATATTCAGATTTCAATTGTAGACGATGTCACTCTATCAATAATAGTCTAAACTTTAAATTGAAAAATCTCACGAGACAAGAATAGTTTGCGAAGAGGATTGAACCAACTAAACGAATGAACCAAATTTTCGTTTACCGGATTTAGATTATTTGTCAGTACTCGTCGATATGTAAAGCTACATATGTTCATGATTATTCATTGGATTTTCCGCAAAATCACTGAGGGCTAGAATCTTAATCCCCATGTGAATACGTAAGAGAATTAACAGTGTATCCACCAGAGAGAAGTGTCTAATCTTAATTTTCCCATGGATTATTCAGTTTCTCCGAGATCTGGAGAAAGGAAGGATTATTCGTCTTCGAATAATTCAGTTAGAAAAATGTTTGGGATCGTTACATTATCTAATGAGTTAATGATCTATTCAACGGGACATGTCTGGGGATCGATAGTATAGACAAGTTAATTCTCCTCTGTTCAATATTGAATATTTTTGATGTTGGAAAATAGTTTTCAAGATTTTGAAGAAAAAATGGAGTGAAGAATATGTTTTGGAATTAGAAAATGGGAAATGATCTTCCTTTTTGAGGTTTTTTGGAGGATTTATGTAGAGATTTCATTTTTTTTTGTAACAATCATCTTTCTCCCCGTGAATTTGCCAAATCGATGTTTGCTCCTTCCCTTCTAACACGATCGTAAAAAAAAGTATAGTGCGCATATTCTCCTCTGTCTCTGGAATGATCTGTATTATCCCTAATTCTGCTGTACCATTGTAGCACTATCGATTGCAGGCATGTGCCCCTTGTTGTAAGATTGCCGTTCTACTCTTGCCTTCTATTCTGCCTCGAACCCACGATCTCATATCGTTCAAGGAGATGTTCTTCGCCAAGTTTGAAAGCAAATACGTAATTTAATTATCCATCTGCAGTTCACAGAATTCAATCCAACAAGAATAAAGCTCCTCATTGAAAATTGAAAGTCTCATTGAAACATATATTCATTGGACATTTAATTGGGGTTGCATTGAAAGCACATGGCGATTTAATATAAAATATATTTCAAATAAAATCATGCGCACTGGGAAGAAAAATTAATTTCTAGGTTCAAGTTCATCATATGGTAGTGATATTTCGTTCTACCAGGAAAAATTCCTTCATTCTGGGAACTCTTAATCCTTTATTTAGTTATCTTTTCCTTTGAAAAAATAAGCTTTCATTTGATTATAATGGAAATTTATACCAAAATTCAGATGCAGGTACATACCTTAATTGGTCAAATGAAAGAATCAATCATTTATTTTTTATTAATAATCACGTGGATTTTTCAGACGCTTCTCGAATGAAAGAACTTAATTATAGATAACTAAGTGATTTAATTATTTACTCTAGTTACTTCCCGCTTAAAAATAGAATGGTCTATAGAAATAAGGGCAAACGTAACTTAATTCAAATGGAAAATCATCAGTAAGTTAACACAAATATTCAAGAAATTTCCCCGGATTTTTATGGATTCGTCACAGGAATGAACTTTATTCTAGAATTGTAGGTTTTTTCTATTCCTGTGTAAATTATGAATTTTAAATACATTGCTTCCACGTCCTGCGACCTGGCCTCTGACCCCAAAATACGAGAATGTACTTTGCCACGGGTGTTGTCAGGAAACTGGTGGAAGCTACAAGAGAAACTTTGGCTTCATGACAAAGCTCCCTTTATAAACTCTGAAATCACTGTGAACTCCTGTGATGTCCTCCCAATTTCTTTCGAGATAATGAAAATTAACAAAGTGGGATTCTCTTGTATCTTCATTCCCATCTCGTACACGATAATTTCCTTGTCCACTCTCCATCTGAGCAAATTTCTACACAAATTAACGAATACTATTTAATATTACTGGCGACTGAGTATGATGGAATAGTCAGGATCAGACTAGCAGAGTCAAGTAATTCTCAGTATTAATTATCCTTTCTTATTTATTATTCTCATTTCTGTTGGATCGAGTATGAATATTCCACAACAGATGAAACTTAAAGGGAAATCGACAATTTATAAAAGTTCAATCTCCACAATTAAAAAAACTTGAACGACTTTGGAAATTTCATTCTTGCAAGATTTATATATATAGTCTTCAAAGAAAAGAAAAAAAAATAAAAGTCAAGAAACTAATTTTTTATTTAAATGCAAGAGCTCGAGGGACTCATAAGGTATAGAGATACAAAAAATAATTTTAATATGCTTCCAATAGGAGTGAAGTTCAATCTATAAATTTACAGATATCCTGCATTATCGATCAGTCGATAAATGAGAAAGTTCTAAACTGCTCGATTGTCTATTTTTAAAATATTTAATTAGGTATCAAATCAATTGTCGAGAATAGAACCAGCCAATAAAATTCTAGAACTTTAATAGCAAATAAAAAATTATCGCTTGAATTGCAATAACGATTTGCCGAAGTGGTGGCGCCACAAAGTGACTTAGTGACGTACAGTCCCTCATTGCATCCAGCTGATTCCAAGTGAGTCGGTGTATAGTTCTTAAAAATCCAGTGACTCGGTGTAAATTGCGAAGTTACATTGATTCTTTTTAAAAAAAGCCTCTAAAACCGCGTTATTATTTTGAAACTATCGGAAAAACAACGAGTAAAGTGCTGCAACTCATTGAACAAGAAAACAACGTTCATAACCTGCAATTGCTCCAGGATTCGCACACCCCAACTCAAGAATCGCTAAGAAATTCACCACAAACAAGACACCATCCCCCAAAAATTACAAAAATTACAACTATTTGTACAATAGAATCAGTCAACAATCGAAAAGTGATGGTCTTCAATCACAAGCAAATGCTAAACCCACGAGACCCAATAGTGACAATAAGTGAACGTTTTGCACAGTGGAGACAAAATAAAGTGAAACATCCACTAGTGACTACTCTCCACTAGCCCAAAATTGGCTCAAAGCATTGAGTTCATTGAATTCATTGAAAAATTCTATCAAGAATCCCTCCACTCTTATTACATCTTGTACAGTCAGAGCCTGTGTTAAAGTTAATTACTTAACCTCTCAATTATCAGTGTGAGAAAATCTTAAAACAAATCTCAGAGATTTTATAACAAATCATAATTCAATAATTTAATTTCTTCAAATCGCTCAACCTCTTGCATTGATATATAACATTAATCATTAATTAAACAAAACCACTCAACAAGTTGGGTAATACAACATAATTTAATAATCTAATTAATTAAAATGAGATTAGTGGATTCGTCGAAACTCAGTGAACTTCAATATAGGCCATCACATATACGGAATATTTGCATTCTGGCACACGTGGACCATGGGAAGACGACATTAGCAGATTCCTTGGTAGCTTCCAATGGAATCATCTCCAGTAAGCTAGCAGGAAAGCTTCGGTACTTGGACAGTCGTCCTGACGAGCAGCAACGAGGGATCACCATGAAATCTAGCTCGATTGCCCTTTATCATATTCACCAGCAACAAGAGTACCTGGTAAATATCATCGACTCTCCAGGTCACGTGGATTTTGCCTCAGAGGTGTCAACAGCTGTTCGTCTGTGCGACGGTGCTATCATCGTGGTGGACGTCGTGGAAGGTGTATGTCCTCAGACTAGATCAGCATTATCAATGGCATACGTGGAGAAACTCAAAACAGTTCTGGTTCTGAATAAAATCGACAGATTGATAACAGAAATGAAACTGGAACCTTTAGATGCTTATGTTCACTTGAATCAGGTTCTTGAACAAGTGAATGCTGTTATGGGAGAGATATTTGCCAGTGACATCATTGAACGAGAGGAGAAAGAGGATATTAATGATCAGCAGATGTTGCAAAAAACTGATGGCTCCAGTGATTGGCAGTCTGCTATTTTGGAAACTGATGATTCGAATCTTTATTTCTCTCCAGAACAGGGAAATGTCCTATTCACTAGTGCAGCTGATGGGTGGGGATTTGGAATTTCTAATTTTGCGAAAATATTCTCGGAGAAATTGGGATTCAATGAGAAAATTCTGCTGAAAACTCTCTGGGGTGATTATTATCTCAATATGAAGGCGAAAAGAATATTCAAAGGTGCACAGGAGAAGGCGAAGAAACCTCTGTTCGTATCGCTGATATTGGAAAATTTGTGGATGTTGTACGATATTGTGACTGTCAGAAAGGATAAGGAGAGAATGATTAGCATGATTGAAAAGTTGAATATTGCATTAACGACTAGAGATTTAAAAGCTACTGATGTAAAGACACAACTGCAGGCAATCTGCTCGCAATGGTTACCACTATCGAAATCGTGCCTTGATATAATCTGTGATAGAGTTCCGGCACCTCTGGAACTTTCCCCAGAGAAGATCGAGCGTCTCATGAGCGGAAATTCCGAATTTTCTGCTCTGCCTTTACAAACACAAAATTTAAAAGAAGCTTTTTTGAAATCTGACTCTTCTCAACAAGCTCCCATAATAGCTTTTGTTTCAAAAATGTTTCCAGTGGAACGTAAGATGTTACCAGAATTTAAAACGAAACCATTAACACAAGAAGAGTTGGCTAGACGTCGAGAAGTTGCAAGACAACGGCATGCCTTTAAATTGGAACAAGAGCATAAGCAGGATTTGCCCAGGAACGAAAACCCAGAAGAGCCTTCATCGTCTTTATTATCTCCAACTTCTTCAGTACCCCCAAAAAATGTAGAAAAAACTGCAGATCAGATGCCAGACCAAGTCCATGAGACTATCAATGAGAATCCTCTGATAGCTTTTGCAAGGGTCTACTCCGGAACACTGACAGAAAACTGTGAAGTTTTGATTTTAGGCCCCAAGCACAATCCTCGAAAAGTATTGGAAAGAAAGAGATCGGGGGAGCCAATCGATCCTGCTAAATCTTTGAAAGATCTCAAGTCGGGCTGGTACGTTACTAAAGTGAAAATTCCAAAGCTTTATTTGATGATGGGCAGGGAATTAGAAGCAGTTACATCAGTCCCAGCTGGAAATGTTCTAGGTATTGGGGGATTGGAAGATCATGTACTGAAGACAGCAACAATTTCTACAGACATCATGTGTCCATCTTTCTCAGAACTCACTTCCTTGTCTGATCCGATTCTTCGAGTTGCATTGGAGCCGAAACATCCCAATGATCTCCAAACTTTGATCAATGGATTGAAGCTACTGAATCAAGCTGATGCCTGTGCTACAATGCACATTCAGGAAACAGGAGAGATTGTTTTAAATACTGCTGGGGAGGTGCATCTCGAGCGATGTCTGGAGGATCTCAAAACGAAGTACGCCAATGTCGAAATCAATGTGTCAGAACCAATAGTCTCATTCAGAGAGACAGTGGTACCACCTCCAACAGTCGATATGGTGAATGAGGCGATTGAAAGGAAAAGTGACGAAGCAATGCTCGAGTGTTGGACGGCTAATCGTCAGTGTTGCTTTGAGATTGATGCCACTCCATTACCAGAAAGAGTTACCAAATTGATCGAAAATAATTCAGAGTTGATAAGGGAGCTGGATTCCCATTGGGAAAGATTTGGAAAGGAGAGTGATCAGTTGAATCTGGGGGGTTTGACGTTGGAGGAGATGCAGCTTGGAGATAGAAAAAAAAAAGCTATCGAGGGATTGAAGCAGGGATTAAAAGCAGCTTTTGACGAGGCTGGGTGGGAAGATGTACTGGATAATATCCTGTCGTTTGGCCCTAGAAAATGCGGACCCAATATTCTGCTTAATAGAACGGATTACAAAAGAAGAGCAATCTGGGAGTGGCAGTTCAAGGGATCAAATGATCCCAGAGCTGCCTTCGACAGCAGCATGATAAATGGCTTTCAATTAGCTACACTGGCAGGACCTCTCTGTGAAGAGCCCATGATGGGGGTCTGTTTTAGTATAAAAAAATGGAAAATTCATGATGATAAATTATTAAGCGAAGGTGAAGGAAGTCATGGACATTTAGGTGGTCAGTTGATGTCTGCGTGTAAAGAAGCGTGTCGTCGTGCCTTAAGTCTGAGAAGACCTCGATTAGTCACTCCAATGTATTCTTGCAGTGTTCTTGTCAATTCTGATGTCCTTGGGAAGTTATATGCAGTTTTTGGAAGGAGACAGGGTCGCATTATTGCGGCTGATAGCACTGGATTTGGGGGACAGTTTCGGGTGCTTGCCACACTTCCTGTACCGGAGAGCTTTCAATTAGCCAGAGAATTAAGGACTCAGACATCCGGTTTGGCAAGTCCCCAACTTGTTTTCAGTCATTGGGAGGTCATTGAGCAGGATCCCTTCTGGGTACCCTCCACCGAAGAGGAATATCTTCATTTTGGTGAGAAAGCTGATAGTGCAAATCGAGTGAAAAAGTACATCGACGCTGTGAGAAGACGGAAAGGACTCGCTGTTGATTCACAGTTGGTTACACGTGCCGAAAAACAGAGAACTCTTTCAAAAAAGAAATGAATCGTTGATAAATGAAAAAAAAACAATCAATCAATCATTTGAACTGTCAATGAATATTCCAACGAATCAGCTTCATCAGTCATTTTGTGAAGCTCGTCCCGGGGAAAAACCTTAATGTCGATGACAAGTGCATTGATGTTTTGATGGTGCTAATGGACACACCAACCAAGAAGATGGCGATAATTGTATAAATAAATAAAGGAATTAATAGTAAAGACATTTAATTTTTCTCAATTCATTGAAATTTACCTTTAAATTGCCCAAAACACTCTCATACTTCTCTTTGCAGAGGAATTAAGTTAAATCCTTTTTTCTCTTTTTTTTTATGGTGATTTGCATTACGCAGGGAGAAATTATACAGAAAAATTCGTGTACAGCACTAAAGAAGAGAGGAAAGCGACGACAAGCTAAAAATTCTAGTGCTGGCAGTTTTCCGTATTTCAGTGAAAAAAATTCGGTGAAATCCGAGGAAAAAAATCATAAAAAAACTACTGACAATAATTTTTCCTTTATCCTGGATGTTTTTTTTGTAAAATTTCTCTCACTGTATTTTTTATCTCGAGTGGAGTGAATCTCACCAAATAATTTTCTCCGTGCCCTTTAAAAAACTCCATTAAAAAAGAAAATAACGAGCGCGAGGATGATGAAATATCGAGGACGAAATGCGAAGAAAGCGAGTTTTTTAAAATCTTTTTTTTATTCATTACTTCCCATGGCGTTTCGGTTTATTGGCTTCGGGGAAGTGCATCGCGCAGCCTCCGACAGATCTTGCATCAGATAAAAATGCGTCCGTTGGAAATACCACGCCCTTTCCCTTTTCCCCTTAGTGGCTTGGTGGCTGGCGCCACGTGAAGATTTTTTTTATCCTTGTCGTTCATTATTTTCTCACATTTTAGTCCCTCCTCTAACAATCGTCACTCACCGATACAAGGCCTGGAATATATGATATTGCATCAGGAACACGTTGGCCTGACCATGTAATTACGGTGAAAGCCACGGTACCAGCACAATCCAGAGTGCAAGCGTTTGACGTATAACACGTGAGAGGACATGATCAGGACATATTGAAGGAATCAAGCGGGGCTGTCATTTAACATCACATCTAACTATATCGAAGCATAATCGATCCAGTGGCTCTCCACTCAGTCGATACTTTACTCTAAGTCAAGTCAATTCAATTCTATTTAATTCGATTTATTTAACTGGAAAATTTTCCTGAATTTCACCCTTTCCTTTTTTCCAATTTTCATCAAATTTAGATCTTTATTTGAACTTTTTTTTGGCTCGAAGAGAATCATTTATTTATTCCATATAATGCTTACTCGATATTTATTGGATCATTGAGGAGGTGAACTAAATGATTGAGCTGGAAGGATTATAAATTTTAGTGATACTAGAAATTTTTCAGAAAAATTGCCGTGTTGGTATGCACTGAGAGGAAAAAATTGTTTCTGCCAATTAAATTTTCTCTCGCCGAAGAAATTCGCTTGAGACAAGAATTTAAGTGGAGATTTTATGGACACATTTTAGGCATTTAGTTGTCCCAAGTGTATTTACTTGGTAGAAAGAATGGAGAGAAAAATTGGATGAAATTGTCGGGAAAATGGTGGAAAATTTTACTAGAGGAAATATAATCGTCAGGCTAAATACAATACAATTAAAATTCCAGTTGATGGAGAATATTTTGTACGAAATAATTAAAATTATAGGGGCCAATGGACCAATCCTTTCGATAATCTTTATTTTGTCTTCTCAACGAAATAGAAAAAATAATTAAGTAATTACTGGAAAATAACGATTAGATTTCAATATTGATTATCAATAATATGGGGATCATTATTGCTTTATACGTCGTAGTGAATCGGTTCGAATGGCCTAGATGAAAAAATAAATAAAAAGGCCTTAGACAGGAATTTCCCTCTGCGTTGAGACTTCCGAGGCAAGTTTATTTCGTAAGAAACTCGAATTTACTGGATTTTGCAGCGTCTTGATTTTCATCTATATACTTGCGTAATTATTGTAATTATTATACCCTCACTTATTCGATATACCTTCGATTAAATCGATCCCTACAAGGTTAAAGTACAAGCGATTCTTTATAAAAAAAAAAATCATATGTTCTGTCGATTCAAAATTTCATCATTTTTTCCGGCACCAATGAAACAAATGTATTTTTTAAAAATTGAATTGAATATGAGTAAAAAAACACTTATAAAAATATATGAATATTTTTTTCGAGCATTCAACATTTCCAGATTTCTTAATTAATCAGTCATATTTTCGTCAACTTACATCCGGATGTCGCGACTTGGAATATCCTGACAATAAAGATAACATTACGAGTATATAATGTCTTAACTCCGTACATAAGCCATATAATCCTGTAAATAAAGGACAGGTCTTGGCATGACAAAGTCGGTCGACAAGTCTCCGTTTAGGATAATCCGGTGAGCGAGACAATTTAGAAAAAGAAAATCCTCAGTACAAAAATAAACGGAGAGGTGCGCCTGCGTGTGTACAACAAACAACACGGATTACTTGACATAAACTACATCGTGTGCAATCGATACGATATTTGGTTCGTCAAGGCATTTGTCCTTGCACTCGAAACACAATGACCTCTCGTGCACTTCTTCAAAGATCATGATGCAATGTTTTTCATCAATCCATCAGCCGTCGATGCGCATGTTTTATCCATTATAATTATGGAAATGTAGTTAACAATTGATGCACATGATTGAAGATAAGATTGAATTGAAAACACTCGACAAAAATGACGCAATTCATGAAATATCTTGGGAGAAACGAATAAAAGACAAATTAATGCACTCGCATCTGAAATCTCTACTGCAGAAAGTGGAAAAATTACTCCAGCCACAGGATTTGCTGTTAAATCTTATCCAACGTGAAACTCATTCTCTATTTGTATGCGATTTATATTGACGTTGAAATTGAAATAATGCATACGATGAGGAAAATTCAACGTTTCGCCCTTGGGGTTTTTTTTTTGCTAATTCATTCTATTCAATTCCAAGCCTCCAACTGAGAATAAACTATTGACTGTGAAATCTGGATACTCCCTTAAGGCGAATTCAGTCCTTCTCTTTGATTCCTAGAAATTCAATGATAGACATTCGTGCAGAAGACGACCTACAACAATTGTACAGGTCAAGGTACCGGAATTATACAGAAAATCGATAAAAGCCTTGCACATTTCAAATGTTGGATTGCACAGCGAAATCATTTTTTTTTGTGTTACCAATTTTTATTTCAACCAAAAGGAATATAATTCTCCCCCGGAGTTTCACGAGTCGACGAATTTTTTTATAGTATTCGGTTGCATTTTCTTTGTGAGAGAGAGGATATGAAGTTTCATTCGTATTGGATTTCTCGGGATTAATTTGGAACTGGAGGGAGAAGGCTAATGACTTGATTTCGGCTGTTTTTATAAGTCAGAAGTTGAATTTTCAAATTTTTCCAAGAATATAATATTTAATCAATATTTTAATAATATAACAGTTAGTTCGGATTTCCAATGATTTTTACTTTAGCAAAGTGATTCGATATCTTTTGGAAGAAATACGTAAATTATTCACCTAGTTATCCATCATTGAATTCTTTTATCCGAGATATATTTGACATAAATAATCGAATCGCTTTCATTTATTTCAAGGGAGAAACTAATTATTATCAGGAGTTTCTAGAATCAAGGGATTTTTCCTGAAAGTGAGAAATATCTGTTTCCTATGATAAGCTTGATCCTTGAAATTATTTTTTGCTGTTTGCATGATTTTATTTGAAATATATTTTTAATTAAATCGCTATGTGTTTTCAATGCGATTCCAATTAAATGTCCAATGAATAGATGTTTCAATGAGACTGAGGAGCTCTATTCTTGTTGGATTGAATTCTGTGAATTGCAGATGGATAATTAAATTACGTATTTGCTTCAAACTTGGTAAGGAACATCTCATTGAACGATATGAGATCCCAGGCTCCAGAGGGTGATTGAAGATAAGAGTCTAGAGCGGCAATCGTATGATGCCGATAATTCGACTCTAATTCATTTTAGGCTGCCGTTAAAAAATTAGTACTTCAGTCATGAGATTTAAAAAAGTAATTTCTTCTAATTGATTATTCATCTTGGACATGAACAGTGTCCAGAGAATCACAGAATTATAATATAAGTCAAAAAATCTGTTATGAAACGTTGATATATTTTATATTTTGCAGATCTATTTCACTTGACGGAAATTGAGTGACATTTAGAAAATATATAAAATTATCAGTAGAAAATTGTCAGTTCCTGTCCTCCACTCTTCAATGTCATTCGTTACAAGCCAGTGATTATTCTCGTTATCAATTCCCACTCATTACCAGATTGAAATAGTAACGGAAAATTAATTCTATCAATTAAACTTCCTCATACCGAGCAAATTTATTTGCGACCGGAAATGAAATGTGCATTTTCAAAAAAACTCACATTTTATTATTCAGAACATTTATTTTCATTGATTAATTTCATTTCATTGAGCGATTTTGCTGGAAAACGATAATGGATATGATATTAAAATTTCGACTCATTCTCACCCCGCCAATCAACTTTCGGAAAAACTGAATAAAACAATGATTTTTTATCGCGAATACAAAACTAGGAAAATAGGGGAAAAAAAAACTTTTTCGAAGATGAAATTTCCATGCATTCTTCTATGATCCATGATAAAAACTCGATAAAACCGATAAGATCAATTTGTTGATGCAAAATCTCATGATGACCCAATAATACCAATATCAATTACTGTAATAATTAAAAGCGGTCTGCAACCTATCAAACTTAAGAAAAAAATTCCAGAAATTCGAGAATGAAGTAACCAGTGCGGGATCCTTTTTCACCATCAATAATGCTGGAAATAATTTTACCCTGCAGCTAAAAATGTCAAAAAACCATTAAAAAAATAGCTTGCACTGTCCTCTCACTTCCCTCTACCGATTTTTCTCGCGAGAGGAACCTGTCAATCCAGAAAGGAACCACTCACCCACGAGGCAATTCGCTAATCCCTGGCTTCATTAAATACCTCGAAAATGGTATGTAATGACGGGTTCACCAATACACTCCCATTTTCCGTGGTAATTCATTCGACCAAATAATCTCCGATGATGTGCCCCTGAGGTAGAGGGGGATAATGCCCACCTGTGATAAACCATGCGATCTGATTCGCGCACTTACACACACTAACCACTCACACTCATCTCATGTTAACACATATGTACCATAGCTATATATAAGCCAGGATAGCGCACATCGAGCGCTTACAGCTTTCGTCGACGTCAACCGATCATCATTCACTCCAAAGAGAGAAAAAAATAATTTTTTTCTAAATCTCCGATAGATCATCGGTCGAATAAATTGATAACCGCAACATGGTGCTATAATTATCGTGACTGTGATCAAATGATATTAGTTTTTCCGTTTGTTTTTCCACCCAAAATGATTAGCAAGAGACTCGGTTTCACCAGTATTTATATCATTCTGTGCTCATCGACACTGGTGATTAGTTTTGGAATCGATCACTCAATTAATGATGATTATTCAACAGCTGAATCCTGCAAGGACACGGAATTCAAGTGCAAGAATGGAAAGTGTATACCAGGATCTTGGCACTGTGATACGGAACCTGATTGCTTTGATCGCTCTGATGAAGACCCTGCTGTTTGTCGTAAGTTTTTATTATCGATAATCTGTTATTATATTATATTTTAATAGACAAAATGTTATTTGTTTAAATGGAGTATATGAGTTTATCGTCGATAGCGAGAAGGTCACACTTTTTTTTTCACATTACAAACTCTGTCTGTTGGCCTTCCCTTTACTTTAAATGAATTTCCCATCTCATTATTAATTGAATATTTCCAATTTCAAATTTCCAATTTCCAATAGCGAAATAAGAGGGATTTTTGTTGAAACTCAAATATAATGAGAAGAGCCTTCTCTTTTGACAAGATTTTGAAATGATTTTGAAATGATTTTGAAATGATTTTGAAATGATTTATAAATTTAGTGATTTGTGGAATTACCATTATGATGCATTATTGATGGAGTGAAATTGCAAGTGTAAGTCAAATGTCAAATGTCGTGTCGATCTATTGGATTTGCATGGAATAGGAGGAGTTGAATGGGTTGAGGGTTAACGATGGCAGAGGCCAATCGAGCGATACTCAAAGTTGAGACCCCACGTATACCTGTACATGGAAGTTATTTTCGCAGTAATTTTCCCAGTTCTATCAAAACTCTCTGGCTCGACATGTGTACATAGAGAATTGAATTACAAGACACGCATTTATGCCCTTATGCGGACGTTCGGGCTTTCGCGAGTCACTCTTCTGTTCCCATTAAACTCGAAATTCAATACGTACAGAATAATTCACTCTGGAACCCCTTCTTGCTTTTACTACTCTATTTTACCACGTAGTCGCAGCGTGTGTTGCATTTACGTGGTAATATTTTGATTTTCATTCGTACGTACTCAATTTTTTCTCCCTTGCCATTCTGAATAATGTATGCTTAAGTTTATTTCTGAATTCTATGAATATTTTCACGTGACGATTTAAAAAAAAATTCATGTAAAAATTCATTTGTGGGAGATGCGCGTGATGATGGGGAGTACGGTATGTAAATTAGTACTGATAGAGTCATAATCAGTGGTTTCAGACGGAAATCGTCGATAGGTTTTACCATTTTTGCATTGTTAAACACAAGGAAATTGTCAATGTTTGGAAATCGTTGAAAAATTCCCCACAGTACAGATAATTTTTCACACTTCCTCCGGCTTCAAAATAATATCCAACGATTCAGGGAATTTAGCTGAAAGCAATTTCATACGGAGCGAAAATCGTGTCACTTTTAATTTCGCCAAGAATCTAATGCTATTTCAAATTTTCGAGCAACCGGAACATGAGAATTCTTCATCTATTTGAATTTCCAATGAAAATATGAATATTTAGTACGAAATTTCACTGAATTTTCATTTGCCTGAAAATCAATTGATTAATTGAAGACCTTCCACAACCTTATACAGCAGAAATTCACGTTTTCTTTTTCATTTTTTGGCATATTATTAAGGGCATTGATGTAGAAAAATTCAATTATAAAAAACGCAGAAAACTGTTCGCATCATTTTGAAACATCGTGAATCATTAATGAATGGCAAAATGCAAAAACGTTTTATTTTTTCACGTCAATCCCATAGTAAGTTTGCTAAAAGTGAAAAATGAAAAAACCTTAATTTTCGCTATATGTGGATGTAGAACACCCAAGTGTAATTAATTTTTTGACAATTCATTTGTTTGTTTAATGGAAAACTGAGAAATATAGTAATTTTCAATGGCGGCTCATACTACTAAACAAATTTCAAAACATTTCAACAAACTATTTTTTTTTTAATCTTTACGTCACGTCTTCTTAGACCCAGTGGCTCCAAAAACAATTAACTAATTCTCACATGTTAATTCATTGAGTATTGTTGAATTACACCGTATAACTGACACCATCGGTTAATACTTTATGACTACTCCCCAGAATTATTAATTCATTCTAACAAGATTAATTGAAGAGAAACCATCCGATGTAATTCCCAATCGAATTGGTGTTGTAATGACGTAATTTTGCTCAAAGTTGCAAGCGAAAAAATCATCTCCGCGAGAAAAAAAAATCCTCAGCTTTTTCTCCAGAAGTCCCTCATTTCGAGACGAATGCGCAATCAACAACTGCAGAATTGACCTAATTACTTCTGAGTAAATTCCTCTCTTTAATTTTCTGTCCGCATCATCAGTGATATTGCTACTCTGATTGTAATCGAGATGTCTCTAAAAACTGGAATTCTATTGAAATCGATATCTGAAGGTCTGCATAATTTTCCCATTATCAATAGACTCTGAAAAAAAAGTTGGAGAAAAAAAAAATGAAGTGGCACATGCTGGGCAGACTATTGCCGATAATTGCTCTAGTATTACGATGTAATTGAGATAGGGCAGATCTGATATCCTCTGACCTTACATGCCAAGGATAATTTCCTTTTTTCATGAAATACCCAGGCTTTAGTGGGATTATACGTCAAACGAGTTGATGAAGCAGGTCGTTGTATATGAACCTATCGATCCTGCATGCTAAACAATTCGTGTGGTGTCATGGGTCGTTTGCTCTGTACGTTTCAATTTTCTCGATTGGGAATAAACAGTTCCAGTCTAATTATCATCCGAATTGATCACTCTTTTTCGACGTGATGCAATTAAATGAAAATTCACTGAACATTTTTATTATATTCACTATAACCCAAACGATAATTTCAATTATAGATTTATTTACATTTCAGGAAAATTATAGGACAGTGTCACGTTAAAATTCTCGTAATTAGAGGGGTGAGGCTTTTGAGGTTGACTTTTATTTTTGTAAAATGTCAAGTACCTGGGGTCTGAATTATTCAGCTGTGAGGACATGGTGCATTGGCCATTCGATGAATTATAAATTTAATGAGTATCAACCAATTATCCAGTAGTCGAGAGCGTGGTTATTATATTGTTCTTATATATTCAATTAATTTAATCATGCAAGCCTATTAATAATTAAATGACGAGTGATTGGATATTGGGAGCCAAAATCGCAAAGTTATTACGTCAATTATTTATTTATATATGAGAGCATATATGATAGCAAATTTAGGAGTTTGCTAAAAATAAAAAATTCAGGTGTTTCGACTCATGAGTCCATCTATTTAGGGATTTTGTGAGGGATATTTCTCGTATTCGCGAATCCTGGATCACTCTAATAATGCATTTCTGGCAGGCAAATCTGTAATTTTATTTCAACTGTAAATCGACAAATGAAATTACACAAAAAATATAACTAGATGAATTATTCAGTGATACGAGGCTCAGATAATTCATCAAATGAAAAATGTGAGATTTTAATGGAATTTCAATTACTGAACTCATTTATTCTGCCCTGGCGTAATTAATTTTTTTCTATATTCTTACATACTCGATCACTCCAGTTGTACATTCCTGTCAGAAAAATGCACAATAACTCTCAACTCCACGATTTAATTCATTGAATTAATTAAAAAATTTTATGTTACCCATAAATTAATGAACACTATTATATAACAAATTGAGAAATAGGCTGCATGAATTATTCAGTTATTATTCTGCAAATGAATGATTATTAATATATTAATTGATACACCCTATAAAATATTATATACTGTAAAATTGCATTATAGTCGCTCTCGTTATAATCGCACCTCTTCGCAATTTCTTTTTTCGTATATTTTTCAATTTCCTGACTCTATCACCTCCCTCGCTACAAGATGTAAACAATCCATCGTTTCGTCCGGTGAAGATTTAAATTTCGTGATGAATAAAACCGACCAATAAATTTCTTTCGCATTCGAATTTGATATGAAAAAATTCAGTTTACAGTGGCAGCGAGCGAGTGATGGGAGTAGTTGCATATAGTCAGGTTCTTCGAATTCGCTTCTCCTCCAGCCCAATGCACGCGATTATAACGAGACTTTACTATACATTTTTTCCATCATCACAAAGACAAAAAGTCTTGGCATTGAAAAAACTGTCTTGATCCTATGAAATTTGTCATAGAACTACAGCTCTTCATTACGAAATTCGATGAAAAAAAAATTCAGTTTTAGACTGTATAAAGTTGCTTTCGACTGTCATGTAGCTTTTTCTCTCTGTGACTGACTGCAGTTCTCAATGAAAATAATTCCGGTCAGACCCTGAATTAATATTAAAAACCCCCAGAAGTAGGTAGAAACTGCAGCGAGACGCAGTTCCAGTGCAGCCCAGGGGAATGTATCCCAAATTCATGGGTGTGCGACCATCAACCGGACTGTAAAAACAACTTGGATGAGAAGAATTGTCACAGTAAGTTGAAAAATTCCAGAGACATGTTGAAAAGCAAGACTGGATACGATGAAGAACTGCGGATCAGACAAGCCCTTAACCAGTCCAGAACTAATTTGCATGATTTCTCCATCCAGGAAAACAATCTCCATCGTCGTAATGCAGCAATCACCAACAGAATAGAATAAATCAATCATAAAAATCAAGCAAAAATAATGCCTCCATGGTTATTAACTGTCGTACCATTAACTAATTTGTAGGTGCCAAGAATTGCACAGCGGAGCAATTCACGTGTCGTTCGGGAAACGGTGAATGCGTTGCATTGTCTTGGATGTGCGACGATAGTCCAGATTGCTCTGACGGCTCTGACGAGGCTGACTGCAGTAAGCTGCTTAATATGCATCAGCACGAGTGCATTGTGCCTTATCCATCATCCCTTAATCCCATAATTGACACGAAAAGACGTACTCTGCATGTCTCAAGTCCTTAACAACCTGAAACAATTATGCATGCATTGCTATTGATCCCCCCAGGGTAAATCCCCCAGTACTTGAGCCATTTCCAGGTCCATTTATTCACCTCAACAATGTCAGATCCAACATTTGTAATCCCCAATGTAGAGACAACCTGAAATCCTCAACCCTGACCCATTAATTATCCTCATAAATTTCATCTACCTCACCTTTCATGCCGCCACTCCATTCTCACTTCCTCTGCTGAATTTTTCACCTTTACATAATGTGAAAGTTGCTGCTTGTTGCACAAGTATCGTAGATACACATTACTTGCTCTTGATTCATATAATCCACTAATAGAGCACAGCTCTTCCGTTATTATTCCCTTAAATTTACTTGTCTCTTCCGCAGATATTTCCAAGTTTCCGCGTATTCACTGTTGTTTTATCTCTATGAATTATATCCCCCTGGATTTATCTCTCGTTGTATTGAACAATAAAGAATAAATAGAGGGGATGAATACGTCGTTGTAGAAATAGCTATTTTCAAGTCAGAAATTCTCTGCGTTTTTTTGCCTTTGTATTCATAGAGTTGTGATACAAGAGACTCCCCTCGTCCCTTCTGTCTCATTCCTTTTTATTTTATCTCATTTTGTTTTCATGAATACCATATTCTTGATCTATATCTCATGTTTTATTGAGCCTCAACAAAATGAAAGCATGTCCATATTTATGTGAACATTCTGATTCCTTTTATGCTTGTGCAAGTTGAGTATCAAGTGTCTTCAATAGCTATTGATTTTTTATAGAGCCCTTTTCAATCATTTTTCGTTCACTCTATTCTATCAATTGTTCAATGGCTTTGTTATCGATGTCTCAATGTAGTATAGATGCCATCTACTAGCATATAGCACTATAGGAGAGCAGGAGCTGTTTAATTTCACTCTGGCAAATAACAATTATTCACATCAACAGATGACACGTGCAGAACTGATCAGTTCACATGTGCCAATAAGAAGTGCATTCAGAGCAGTTGGGTGTGTGATCACGATAACGACTGCGAGGATGGAAGTGATGAGAAGAATTGTGAGACTGTTACTTGTCGGCCTGATCTAGATTTCACCTGTTCTGTGGGCTACTGCATTACGTCGCGATGGCGATGCGACGGTGATTATGATTGTCCCAATCATGCTGATGAAATTGGATGCCCAAATGCAGCGGTAGACCATATCTTCAGCCACTGCGCTGATCTCGAATTCGACTGTGGCGATCATTTGACTTGTATTCATCAGAGCTGGGTTTGCGATAATGAGAAAGATTGTCCCAATGGGGCTGATGAAGCTCCCGAGAGATGTAAAAGTATTACCTGCCGAGCTGATCAATTTCAGTGTGGAGATCATCAATGTATTCCAGGTAAATATATTGTCACCAATAATTTCTCCCTAATACATTAATTATCCCTAAATTACCTTGAGTGTTCATTATCACTGACTTGGAAAGACTACCTAACGAGAATTCCAGAATCAAGTGACATCATGGAATATAATATAAATGCGTTTTCCCAGTAAAGTAATCAACCACGAGAGTGGAATAAAGCTCTGACTAGGCCCATTTGACTCCCATCAAACCCCAAAGGGAATTCGAAAATTTCCGAGGACTCATTCACCCAGTAATAAAGCTCTCTGTCCCGCGAATTTCCCTCACCCGATCCCTGTGATAAACCTTTAAAAAAAGAAAAACAGAAGAAAAAAGGTGAAAACCCCTAATGACTTGCAGGGCATTCTTCGTGCGATGGAAAACCCGACTGCAGAGACGGCAGTGATGAAAAGAATTGCACATCAAAGCCATCCCCCTGCGATCCGCAAACACAGTTTGAATGCAGCGAGGGTTCATGCATTCCACTGGATCACGTATGCAATAAGAAGCCCGACTGCCTGAGTTGGGAGGATGAGAGTGAGGATAGATGTGGTGTGAACGAGTGCCAGAAGAACAACGGTGGTTGCACCCACATATGTATCGACATGCCGATTGGTTATCGATGCGCTTGTCGTCCTGGTTATCGACTTATTGACGACAGAACGTGCGACGATATTGACGAATGTCTCGAGCCTGGAAGTTGTTCACAATTTTGCATGAATGAGAAGGGAACTTTCAAGTGTAGCTGTGCACCGGGATACCTGAGGGATCCAAGAAATGTGACTCGGTGTAAAGCATCTGAGGGCCATGCCAGTCTGCTATTCGCTAGACGTCATGATATTCGAAAAGTTGCACTCGATCGACAGGAGATGACTGCTATTGTTAATAATACCAAGATGGCAACAGCTCTTGATTTTGTTTTCAGAACTGGCATGATTTTCTGGAGTGATGTCAGTGAGAAGAAAATTTATAAGGCACCCATTGATGAAGGCAATCAGAGAACTGTTGTTATCGATAAGGATCTCACAATTACTGATGGCTTGGCTGTTGATTGGATCTATAATCACATTTATTGGACTGACGTTGAGAAGAATACCATTGAACTTGCTAATTTTGATGGTAACATGAGGAAAACTCTCATCTGGGATCAGATCCAGGAGCCCAGGGCCATTGCACTTAATCCACTTGAGGGATGGATGTTCTGGACGGACTGGGGACAGGAGGCCAGGATTGAGCGGGCTGGTATGGATGGATCTCATAGATCGGTAAGTTCTGCTCTTATCTCGATTTAATTAGCCAAATATCGGAGATTTATTTATAGGGGCTACTTAATTACTCATTTCATTTCACCGAACGAGTGAGGAATCTTCTCTGCAAATTTTAATCTGTGAAATCTGTGAAAGTTTCAACGAATTAAAAATGTAATGTAATGTTAATCATTTGCATTCAAATGGTGCGGTGTGAACGAATTAGATAGTCATTTTAAATCGTGCAGAGTTACCTATCAGATAGTATCAATTTTTAAAATATTCACTCTTTCAATATTTTCTCCCTCCCTCCTGGTGAAAAGGTTTTCCAATATCCGTGGTAATTTTTTATTGACAAAATGGTTTATTACATTACAGGTAATAGTGGGAACTGAAGTAACATGGCCCAACGGTCTGACACTGGACTTGATAGGAAAACGAGTGTACTGGGTAGACGCAAAACTCCACATTATAGCATCTTGCAATTACGATGGCACTGGCAGACGTACAGTTCATTACTCTTTGGGGACACTGAGGCATCCCTTCAGCATAACGACATTCGAGGATTACGTGTACTGGTCAGACTGGACCAAGCAAACAATATTCAGAGCTAATAAATTCACTGGACAGGAATTAAAAGCTGTTATACCACACGGATCTCTGCAGCATCCAATGGTTGTGCACGTTTATCATCCGTACAGACAGCCTGATGGCACTAATCAGTGTCAGGCAGTTAATGGTCACTGCAGCCACTTCTGTCTACCAGCACCTAGGATAAATACACGATCTCCATTGTTAAGTTGCGCATGTCCAGATGGTCTTGTACTGTTCGAGGGTCTCACCTGTGTTGAGAACGGTGAGCATTACATTTTTATTATCATTGCCATATTTTTCATATGTCATTTACACTCGAAACGATTTGCGATTACAAATTTTACTGCATGATTTAATTATCCGTTGATTTTTATGAATGAGTTGTAATAGGATAATTTTGCAATCATTTCGGTACTCAGAAGAAAACTGCGATGCTCTTAAACAAATTTTATGGGATTCAAACTAATTGGAGAGCAAGAATTTTTGCATTGAAATAACTTTAGTTGCAACACTGTCAAAGTTACATGGCTCACTATACATATGAATCCATTGGAGAAGCAGTTTTATTCGGATTTTTCCTGCCACATCACTTTAGCATTAATCAATATTGGCTCTTGAATGTACGAAAATGACAACGCGAATTGATGAATTATTTCAGTACATAACGTTCGTATAGTTAATGTGGAAATTCAGATGCATGAGGTCGAGAAGCGACTTGACATTTTGGCATGCCTTTCAGTTATACTGATTTCATTTCAGTACTTTCCCCATTCGGTTGTAATAAAACAGGGGGATTTCAGTATTGACTTAGTTCAGGCTTTTTTATGGCTTACAGCGTGGAAATAACTTCATCAGAGTGACGTGCTCTCTCCTATGCCACGCCACATTTATCTTTCATGAAATCTACATGGATGTGTAGATATTTTCAGATCTATTTCAAATTTATGTCTTGCATGTTAATGGCATGTTCAATTTTTCAAGATCATGAGTGAAACTCTTGTACACATCCTTTCGAATATTCAAACCGCAAGGGAATGCAAAAAAAGTTTCATTCGGACAGAAAAAAATTATTGGGAAAATGTGCGAGGCGAGAAAAAATGTCGATGTACGAAGAGATTTTTTGGAAGGAGATCTAGTGCTTCGAAAAATATTAAAAAGAAAAAAGTATAACATTTTCAAATCCATTTTCACCTTGTCTATTCCCTTTCATTGAATTCATCATTACTCCAAAAATAATAAATAATATAAAAATCTTCAGAGACCTAGAATTTTTCCAAAGAATTTCTCTTCACGTATCCACGATCTTTTTCACCAACTTCCTCAACATATTTCCTTCGGCTAGTGCCGAAACAGAAAGGATTGACGGAATTTCTGTTGAAAATCCAATGTGAAGAGCTATCGACTTCTTTCGTATCCATTTTCACCTCGAATCGTTGGAGACGAATCGCATTACTACCAGGGGGATATTGTCTCATGGGACAAGCTCGAAAGTTCATTAGAGCCCTTAGTCCCTTCTTGATCCCTTTCTTTCCTCGGCTGAATACTAACCTGCAGAGAAACAATACCAGAGTTTACTCCTTGCATTCTAACTCTATCTAGTTGATGAGGTGAGCAGATTCGACGGTTACTTATCGAAATAACACAACTCAAAAGATTACTTTAAAAAGTCACAATAAAAAATGTAACAGCTAAAAATATTTCAGCAAAGTATGCATTGTTTCGAAACACTGGGGTATGGGGTGTTATCATTTGACATATAAAATTTAAATATTAAAAGAATCTTAAGTACGTTACACGTTTTTTTTTTTAAAAAGGGATTACAAGAAGGAGGAAAAAAACATAATAAAATAGCATCGAATTTGTACTCGCTACAACTCTGCCTTAATATATCAATTATTTTGTATATATTTCAAATCACAAAATAATATTATGACATCACAGACCGAATGAGCAGCCGCTGTGAATCTATAAATTGCATTCCTCTTTCTTCTTTCGGTTTATCCATGAAACATCGCTAAATTCCACATTCTTCACCGCAAAACCCATTGAATCCTCCATTGGTCCGTGTAATTAATCACTCCATACCGCAACGATCCGGGGTTTTAGCATGCGACTGCATTACTATTAATTGCCAATTAATATCCTCCATAAACCCCAGAAAGGCACGCCACTGCGTGCAGGATGTCACCCATAAATTGTTTTTGCGTATTCGAATATAAATCGACGGGGAAGAGGTAAAACTTCCTATCTCTGAATCCAAGACGTTTACAAAATTTTTGCTTTGAATAAATTGCAAAACTAATTATTTCTCACTTTTTTCCATAAGTAATTTCAAAAATCCAATTCTCTCTCGTAAAAATTATTTCATCGAAACTACGAGATTTCCAATAGAAGAAATCGGCATATATTCAAAGAGAACGTTAAAGCTGTAATAGTATTGAGAAAATTATATTGAGCTTGAGATGAATTGAGTCGATAAATTCCGAGATAAATGAAGAATTTGGCCTCTTTATAACTAAAATCATTCATGGCTTTTTATATTATTATTTTAATTATAATAATTTGTTACATTGCATTATTTCGCATCGATGGTGCATGAAATGTTATATTATTGGGAAATCAATCAGTAACCACAACAGTGACACCGACAACCCAAACCACATCCAGACCATTTAGGAGACTCGATCTCGATGTGTCAACGACTATCGGTAAGAATAATATTTATCTGCATCTTTATGGGGTTTATCACTGGTTTATTCAACACTCCACGCAATTCTTGGAACAACCTTATCACCCATACGGCCGGATATTGATTTTGAATCATCAATTTTCTAGGGCCGACGAATGTTTCTGATATGAATGGAAGGAATAATCTTGGAAAAGAGCCAACTGATCCAGGACTCGTAGCTGGTATCGTCATTGGTGTTGTCACACTGGGTCTCTTGCTGCTTGCACTCGTAGCAGTATTACTGTACAGGCATTACCTCCATCGTAATGTTACGAGCATGAACTTTGATAATCCAGTTTATAGAAAAACCACTGAGGATCAATTCAGTCTTGAGAAGAATAGATTTCCCCTGCCAGCGGCAACTGTCGGCGAAGAGGTATTCAATTCAATTTCATTTTAATCAGTTAGGAATTTATAAAGAGACTTATCGATTTATCTTGAGAGCTATTAATTTTCTTGATATTTCCTCTCAAAATAATAATCTTTCTTCCTACGATCGATTGTCTCATTAGAAATTGTCAATTTTAGATATAAGCAGGGAACAATCTCTTCTGTTGGTTTAAATTAATTACAATTTTAAAAAACCTACTTTTTTAAATGAGGTACTGAGTGAATATGTTTTCTCCATTTTTTTTCAGGCACAGGAACCACTTACAAGCCCCGGCACCAATGATTACGTTTAAGTGTTGAAAACACTTACAAAGTTGGGCTTTTAGCGGGCTAATAAGCATCAGAGGATTGGAAACATTTTTTAATCCGAAAAAAAATGTACGTCCCAAGTTGTGGCAGTGTGTGCTAGGGCGCAAATGTGACCGCCTACTGCCTGCCAATTAAGCTGTGATTATGTTTAAGTTTTTTCTTTTCATTTCTCTTTACTCTAACTATATATCAACAGTACTCGTTTTTATTGCCAACTAAAAAACTGGAATTAATGCATCTCACCGTAGCAACAACCGTAAGAGCACAATTACGTATTACTCATTAAAAAAACATTTTTTTTTCTTTCTGTTATCACATTCTCCGTAAAGTGGCATAAACATTTTTCAATAAATATCGGTGGAAGATAGGGAATCTCTAGTTCTCAGAAGAAAATTTAAAGAAAACGCCAAAATAATTTTACGCGATAAAAGTATTTATCCCATTAATTAAGGATTAATGAAAATCGTACTTTAGCGTCGTACAATTGTACTGTCCTCCTGCGTCATTAATAGTATTCCCTTCGATGCGACTAATTGGTGATTTTTGGATAATTGTCGAGTCGAGCATTATCAGCTTCTCGTTTATTTTAAAGCCATTGGAAATTCCACGATCAAGATTTTGCGAGGAATCCCTTCTTGTCAATTCGTTGAAATATATTAGTCCACTATTTCTTCGTCCAACGCTTACCAAACTATTGATATTTTGTGCTGGAAATTTTCATCAATTTGTTCCCTTTTATTAGTTCAGAACAATAAACAAATAATGATTTGCTTTATTTCATTCAGTCGTCATCTCTAAATTTCTGACATTTGAATGAAATATCTCGCGGAACAACTTCGTTGGCAGAACAAAATAATAATTTTGCTCAGTTGAAGTCCATGACAAGTGAATACTCTAATTATTCATGAAAAAAAAACCAACGAATTCAGCTCGACTCGACAGCTTCACATTCGTGGACAACGCCACTCCTTTTTTTAGACTACAGAATGCGTGTGACGTGGAAAAATTGTACATACTTCTGGATCAGTAAAGAATCTAATTTTCATCAACTCATATTTATGTTCACAATCAGTGTATATATGAATTTCAGATATCAATGGATTAGTGACTCGATTTGATAATAATCGAGAGAATAGTTTGTAGAATCTCATCCTAATCGAGACCACGTGGATGAATATAATTATTGAGGTAATTGCTAATACTCGAGAGAGAAATCCATTTTTTTATGTTGATCATAAAAAAATTGCTTACAGAAGTGGGTGGAGAAATTGTTTAACCATTTGTGTTGGTAGCTGTTCGTGTCAACGTGTATTTCTCTATTTAAACGTACGAAATAATTTTATGGAAAATTTAGGGATTCTATTGGATTTTTGCAAGCTTCTCATTTTAAAATTCACCAATTCTGTAAGTTTCCCGAATAGACGATGCTTACTAGAAAATATTAATTTTCTCATTAAAAATTCAAGATCTTCTTTTTGGTACAATATTCTCTATTAAACATTTTTATTGAAAAAAAAATAAAATAAAATAAAATCTGTGGAATAATCTAGTAAAAGAGCAAAAAACCGATGGAATTTTATTTCTACAAATTTTTTTCGTGCGTGAGTATTTAGTTGCAATTATCATAGAATTTCTAGAATAAATAAATAAAAGAAAACAACTAGGGATAATTAAGAGCAGCTCAATGACACTAACTCGAAATGTATAATGTGACAATGCGTCTGTTAATAAAAAAAAACGATCAGGCCGAGAGCAATTATTTAGGTAACCTGTGTTAACGATAAATGATAAATCAGTGTACAAGAGATATGTATAGAAATATTGTATCAGATCTAAGTATATTCGCTTATATATTATAATTATTGTATTAAAATCATGAAAATTCATATTTTTAATTTTTTTATTCAATTGATTTATCCAATTATCATCATTACAAAGTTCTATGTTGATAGACACTTTAGTTATTGTTAAATGTTTCTATCGAAACAAACCGTCCAGATGAATTTCCAAGAGCGCATGGCGCAATGCTGTAATTACCCTGACACAATTTCATCGCTTAGAATCGTTTTCTTTATTACGCTTGCCTATGGTATCATATCAAATAAATTCCTCCCTGGAAACCAAACGAAACTTTTTAATCATAAATTGTGGTATTTTTACTGCAAAACGATTGTAAACGTAAGGGAAATGCATTGCGTAATGCTCGATTCTTACTGAAAAACTGATAAATTACATTTTGATGTTTGTGTCTACACTGAGATATTTTCATGTAAACTCAACACCCCCGAGAAGTCGTGGGACGTTAAATAAAACCGATTAATCAACTCGAGATAATCCAGAAAGCTACAAATTCGTTTATTTATAATCTCCAGAAGTCTTTTGTATTTGACTCGTTTACAGAAGTATTGAAAGTCCTGGATTGCAGTACCTCAATTCAGAATCCTGGATTTCAAACATTAGTCGACAAAACCAATTCTATTCACAAAATGAAAAATCTTTATAAATTATATGATAATTTTTTTCAAACTCTGATTTATGAAAATTCAGTCATGACGCATATCAAAATAGTATACAGAATTATACAACCCTTTTTCCAAGAATTTCTATTAAATAAAATTACATGATTTGAGGTTCACAGTTTTTTTTTACCGAATTTGAAAGAATTCGTTTAAGAAAGCGTAATTAATTGCTCAATAAAATAATGTTAACACGTTAATGAATGCACCAGAAGCCCCGGTGCTTCCTTGAATTCCAAAAAAACGATCGACAAATGAATGAAATCCCCCAATTGACTCAATCTGCAAAATATGAAAATGAAAATGCAGTCACGATGCATATGAAAAAATTATCTAGACACACTCAATGCTTTCTTCAAGAAATTAAATTGAAAAAATTTCCCTGATGTGAAGCCTCACAGACTTCCCCGAGAATTTCCCTGGACTTCAACAGAGAAGTGAATCGCGAATTCCGCCCATCTCAAAATTCAGAATTGTTGAAATCCTGAATTCCCCGAATGTTCGTATCTACAAAAGTTTGCGTTTCAATATCTCATAAACCATTTTGTGTCTGAAATAGGGCATATCATCCTGAGTGAAAGTAATCCTTCTATTAGCACAGATAAATTCTGCAAAAGTACAAGAAAATACTCCACAATCGCTGCCATTCATCTGCTGTGGAATGTCACTCATACACTCAACAGTCCACTCACTGGTATCGAAACTCTTCTTCTTCTTGTCGAGGCTCTCGTTCTCGAGATATTTCCGGAGTGCCCTGAGGCACTTGTGATTCTCTCCACCCATGGAATCATAGTATCTAATGGAACTGTCTCGAAAATCGATAATGGACATACACCAGTGCATCTGCAAATGAACAGGCACTACAATAATGTCCTGTGCAAAAATATCTACCTTCCTGGTCCATCGTTTGAGAACAGCATGTCCCCCAGACAGTAATTTTGGATAGAAAAAAGTATTCATAGCGTATACATTGGGATACTTCTCCTCCTTGCCCCTCTCGATGAGTAAATTCATATAGAAATTGATGACCTCATCGTTCAGCCAATTGAGGCCGGACAGGGTGTGGATATCCTTTCGAGTTATTCTCAATCCAAATCCCTCAGCGAGAACGTCTTCAGATGGCCGAGGTACTAGTGCTCGCTGCACATCACTCATCATCTCTGAAGACAACTCTGGAAGCTGTTCCTCATCCTCTTGTTCCTCTAGGACAGCTTCATAAAGTCTCATGGAACGTGCCAGTTGCTCCTCAAGGGCAACCTCACGTTGAAGACGATTGTGCTTTGACAGAATACTCTTCATCCTCTCAAGCTCCTGTGCCTCCTTCGATCTCTTCTCAATTCGTTCATTATACCTCTCAGCAACTCTGGGGATAAAGTCCCCCTTCATCACAGCTTTACCTGATAATCTGTCACGTAGAGAGTTTGTTGCTATGGATTCACGATTAATCAGGGGTTTCTTCATTTCACATTTAGACTTGGAAGATTGGGAAAGTGTGTCGTCACAGTCGTCTACCTCAATGGATCGTCCCGGGACAACATCTGAGGTTCGAGGGAGTCGAGATATTGGGGTGCAACAGCGAGAGGAACTCGGGAGGAATTTCACCTGGGGTGTGGAAAAAACCTCAGTAGAATAGGACGTCGAGGGCTCCATACTCTCGATATCGATTACCTCGATTGGAGACTGGTGTCGACGAATCTCTGGAGTTGCTGGAATCAATTGAATCCTTGGGTTTCTACCTTGGAGCAGACGACTGTAGTTCTCCTTATCTCGAAGATGATTGATCCTCTCCAGGACTGAGAGTCTCTGGGGCATCTGCGACTTTGAGTTTAACCTGCTCTTTACGGGGTAGGAGTTCATTATGTGGAGATTTTTCCTCGATGACGTACAATTTGCGCCTCGGCGATTTATCAAGCTATTCCTCTTCCTTATGGAATTGTAGGAGTTATTGTGGAGAGAGTGAAACGAGTCCTCGCAGATCTGGATGTCGTTCGGGTCGTCCTCGATCTCGATTATGTCTCTGTGATTGTGCAGAGATGAATCGACACGACGTTGTTTTTTTGGGTTGACATGATCGTGATCCGTGAAGTCGGCGTCACTAGCGTGACGCTTTCTCGAGCCCTCGTCACACCAGCCGAGGAACCTTCTTAGCACCGTGAATATCATCTTGATTATTGTTTTCCAATTCAGCATAACATAAAATATTGACGGGGGACGGGTGGTCCATTCAGGTCGCTTGGCTTTCCAGTCCTGTGAAATTTCATTCAAGTTTTTAAAATCTTTGATGCTGCTGTACTCAACACTTCGAAAATTGAATTTTTTTTTTTAAGAATAAACTCACAATGATTTTTATGGAAGTCCCGATCCATTTGCGATTCTCTGGCGACTCCAAGACATTTTTACCCAGCCAAGGTGCCGTGTTTAACCTAAAACATCCGACTTTTCATAAATGAGCATTAGAAAAGCTCCACGAAACGATAGTTTCGAGTGTAAATAATAGTAGACTCCCGCCCAAGCTGATTCGATCATTTCGAGGATAAATTTAGAATGTTCTGGGGCTATCTGAACTTGAAAATGAGACGTAAATTATGTTAGACTTGTCGAAGGTGCTGGGCGCGAAAAATTCACGTCAGTTGTACTCACTAGTTTGTCGTCCTGTTTTTTTTCTTTGCTTGTCGCTGATATGTATGACTCGCTCTGGATTATAAATTTGATAATTTTTATGTACCATCCATACCTGGGAAAGCCGGCATGAAAACGTTTCGAATTTCCGAAATTTTGTCGCCCGTAAACCCCATAAATCAAAAACAAGTTGTGTCGACTGTCGAGGGACGATGTGAGAGGTGAATGTGTTTGTTCTTGTTTCCAATGTTCCTCTACTTGAGAACTGCCTTCAGGCCTATCAAAAGCAGTCGAACACATTCCTACAATTTAGTGTCAAAATTATAGGAAATTCAATTGTATTTTCTTAGCGAATTATTTGAAATTTATTTGTTATTTGACTCAGAGTTTTTTTTATTAATTCTTCTTAATACCTGCACAAGATGCACAAGACTAACTTCTTGTCGGCAATTTGCATACTAACAGCTGTTTAAAAAATAGAGAGAGATAACTGTTTTGGAGGGAATTTCTCTCTGTCTGTTGATTTTTAGTGGGGATTGTCAATGTAGAGGGGGAGTGTAGAGAACTAACTCTAGATATTATACCTCTGTGATTTTCAATACATACCTCCGGTTTATTTATTTCTCGTCATTAAACGGAGGGCTTCGCAGGGAAATATTAATATTTAAGTAGAAAATAAATCGATTGTATCAATTAAAATGTCTTACCAGCTGTACAGAAACACAACACTAGGCAATACTTTACAGGAGAGTCTTGACGAACTCATCCAGGTATTTGTGGTTTTGGATTGTCCACCAGCTTTCTTTCAGGTTACATTAAATAAATTTATTTTTTATTTTCAGTATGGACAGATAACTCCTCAACTTGCAATCAAAGTTCTTCTGCAATTCGACAAAGCTATTAATCAGGCTCTTGCCACGAGAGTCAAGTCCAGGTTAACTTTTAAGGTAAGTTTTTCCAACTAATTGACATTTGTGTATTGAAATGTTTTAGGATTTTCTGTACAACTATGAAATTTCAATTTGCTATTAATGGCGATCATTATTTCAGGCTGGAAAACTGAACACTTATAGGTTCTGTGATAATGTTTGGACGTTTATGCTGAAAGATGTCGAGTTTCGTGAAGTGCAAGAAATGGCTAATATTGGAACTGTTAAAATAGTCGCCTGTGATGGAAAAAGTCAGTATTACAGCACTTTACATGACGTAGAATAATTCGTAACACTAGGCCAAAAAAACTCTTAATTATGAAAATTTATCCAAGATATTCTATTAACAAAAATTTTTTTAATGGTGAAATCTCTTGAAAAATTATTTAGATATGACGTGCTTCCCATGTAGAATTTGTAGAGTTTGAGTAACTCTTGATGATTTTTTATATTGATAAATAATAATTAAGAATATTCTATTATTTTAAATAAGGAGAAATAATTAGGAGAAAATTAAATAAATTTTGAAAACGAATTATTCATTCATCCATAGCTCTAGACGCTGATGGTGCGGCGAGACGATAACGAAGAGTACAAATACTTATAAAATGGGCATAATCTTCATCACTGGAACAACAATATTCGTGCAACATCGGAGATCATCAGATACACTAAACCATTGATCAGTCTGTCCAGTAAACAAATTCAGGAATAGTCAGACTGAAAGAATAATGTAATATTGGAAAAAAATTATTCTGTTATTATTTTGTGTATTTAATATTTTTGACGACTCTGTATACGTTTACATTGTGATGCTATTTCCTATTTCAACGATAGTTCATCATCAATAAACGAAGATATTTCATGTAGCAATAAATATAATTTTTCAATATATAATTTTTTTTTTTATTTTATTTGATTATTCATACAATAATTATAATTACTTGGGCGTCACCATCTTGTGAAAATACATCCTGCAGGTTTTAAAAAATGATTTTACTGTGATGTCTATTTCTTTGTGGCTCAGAATTATTAATGAGAATAATTTGTATAAATGACGAAGCAACAAAGGCTGTATTGAAACTTTCTCAAGACTTATCTATTTGTTTTTATTAATTCAAACTAAATAACTTGCGAATTTATACATTTATATACACAGAAATATTTCAATGGATCAAAAAAAAACCAGACGTGAAATTCTCAATCGACCCTCAGATATGAATAGTCTTTGAGCCAATTACAGAAGGATTATCTCGAAAAGTTGTCGTTCCTCATCGCAGACAAGGACCTCCCGGAGGAACTCCTGTCGAAATTCCCGGTCGACCCGCCACGTAGGAAACCTCTGTATAGAGACCCCCAAGAAATTCAAGAAAAATCTCCTCTCGCCATTGGCAAGGCCGTCGAGAATAATTCTACAGAAGGCAGTGTCCTCCGTCTGAAAGGACTTCCAGAAGATATCTCGAGCAAATTGGCGGTTTCCCCCGAACTTCTCACAGAAAATCATCCAGACTTTACGAAAAGGCTCGTAGAATCTCTCGGAGTAAAGGCCCTTGGCCTTCCTTCTCCCATACTCCACCTTGCCGACTTCATCCCTCTCGCTCTGAATGCGATTATGAATGAACTCGAAGAGCAGCCGAAAATGAGGAGCACTCATGGTGAAAATCTTGTTCAACCATGTGTCAACGAATAGAATCCACGGCCATCCCAAAAGATAAGTGAATTGATCACCAGACGCGCAAAATGACTGGAGAAGTGCCTCGTCCTTGACTTCCCCCATGAGATAAACCATCATCTCTGGATAAGACGTGAAGAAGAATCCTCCCTCGGAGAATAGCTTTTGAAATTTATCATCATCTCCAAAAGCCTTCCTGAAGTACTTAACAGCAGATATACTCCCCTCGAAGACACTCTCGCTGATTAAATTCTGAATGATAGTCTCCTCGTTGTAAACCCCACGTCTTTTCTCATTGACATAAACCGAAAATTCATTGGGTATGAACATCTTCTTGGTAGGAAATTTTCCGTGAATCTTCTGATACCAGTAAATGGGAAAATAAGCCTTGGTGAATTCCCGACAGTTGTCCCAGTCGATGGTGTCAGATAATCTGGTGATGTCTTCTTCGATGCAGTAGTAGCACAACTGGCACCAGGTCCTGAAATCAACAGTGTCCTTATCACTGACGTAGGCCTTGAGGATAGCGTGTCCATCGTGACATCCCACATCGTCCCAGGAAAAATTATCAACGAAAAATGCCATTTTCTTCGAGCAATTTCTATCGTCCTCATTAATCATGGCTTCAACTGTCTTCGCTAGCCAATTCACTGCATGGACCATCATCTCCACCAGGAATACACTCAGATCATTCTTCATTCCACCTGGAATATTCCATCTCTCCAGAAAGGACAGGAGTTTCCTTATCACAAGACGCAGAAGTTTTTTTTTCGAATTGTACGGTGATTTCGACCTCGCTATGTTACTCTGTAGAAATTTCTTGGCGTCCTCTCGGGCTTCTGATTGCCTCCACAGCATTTGTATTATCTTCACTGATGCGATGTGTCTCAGAGTTAATTTCTGCTGGAACTCCAGTGGAGCGGATGCCATTTTTCAGTGACAATTGATGATTCATTTAGCTTCGAAATTGACGATTGATGTTCAAGGGATTCGTTTGTACTGATGATGAAATTGTTTTCCTCGGCGTCAGGGTCGAGAGAGAGGGGAGAGCGATAAGGAATCTCAGGTAATTGAGGGAAATTTGATCTGGTATAAATTACTGAAGTAATATAAATGCATTGCATCTGTGGGTGATTATCGGAGAATATCTCAGGAATGAAAACACACGAATTTCTCTGAATATCGTTTTTTCACAGTCACATGGGGAGTCCTAAAATTTCCTTTTAAAAAAATCCAGGTTCAAAGATTGTGCCCCTATATGCTAGTTTATATAGAATTTTCGCTATCTCTTATTTTCCGGTTTGCACATAATCGATTGATTATCTATATTACACTCGTTAAGAACGGAGGTCTGAAGATTAGGACTTGATTAGACGATACATTTGAGAATCGATTATAAACTCATAAAAATTTTCAATATTCATGTGAATATATTCTTCGATTCTCAATTAAATGAAAATTACACCCTATTTGTTAATTAAAATGTATGGTTTCAATGAAAACTTAAGTTTGAAGATTCTTACTCGGCTATATCTCAAGAATTAATAATCGCACGAAATTTTGGGAAAATATTTACTGCAGAATTGTCGTGCAGGGGGAAATGCTCAGTTTTTCTGAATTTTCATCGCAACATTTCAATAAAATCAGAGAACTAATGACAATTTCAATGGATATCTCATAAAATTTTTTAACGATTTCACTATTTTTTGCTTTTTTTGTGTAGATATCAATGCTCGACAAAGGAGTGCGTAGTTCCACCAAAAATATTGATAAGTATTTATCATTTTGTAAGAATGAGCTGAACCAGTACGCAAGAAATGGTCGTTGTGAGAGCACGAGTATATCTCAATAAGTGTTTATAATTGAATGACTTGCAATTGGATTAATCCAAGATGATATTGGGAAATTTGCAATCGATTTAAGTGCAAGCCTTTTCCCACGCGTCCAGACTTTTTCCAAATTTTTAAATTATTTTATAAGAGTCGAGTAAGTATCTTCATCAAATTCCACCTCGTCTGAAAAATAATACAAAGAAATCCAAATACTACAAATAAATTTTGAACAATTGAAAATGAAAACAATGAGAAATAAAAATGGTTAATTTTCGAATTGCTTCGAAGTAGAAAAGATTTTGACTGAATTAACTGGGAAATATACACGAATATTACTTAAATAAATTAGATATTGTACTTAAACGTTCATCTTACTCATTGCCTTGGGAAAAAAAGTCAGAATATCGCTAGTCATTCACGCAATCTACATATGCTCCAGTCAAAACATTGATATCAGTAATTACTGTAATATAATTTTTTGACAATCAAAGAACATTCGATGTGAACAAATACAAAAAAAATATAATATCGAAACTGCGATTAGAAAATAAAATCATGGCATACTTTTTTTTTAGAATTTTTTTTTTTTAGAATTTGTTCTTTGTTTGTCTTCATAAAAAAATAAAATTTTGCTGTTTCAATTAAGCTTAAACTGAATGTAACAAAATAATAATAATAATATACAAGCATGGAGAGGAAAATTTTGCAATAATTGTTGGCAGTTACGTGGATATCTAATAAATTATCCGCTTTGACAATTGATGTCGTAAATTTTTATAATCGGGAGCTAAGTCATTATTTCCGCGATCATACCTGAACTCTGACTTTTGTGTAACTGATGTCTGCCAGCACTGATATATTCTGATTCCATCCCAATGATATCTTCATTCTGTTTTCTGTCATGTGAACTCGATATTCCGAAAAACTCAATAATTTCTTTAAAATTAATGTACCGTACTCACTACAGAATTCATGTAGAAGTAATTGAATATTGAAGCAATTCATGTGGATTTATTGCTAAGAATGCTCCTAATCCTACGGCTCGCATTCTGGATGACATCAGTTCTCCTAAGGATATCCCAACCATTTTTCTGGTTTCGGCATCGTAAGCAGCCCCAGAAAATACCACCGACATCCAATCCTCTTCTTCAATTGAGTGCTAGTGAATTAGCGAAAAAAATTCGCCTGCGTCAGGTAATTATCTCATACACTTTTCTCATAATTCTCTTAAACAATAATACAATATTACTCATAATTCAATTTGGAAAGTAATTCCGAATTCATTATGATAATGATGACATAATGAGAATGTGTGCTTGCAATTTTTCATTGAATTGATGCAAAGAATAAATATAATTTTATAATAGAAGTTGATTTTATTGTAGAATCCTAATTGAAATGCAGTCGAATTTTCGAAAAGTTTTGCTAATACTTTTCATAAGTTAAATTTCATTAATAGGAATTAATTGAATAATATTTCACTAGGTATCAAGTGAGGCTGTGGTAACTGCCTACATCGAGAGAATAAAGCAAGTGAATCCCGTTGTCAATGCAGTCGTTGATCATCGGTACGAAGATGCCATCAAGGAAGCACAAGAATGTGACAAAATTTTCGACAGTGGTGAAGTCACTATTGATTATATTGTCACCAATAAACCATTATTTGGTGTACCCTTCACAATTAAAGAAAGTTGTGCAGTGAAAGGTAAGAAAATTACTACATGATATATAAGTAAAAGAAATTCTCCACTTCATCGATAGATTTTCCGATAGAATTCCTTCCCAGGATTTTTCATTGATTTTTGACGAACTATTGAAATTGGATCTCACTTCATTTTTCGAAAGTCTTGGTTTTGACTCCTTGATCTAATTATCAACGTTAGAAGGCGAATGTATATTTCAGAAGAATTATTATAATTTTAATTGAGTAATTTGTTTATGTCTATGTTAAGGTCTCAGTTTCACTGGCTGTACGACGATGCGACGTGGAATCAAAGCAGATGAAGACTGTCTCGCTGTAATAAAAATGAAAAATGCAGGTGCAATCGCTCTGTGTGTAACAAATACTCCAGAATTATGTTGTACTTTTGAAACTACTAATTTCGTTTACGGTACTACAACCAATCCGTACGATGGAAGACGATCAGCTGGTGGTTCTTCTGGAGGCGAGGTAAAATCAGCTTTTACCTATTCACTATTGCACAAATTCATTTTTTTTTCAGTTAAATCTCCAGTCCATTCTCCATTCAATGAATTAAAAAAATTTTAAGTGTATTTTTTAATATTTAATGAACCCGGTTGAACATAATTCAACGGAAGAACATCTCGCTTACGCCTGCCCTATGGAAATATAATACTCAAACCAAATATTGAAAATTCCATAGGAATTTTCTTAATTCCAATTATCATTTACATTCAATTACAATGAATATTTGAAAAATGCTACTGGGAAAAATGATGAAAGCAATGATCGTACGTTAGAATACCTGGAGTATTGGCTTTGCCTTACAATTCCTTGACGAAATACAAAAAATTTGTTTCTAGGGTGCCCTTTTGGGAGCTGGTGCATCACTCATAGGTGTTGCTTCTGATACAGCTGGATCTATTCGACTTCCGGGTCTCTTCAACGGCATCTTTGGACATAAACCCACACCCGGTAATAAAAATTAATTTTTCATTGTAATTCTATTGCAATTATTGAAATTTAATTGATAAAAAGGGTTGGAAAGGGCGGCTTAACAATATTTACCACAGAGTTGTCTTTATTTGTGTATTAATAGAAAAGAATAATTGCAAAGTCTAAGTGTTCTAATGAGAAACAATAGCGGGTAGTGAAAAATATAATGATCTCTTTTGCAGGAGTAGTGCCACTCGAAGGTCATTATCCACTGATCAATGATTGCAAATTTCAAAAGTACCTGGTCCTTGGCCCGATGGCGAGGTACACCGAGGACCTGATGCTGGCGTTCAAGATCATGTCCGCAGGGTGTAAGCAGAACTTAAGACTAGATGAGCCCGTCGAATTGTCCAAGCTCAAGGTATTCTACATGGAGAGTATTGACACTTTCGGATTGACGCCTACTAATGAAGACACCAGAAGTTCAATTCGTCGAGCTCTCAAGCATTTTGAAAAACGAGGTGCAAGAGTCAGCAAGGTAAATCAATTCATAAAACCTCATTGGTTGGGAAAACTCAGAGAAAAATCATTCTGCTCAAATAATTGAAATTTATATTTTCAAAATTTTCGACTTTTAGCCCGAACTTGAGGGAATCACTGACATTTGTGAATTGGGAATTGCAGCTTTCCTCGATATAGAGGAGAAGCTGACGTTTTTGATGAATCCCAACAATAAAGAGGTGAATTTTATTTACCTAGAAATTTGTATATCTTGCAAATTCGCTGAAGGAAATTTTACTGATTTATGTTTAATTTATTTAGGAGCGGGTGAATTCAACGATTGAATTCATGAAATCCCTACTAGGATTATCCCAATACAGTAGGCCAGCAATTGTGATGACTATGTTTCAGGATATGAACGGGTTCATGACTCTATCAGAAGTGCCGAAATACATGAGAAAAATGGAGGAATTGAAGCTCACGCTTTTGGTAAAAATATTTGAATTTAAATAACTAGTCAATTAAGGCTCGGGTGGATTATCTGGAAAAGATAATTTACTCCGAAATTCGGATTCCCAATTACTTTGGCAATTAACCGTTTTTTTCAATAATTGTAAACAAGCGTTCTAGCGGTTGTCAACAAGTAGGCCGCTAGCTAACAATTATCGGAAAAAACGATTAATCGACGGAGTAATTAGAAGTCCCAATTTTGGAGTAAATTATCTTTTCCGGATAGTCCATCCGGGCCTTAAACAGGATAATTTCAACGTGAAAATTCATTTGATCGGACAAAAAATCAACGAAAACATCAATTAATATTTAACTCAATTAATTCGATTAATTATTAACTATCAATTAATCGGATTATTAGAAAGTATATAATCTAACCATTTTTTCCAAAGGATTCACGACTCAAATTAGTTAAGGGTCGGATGGAGTATCTCGGAAAGATAATTTACTCCAAAATTGGGATTCCTAATTACTCCGCCAATTAATTGTTTTTTCCGATAATTGTTAGCTAGCGTTCTAGTCGTTGACAACCGCTAGAACGCTAGCTAACAATTATTGAAAAAAAGAAAACGATTAATTGCCAGAGTAATTAGGAATCCCAATTTTGGAGTAAATTATCTTTTCCAGATAATCCAACCGGTCCTTAAATTGAATTCCCAGAATTTTTAGTTCCTAGGTTTTTCTATAGAATTTTCTATAGAATTTTCAAATACATGTTATTTTTCCGATGCTTAATTGAAATCTACTGACTTACCCGGACATTAGGATCTCCTCGGAGATGACGGTGTGTTTTTGTATCCAACATTCACCGGTGCAGCTCCACTTCTCGGCCAAACAATGATGCACTCAACAGCTGCAAGCTATTCTTTACTGTGTAATGCCCTAGGTTTCCCCTCGACTCAGATACCCATGGGACTGAATGCCCGAGGTCTCCCCACGGGATTCCAGGTAACAAAAATTTTTATAAAAAATAACCTGTTCCAACAAATGCCTCAAAACTTTCTTTTAATTGGTCATTTGTGTACCACACGGTAAATTATTGCCTCCAGGTGTTCGCTGCTCCACATCAGGACCGTCTGTGCCTGGCCGTAGCTGCAGAATTAGAGCAAGTGTTTGGTGGCTGGATACCCCCCACCACTGCTAATTATTCTGACGATATTTTATAATTCGTATCAAAATGTCGAATACATAATAGGTTGTTTATTGCGTGGAAAAATAAAGAGAGTACAAGATCGTATGTGAATTTAGAAAGATCCAAACGCCTAGACGCTATAGTTTACGAGACAATTTTACGATCCGATCAATTTGTTGGCAAATAGTTTTGGAAAGGTAAAAGCAGAGTTTCAATGCAGAGTACACAAAAAATTCGAGCGGATTTGTATTTTGATACTGAGTCTTCAACCCATCGATGGTTTATTTGTACAGATTGACACAATTTTTACGGAAAAACAAAAATACAATGACAATAAATATTGAACCACTCGGATTCAGAATAATACAGTGTCCACAACGTCGACATAATTCAATAACACATGAGTTAAAGTGAATTAATATCAATGTTGGTGTTTCATCGATTTATTATTTTACCTACTTATTTTTAGCAATTCATTTACTAGTTTCAAACGCACCAGCGTCTCATTGAGTTACATTAGCATTGTTTTTCCGTGAGGATCGTCTTGCATTGATCTTTACATTTACATCAGCAAGATTGTCAGACTGTGACGTTGACATTGAAATTTTTAATTCAACTATTTAATATGAACGGATGAAACTGCCAGGAGTTCAGTCACACTTGATGCCAACATTTAAGCCTCCTTTTTTAATTATTTACTTGCAAGCTGACTCCAGATATGCAATTAGATCCCCACGCTCCTGAGGTTTCTTCAATCCAGCGAACACCATTTTTGTACCAGGAATGTACTTCTTTGGGTTTTCCAAGTATTCGAACAGAGTATCCTTGTTCCAGATAATTCCTACATATTTATTGTATGACGTTAATTACACCAAAAAATCATTAAATAGATAAAGAAAAAAATTTTTATAAACAGATCTTGATCTGATCCCGAAAAAATCGGTCCATATCAAATGGATATTTTTACTCTAAGGAGATTGCTTTATTTCAATAAAAAAAATGGTTTCTCTGAAGTCACATTTACGAACTTAGAGAACTATTCAATTTATTTTCCTTTTCTTTGAACTCTCACTGGAAGAGCAACTTATTAATTGACAAAACTCACCTTTGGCTTTGTTACCGTCCGAATAAGTGAATCCGGCGGCTTGTCCCGTTTTTCTTCCAATGAGACCACTTAAATTGGGTCCTACTTTGTGTTTACCACCAGCTTCCACGGTGTGACACTGTGCACATCTCTGGACGAAGATCTAGCAAGAGGTAATACTCGAATTAGCATGATTTTTCCCAAAATCAGCTATTAACTGGGAATTTATCATGCAGATGAAAATACGGTGAAAACAATTAGCAATTTTAATTACCTTCTTGCCCTTTTCTACATCACCAGCGGGGACACCCATGATCTTTAATTATCTGAAAAAAAATTGATCATTATTTCTCAATAAAGGAATTGTATCCACCGCCAAGTTATACAACATAATACTCCAAATTCATTGAGAGATCAATTTTTATCTTATATCTCGGAATCTAAAAATGGTAACGATTGCATTCCACTCAAATTTCGGTTAATATCATTTAAAATTTTCCCTAAATACGGATTTATCTAAAAAAAAACTATTGATTTTCATAATTAAAACTTCTCGCCCAGAATCAACAACATTTAGAATTGAAAAAAAAAGACTTTCATTGTCTCAAGTGTCTAAAGTCTCCATCGAAACTGGGTGACCTCTATTTTCCGTGGCGGTGCCCAATAAGCAATTACTACTCTAGTTTTCACCCTCATACGCATGAGCAATGTAAAAACAATCCAAGAAAATGCTCCACAACTCCGTGAAAATTCCAAATTCATTGAGACACTGAATTCATTGAAATTTCCTTAAAAAAAATTGTCACGTGAAGATGAGCATAAAAAAATAGCTCATCGCGTGGTCACGAAATAAAGACAGTAGAGCACTGGCTTGGAGCCAGAGAATGTTATATAATTCCCTTGAATTTTATGACAAACACATTTAGAAGGACCATGAAAAAAACTTGATGATAAATCGTTCGTTACTTCTGTAACAGTCGAAATTTATCCAGGATGGATTTAATGGATGTGGAAATGATTTAATGATCCGAGATCAGGGGACACGTGCTTTCGAGGGCGTTCGAATGCCAATGCCAATGATAACCTGATGTCTTTCCAAAGAATCACCACTTCCACGTGAAGATATTAATTAATTAGGGTGATAATAACCTGATAGGGTGAAATTTTTCTCAGTTGTATGAAGTGTCAGAGATCTTATGTAAATATAATCACCTGTGTAGAGGATCAGCTAAGAACCAAGATCTGACTCAAGATCTGAACAGCTCAAGCGTTGCTCTTGGTAATCGATGCACTGACGTAACTCTGCTAAGAATTGAGTTGACGTCCGATGGAAATGCGTAGCAATTCTCAACTATATACAGTGGAAAGATACTCGAGAGGGGAGTCTCCGGAGCGAGAAAGTGCAATGTTAATTCTGATTGGTGCCGCCATTTTTGGAGAAACATGGGCGGGATTTACAAATGATCTTTCCAATATAGTTTGGAAAACGCTGTAGATTTAGTTATGCTCAGTGAATTTTTCGAAAATATCTCTTAAATTAAGGACGAGAGTGAAATTACTGAGGAAATCGCATATATGATAAGAACAAAATATTAATTGATCAGTATTAATTATTAATTGATACTTAAATAACAGTATTTAGTTGTTAATTATGTTCATAAAAAGTTAAATGAGTAGTAATACCGAAGAACTGGTGTATCGATAAAATTTACTAAAATTCATGGGTAGATGGATTCTAAGCAAATACAATTTTACACTTTAAATTCATAATTTTTTATACTAAATTCACATTCTACTTTATACACAATTAGTTATGATAAATTTTGTATAGGATATTCAGTTAACTTTTTACCAAAATGTTCATTGAATACAGAAGTCTCCGATGTCCCATCAGTTTCACACTCGTCTCAATTTATTCTAACATAATTCTCTTACACTGGCATTGAGTGAATAATTACGTTACAATTCCAACCGACTTTCTCAACGTCTTTACTTTGTCCACAACTAGTTGGCCACCCCGACTGCAACTCACCGGAACAAATAGTGATCTCTTCAACAAAAATAATACCGGATAAATCTAACGTAACAAGCAGTCGTACACTGCAAAGTTTTGATAATGACGAGAAAGAAACAATTATAAACGATGAAATTAACTTAGATCACTAGCTGAGTTGTTATTTCTTTCTCACGTATAATAATGTTGTTTGTATGAAATTGTTTTTATTTAATCGTTGCGGAAGGTTGATAGTTTAACGTTTGCCATTGTTGTAGAGAGTACGAAGCGGTGCCTTGAATGTGGCTGCTGATTGCTGTTGCATCTGATAGGCTACTGGGTGAATTTTGAATCCGTATAATCTGAAAAAAAAAGAAAAGAGATCAGATAATCAATTAAAATTACGTAAACTTTGTAAAATGTACATAATTCCAGACAAGTGAGATATCGCCTCAAAAATGACACGTTTCCTTGACAAATGCTTACCTGGGTACAAATTGATTAGTAGGTCGTTTGGGTCGATACTCTGGATGAACCATGAAGAGCATATGTGGAAAACCAGTGCCAAAGTAGGCTCCATCATTGTGATGGTGCCTTGAACTTTTGGGTGTATAAACGTCCATGCACTTGGGGCAGTAGCTCTTGACCATGGCCTCACCAGGTACATCACTCAGCCCAAGTGGTAACATCTGTTGGGATTCACAGTAGACCCTGGGGCAGTGGCCAAAGTCCCCAGCCTGATATTTTTCTATCATCTGGGCAATTCCACGATTTGTCAGGATATATCGGGCGTGGATCAATCCATATAACATCTCAGCAGCTTGCTCGATGAGGTCTGACTGGTTTGGATTATCGTCCAGGTCATCATCTGTTGATCAATTACATCTCATGAGCATCCATAATATTTCAATCCACTGGACCAGATATTACCGATACGTTATTTACGAGTTTTTACCTGGTTCTAAATCCAAGATCATGTCCAGGGCTTGACGATAGTGGGGAACTTGCTCATTTAAACCAGTTAAATTGAATTTGTCCTGGATGTAATCCTCATCGACCTGCAATCAACGAAATCATTATTTTATAAAATAGTTTGTACGAAGGATAGGTAAATTTTCTATTAATATACAAAGTCAATAAAATTTGAAAAATCAGATCTTGTTAACTTTTCACAGAATGGCCTCAAATCAAGTTTCTGCTAAATCTTTCCATAAAATTCTTACTTCACAGAAGAATTCATTTCCACGCAGGCCGCAGAACCATGAGATCCAAGAAACCTCTTCAGAGCTGCTCATTTTTCTGAAAAAAAAATCCAACAAATTATCACTTCTCCCATTAATTCACGTCTAAAAAATACCAATGAAGACTTGAGATTATCGTGCCCTAGACTGACTGAAAAATGGCTTTATCGATGATTAAAACTTCTTGCATCACAAAATTGAGGCAACGTAGCCGGAGGGAGAGAGACAACAATATAATCACGATGAGAATTGATTTGATTGATTTCACAGCCCTAATGTTCATTAAAATTGCATGGATTTTTAACGAATTATTCGCCCATTGAGTGGATATGATATTATTGTTCATTATTGTCAAATGGGTAATTGATAGTGTTCTTGAACGCGCCTCACGTACGGTTCCGTGGTCATCACCACCAATGTCAGATCCCTTTGGGATATCCGTCTGGAGAATGTGCATCCAGAAAATGCATAACTCGTGGGATAATGGTTGTTGTTATTCGTTCAGATATCACGGATCGGTGAGATCATTCTCACTGGTGAGATATTTATAAAAAATAGGCAATGCAAAATAAACAGCTCAGAGGCACAGCTTACCTTCAGATGTTGCTGGTTAGTCACACACGCCACCACACGCCTCGCTTCAGTCTGAAGTTCAATCTTTTTCGCTCGATCATCAACTAAAAAATCGAGATACCGCCATTTTTTAATTACACCCAGTCCCAATTCGTGGTATTTTTTTATTACTAGCTCATTTATGAACAATCTAATAAAAATACCAATATTCCCAGACTATTTTCATAATTTTATTTTTGCAAATGGCATTTTTAGAATTTATATAATTAAAGTCGCTCTCGAGTCAAATTACTGTCTATTAATGATGACAGAGTCAAATCAAGGGAATGAAGAGAAGAACCGTGATTCCTTTGATATTGAAAAGCTATTTAAATAATTTTAGGATGGAAACAGGAATAGTGGGAGGGAATTTTGACGTGTTTATGATTAAAGTGCTGTCTTGTCAATCAATCAATGTGCTAGATGAAGAGAAGAGTCAAATGACTCAATACTTGATTCAAATCAGCCATTTTTCAGGATGTAGGGTAGTTGGGTAGGGCTGTCTAATGTTTACTTATTAGAATGCACTCTGTTCCGTCAACACTGCTATCATATGGTCATAAGAATGTCGTTTTATCACTTGAATGGGAGCTAGGAGTACTCCAACAGTTTTCTACTGTAAGTTTATAACCTGAAACATATGTTTTGTACTACTTGGAAAATTAATAGAAGAAAAATTATCCTATGAAACTGTCATTCCATTTCAGTTTCCAACAGTATAACATTTTGTAAATAATGATGCATATGTGGTTCTGGTTTGGCACGGATCTCAGGCCATTTATTCTCCCTGGATACAACGTTACAACTACCTGGGGTCTAGTTGCAACTTGTCTAGGACTCATAGCCCTGGCCATCACCTACGAGGCCATGAAGACATTTCAAATAAAAATTCGTCAGATCAATAAAGCTGCATTATCTCCAAGTGCATCCAGTGTGAATGAAAACTCATTTCTCTTGTATCATTTAGTACCTGCAGGTCTAGCTGATAATAGAGGATTCCGTTGGTAATTTTTTTCCTCAATTCAGCCGAGAGGGTAAAGGGTAAAAATACTGAAATTTATTTCAGGACCTATTTTGTAAAATAGAATCAAAACTACGAACAGGTATTTGAAAATTGATCGCTATCAGCTTATTACGCTTTACTCTCTCGCTAATTTTTTAAGCTCACATTTTCAAAGTGAAATAAGTCATGAAAAAAAATTCGATTTTGTCGACTTTTTAAAAAATAAAATCTAAAAAAAAGTGGTAAAAAGTTCGGTAGAAATCTAAGTAATCGTTAGTTGGGATAATAAAATAAATGCTGAGTGAATAAAATAATTTATTTTCCAGTCACTCGTTATGTCGGTGGTTAATCGAGGTGTTTCACTATGCAGTTCATGCTGCACTTGGCTACATAATGATGCTTGCAGCAATGACTTACAACGGATACATTTGCCTGGCCTTAATAACGGGTGCAGCTATCGGTTATCACATTTTTGGACCGACGTTGCTAGCCCTCAATTTGAAAGAAGTTCGTCGAAGGTACGAAGACGTCCCGTGCGAATCAGAATGCGTTGGTAAATACAATTGTCTCGGGGGCTCTCTGGGGTTTTATTCGATCGGATATTCTTCAAAGATTTGTTGATATTTCAGGGGCAAATGTCGAGACGTCTGAGGGCGGGAGCCAACAGTCGACAGTTTCTGTTGTCGAACCAGAAATTTCTGCAGTTAATGCGGAGGTTCATACTCAAAATGATCCCCAGAACGAACAATGATTTTCTGCTCAATTCTCATCAAAGCGGACTGATAAAATTATGTGCTGATATTATGAAACTAGTGAGGATATTTTTAACTGATTGTTTTATATTGACAAATTCTACGTGGATAAATATACATGTTGTTTTTACTATGTTAAACTCATGTTTCGTGAAATACCCCTTTCCACAGGTCCTTTTTTATGTTTTTTTTTTAGATATATTTCCTGAGTTTTAACGCGATAAAATCAGACGACAGCTGAAATCGTCGAATAGAATTCTAACAGAAATCATCGAACTAATAGATTTTCGATAAAGATCAAGAGAAATACGATTGAATTTCAAATTCAATTTTCCTTTTTCAAATCCTGTATATTCCTATCAATTTTTTCATATATGGGACATTCTCCGAAAAAATAAACACGACTAATACTTTGAAATTTGCATTTTTCTGAGTTTTTTGTGGTTAATAGTAGGCAATGAGAGAAGCACTCATAAATTTTTTCAATTTTTTTTTTCCAATTTTTCCAATTCATAACTTCTCGAAATATGGACTAAATAAAGTTTTTTTCCTTTTGAAATTTCAATTTTTAACTATATTTTTATTTTTGAGAACTGCAAATATATTCATCATTTCTAAAATGATGATTTTCAATTTTTAAGCAGAAATTACACATTTTTGGTTGGTGGTCGGACACTTTCTTTTTTTTTTTAATTTCGAAAAAGTTTGATTTTTTTTCTGTAAATTTTGACATTTTGTTCATGATGGAGAACCAACTCCTTTTATATTTCATTCCAGTTTTGATATTTTCATCGTATTTTCTTCTATTCTGGAACATCGATACTTAATTTTTTGTATGAAAATATGTAATTAATGGCTCCTCTAAATTCCTTTATCGTCATATTTCGAATTCCGCATTAGAAAGAGCAAAGTCTTGTGTTTGTATTTTTGTTTCCTGTTTTAATATTTTCAATGTATTTTCTTCAATTCGGCAAACTGAATACTTGATTTGCATATTTCGAATTTTCGGATCAACACTACACTTCGGTCTTTCTAGATGAAATTGAGGGAATTATAAGGAACCATTAATTACATATTTTCATACAAAAAATCAAGTATCGATGTTCTAGAATAGAAGAAAATACGATGAAAATATCAAACCTGGAATAAAATATAAAGGGAATTGTTTCCCCATCATGAAAAAAATGTCAAAATTCATGAAAGAAATCAAACGTTTTTCGAGATTTTTGTCAAGTAAAAAAAGAAAGTTCAAAATTGAAAATCTATAGAAGTGATCTATAATAGTGATCAATATTTTTGCAATATTTCTTTAATAAAAATATAGTTAAAAATTGAAATTTCAAGAGGAAAAAAATTTTATTCACTAAATATTTCGAGGAGTTATTAATTTTTGAAAAAAAATTTAGAAAAATTCATGAAAGCTTCTCTAATTACCTACTATTACCCCCCAAAAAAATCAGCAAAATCGAAGCTTCAAAATTTTATCCGTGTTTGTTTTTTCGGAGAATGCCTCCTGTAGGTTTATTTGCACCCTTAAATTATCATTTGTCAGTCTCTATTATTCATACCCCCAAATTATGGAGCGGCCTAGTTTTCCGCATTCCCTGACATGGACTATATGTGATATATATTGTTTAGTTTTACCTTTTTTAGCGACATAACGAGAACTCCACGTTCAGCTAAAAAAAAACAATAAAAGTAAGAAGTAACAATTTGATAATTAACATCTGTCCTTGTAAATTTATAAACCAATTGTGCCTAAGTTAAAATTTAACTGTTAAATAACAGGATTAATATTACCCTATTAAAGAGATGGCGCCAGTGGCAGTCATCGATATAGAAGACTCAGCCGTTATGAGTTTTACGTTTACCGACAATCATTCATAGTGACATCTTTTCCAGGAGGTCGTGCTAATCCTGTCCGGAAACTCAACTTTTACTTTGGTTGATTCTCTTTGATGCCATGTCCATGGACTTCACTAACACGTGTGTTTTTTTTCAATTTGTAGGTTAAATTAGACATTAGAAATGTTATTCATTGTCACCGGATTAATAAGAATGTGAGGAAGACTAAATGTGTCTTTTGTTTAGAAGTAAATATTTCATTTACAAAATTTATTTTACTTTTAGTAATTGATTTTTGCTCCATATTTTTTTCCACTAAATAACTGAATACCCTTGCATTTCTTTTTCAGTTGATTTTATTGAGATAAAAATATAAGTACTGAAAATCAAAATGAAGCGAATAAAAACCACAAAAGCCTTATTGCCCCTCGATTCGAAAATTGATCACTACGTAAACAATGAAAATGACAAAAGCGAAGGAATCAATCAAAGCGTTAATTCTGATAATGATGGAATGCCACTGAAGAAAAGGAAAAAAGAAAAGGCAGACAAGAAATTAAATGGAATTTCTAACGATGATAGGTCGACTATTGTCGACGACAATGTTTCTTCGTCAATTTTAAGGGCAGAAAATAAGAAGAGAAAGAAGGAACGGCAGGTGAGAGAAACTGCAGAACCCCCACCGGATAGTAAGGCTCTGAATTCAGAAGAAGACCAAACTGAGCCAGAGCAAATGAATCAGAACAGAAGGGAAGAAAAAAATACGAGTGACGATGATGAAGTTTCTACAACAAAACTCTCCTCCAAGGAGATCAATGAAATTTCCGCAAACTACTTGAGATCAAGCTTCAAGACAGCCTCGGGTCTAAGTATCTTACGAAAATTTGTGACGATATGCAGCGAGAATACTGAACGTGAGTTAGCATCAGAATATATAGAAAAATCAGGGAACGTTTTCGAAATTCTTCGATTGTTGGAAGGATGTGACAGTAAGAATTTGAATAATGTAGCACTAGTGTTCTCTGGTATGCACATTGTCATTATGAAAATTCTGGAAAAGTATCCCCAGAATATAGGATCAGCTCAGGAAGCCTGCCACCACTTCATAAATGTCTACGTATCAACGATTCATGCGATGATGTCCAAACAAAGTACTCCCAAACAACGGAAGATAGTCCTACGTTTGCTTGCATCGATCGTGTCATTGGGAGGTACCCTACCTCGAGAATTACTTGCTCATCTTTCATTTCATGCTGAAATAGTAATTCTAATGTGCCAGCAAACAAAACCAACAGATCCACAGAGCGTTAGAACATGTTTCATTCATTTTATTCTATCATTTCTTGTGGATTCTAGAGCTTCGGTCATCAGAGGACTTTTAGAGAAGCGTGGATTACTCGCCAGTATATTTCCTCAACTTATTTACGATTCTCACTTGACTGTGCACCTTGTTTTAAATACCATAAAAACTTACGTCCTTGAGAACAGTGCTGTTACAAAAACACTGAAACTACAAGTGTTTTCCACACCGGTTGTGCAAAATTTGGTGTCTTTGTACAATTGGAAAGGCCCAAAGAACTGGCCTGGATTCGAGAATAAAAAACGAAAGAGTCTCACTGGATCTGTGGATCCTGAAGAGCGAGCTCTTGCCATTGAGACGGTTCATGATTTCCTACTAGTTCTTCTGACATCAAGTCGTTATGGAATTATTTTCAATGATAAAACGCTGGGTACAACTGGGAAGAAATGTAATCAGCTGGCCAATACAATTCTTCAGAGTTTGGAAAAACCCTGGGAGCATGAAAAACCTTGTGACTTGGTTTTAAAAATTTTGGCTGCTTGTCCTGATCTCATAAAGCATCAATTAGCATACACTCAACCGTTTTTGGAGCCCAGACCTTCGACTAAGTGGATGGCAGTTATGGATTTCATCAAGAGAGTTCTTGAAGCTGTTGACCCTGAACATTGTTTCAAGGCTTCTCTTCCACAATTGACGTCTTCTCAGTTGGTTAATGCAACATTAACTTTAACTATGCCTTCCATTGTGTTGAAACATGCTGTTGTACCTTCTCTCCACGCTCCTTGTATTATTCTACGCCATGAAGCTCTCATCACTCTCACAATTATGCTGAATCAAATAAGAAAATTCTTGAATGTTGCGGAAAAAAATGTAAGTACTTCTGAATATTCAAATTTACAATCTCATGTAAGAGACTACGTCTTAAAAAACCTTCCTTCAGTCCAAGACATTTTAAAAGTTTGGAGAGATGCAAATGAATCCGACGAAAATGTAGATGCTGTACAGGAGATTTTACTGCCTCGCAAATCTAAACATTTTGCATGCATTTTGGATTTACTGCGGTGCTATCTTCGCATTTTTCCTGAATACATACGATCAAATGATCTTGAAGAGTTGAAGGAGCATTCTCAGGCATTACTGACATCATTAAATGCCCTTGAAGATGTTAGTGAGGAGGAGCTGAAATTCATGAAGTTACAAGCAATTCAAATAATTCAACTTTTGAATCCCAAGATTTTCGAACCCAGGGAACAATTTTTGGCAAACACTCTTTTATTCTTGCTACCTCTACAGGAAGATTCTTCTGATAAAATTAAATTTGAGGGAACGCAAACGATAAAATCGCTTTTGCAGGCATCAAAAATATTTGAAAAGTGCGAGGATCAAATAGATATCTGGTTAAATAGTTTGAATCTTCTCAAGAATTCTGAAGAGAGAACAGAAGTTTCTCAGTGGCTAGTAAAAATCATACCAAAGGCAGCCAAACATGCTGTAAAGTACCAGGGATTGATAGAGAATGTTGAAAAGACTGCAGAAAATACCGATGCTGATGTGGTTCGAACAGAAAAACCTCCAAAAATTGAAACCAATTTGAATAAGTCAACAAAACCAACAGCGAGTATTCCAGCTATTCTGTGTGCTAGTTTCGATAATTTGAAAAAGCATTGGAACGAAACTGCAGGAAAATTCATTGGGTTCATAACGGTTTTAACATTGCATTGTCAAGTATCGCCAAATACTTTAATTGAAATGAGTAAGGATATTCCAGGCAGGCAATTGGAATATCTAAATAGCTGGAGAGTAGGAGAGACGCCGATGCCCCTGAAGAAGATATTATCAAAGAACATTGTAGGGAGATTCAGCAAACATTTACTTACCAGTGAAGTAATTGAATTCGATAGAATTCTGAGTAATGAAGATGGTTCAATTTCAAACTATGAATTTATGAATCTAGTCCGAATGACAGTCTTTTATCTGACTCAATTTATCCAGAGAGGTGAACTGACCGAGAAGAGACTTGATCAATATAAACAAGTGATAATTAAACTCTTCGATTTTAACAAATGTTCAAGCAAAGAAAAGTATGACTCAAATAGTGTAATCGAATGCACCAGATATATTCTGATACATCCAATACTTTTGAATTCTTTCAATCCAGTGGCGAAGATACAAGATAATACAGCGAAGATTGTAACTATTGGCCTTGTCGAAATTTTCGAGAAAATTGTGGATATTAATGAGGAGTCAGACATTCAAGATTTATTAGTGCCCTTTAAGAATAAATTAATGTCTCTTTTGAAAGTTGTTCTGAGGAAATGTGCAGGTGGGTGGGCACTGAGAACCACACATTGCCTCCTGAAATATATCTCAATTCTTCAACTGAAATCGTCTGACCTCCAAGAGATTCTCAAAAGTCTAACGAATTTACCACGGGAAGGTTTTTTAACTGAAGATAAAAAAACTCTCTCTATTTGGGGACAAGTTGTGCCAAGATTAATGGAATTATTATCGGAAAAGAAGAATTTAGAAATGATTGCGCAATTATCAAAAGAAACTCAAATGGTCCATAAGGTGTTTATCTATTTTACACATTTAAAATGCACAAGACTAAACATAGAGAGTTGGGAAAATTCACTTTATAAATTCTTGAATGCTTTCCCTCATCTCATCGCAGTAGTGGATCTAAAAACTTTCAACTCCTTACTAGAGAACGAACTTGGTGAATCAACAATCCGCCTTATATGTTTTCTCACCGAGAGAAATCCAAAATTAATTCCACCATTCACCAAACACGTTTCAAGCGACAAAATTCTAATTGGACACCCTAAACTAATTTTCGGCGTCTTATCGAGCAATTTGACTTACAAATGGAGTTCAGAATTTCTATCTAAAATTAACCAACAATATGAACAGAATATTATTGAATTCTTTTTGTTCTCCGAAAAATCTCAAGATTGGCTCAACCAAAATGTAGATGCAGTGACGTATCTGATTAATGCTTGCTTCAGCCTTGAGGTATGTGAGGGAATTTCAAGAAAAAGCTTGTCCAGTGGCGATAAACTTGAAACCGTAGATTTGAACTATACGAAACTCCTCTACAATCTGTTCTTAAGAATTTCTCAACTGCATCAGAATCCCCAGGAAATTCTCACTCAAACTATTCAAGTTCTCATTCGACTAAGCGTTACAATTCTAAAAAAGAATACAAGAGACGAAGAACGAATTGAAATTCTCTGCAAGTATATTTCCGAAACAGTTACAAAACTCAAATCATTTAAGAAAAACATTATTTTGGAAGAGCTGAGTAAAAGTTACTCGTGGCCTCAGTTCACGAGGTTCTCTTTAAGATCAGGACTGAAGAATTTGAAAAGCGGTTCTACAAAAGTTCTATCATTGTTGAAGACCTTATCAGAAGTCTGTGACATCGCTTACGAAGATGAAAGTCAATGCGAATATGTAAAAACATTATTCGAGATGATAACATCGCATTCCGAATTCGTGAACCTCATGTTGAGTTCTCAGGACATCAAGCAAGATTTACTTCGACTCATCTTTATCCTTATCAAGAAGAATTCAACAATAATGACGTCATCTCATATTCCCCTGTACTTATCAGCTTATAATGCCTCGTTGAGTCAGTCCGATAAACAAATTTTGTTGATTCTCCAACATTATGAATGTTCGGGAATCAAATTGACGGAATATAAACCTTATCTGTTTGGAGAGGCTGCGGCCTCTCATCACAATGTAAGGGGGAGAACAGACACTGCTATTTGGAGACAACCATCAAATTCGCAAGTCCTACAGCTCTTCAACATGGATATGGTCAGGAATACGATAATTAATTTTCCAGTTGAAAGAACACTGCAACTCAATGAATTACCGTGCGATAAAAATGTTTATGATCCAGCATTTTATTTACCACTGTTGACACACTTGCTAGCAGACAATAATATGATTGAATGTCATAATGTTACTCAATCTGGTGCACTAGCATTGGTGTTTGCTGCGTGCGGAAGCACCTGTCAGGAGATTCGTATGAGTGCACTCACTATTTTATCCAGATTCTACTTTCATCTCGAAGCTACAAGGTAATTATGAACATTTCAACATTCGAAAAAACTCTCATTCCCTATTAAAAAATTCAAAATAATGTCTCTACTATTTTCATATCTTTCCATTTTTTCTTTCAACATTATCTATGTAATACGGAAAGGTTGTAAAAATATATCTTAAATTTTATGGCATAAAATTAGAGAGTTGGAAAATCCATTGATTGCAGAACTTCCATATAAAAGATTATTATTTTTTTTAGATCAAAGGAAAAGTTGCTGTGGATGCGTATGATTGACGTGGTGCGGAATGCCATTGCATCGCTTGACTGTCCACTGACTAATGTTCGTTTGAATTGTTTTGTTTCGACATTCCTCGCAAAGAGTTCACTGATTGCTACTCAACCATTGAATCCACTCTACGCTCCTCTCCACAATTTTTTTATGGCTAAACCAGAACTCGATTTGAGAACAATACCGGAATTTTTAACCTTGTTCAATAGCTCTCATATCAATCATAAGGTGCACCGGCATTGGATTCTGGAGGTGGTACGTGATGGATTAAAGACAAACTTCGATATGGAAATTGCATCAAGATTCTTTTTATTCAGAATGCTCTTCTATGTTTATGGAAGTGTTCTTACTGATGCCGATACCAAAACTTTGATTCTCCAAGTGATCAAATCGGCCGTGACAATTCCAAAAGCTGCATTGTTTTTGTGTCACAATTCTGAATTACTTGTCTGGCTTAATGTAGTTGCCAGTGAAATAAATTCTCGAGACAACGAAGGCTTCGAGTTAATCATCGAAATAGTTAGGACTTTACTCGATACATTATTGAGTATCAATGATAGAAATAGTCACATTCAATTCATGTTACTCGAAGTTTTAAAAATTCTCATTCCAAAATTATCTAGGAATACAAAAGTGAGCTGTTACTCCAAATTGTTGCGCTCCCTTGAAGAAATTTTGAAAAACAAATCATTATGTACGATGATCCATAAAGATCAAATTCAGAGATTGGTTGAAATATCGATGAATATTGTGGGCGATGTACAAGAGTGCGCAGAGATTTTAATCTATAAATGTGAGTTTGTGGGGATCTCGGAGTCAATAGACTGTAATGATGAACTTGATGCAGCCAAAGTGAATCTTAGAAATATTGTCATCCTCTGGCGAACTCAGATAAAATCATAATTTATCGATGAAGAACTATTGTAAATAAAACGTCATATTTTCTTGAATTAACGTTTCTATCCATTTTTATATATTTTATATGACTAAAGACGTTTTCAATTGATTAAATTTTTGTGTGGTAGTTATTGTATCGTTCTTGTCTTCCAACGTTGAAAAATTGCCGTATCGTCTCTTTTCCTCTTGAAAACTGATGGTAATCTCTGTAGATTACTCAATACAATTTTATTTATAATGGAACCATTAGACTTGAGTTTTGAAATATATTTTTTCGTCTCCAACTGATGAAAAAGCTTCGTAACTGCCTTTCAACGGGAACGGGAAATAGAGACTTTATAGGAAAAAATAATTTAATAAATGAATTATGAATTTCCTTTAATTTTGTATAAAGAAAATCCCTGACTTGCACAATCCTTTTTCCGATGCTAATTAAAATTTGGTTATTAGGATGGTATTAAAAAAAAATTACTGCCCGAATGTCTAAGAGCTTCTTGACTAATTATAATTTTGGCATTAAAACTTAGACAATTCCGTCATAATTTGTGACCCATGGAATGCAACTATAAAGGGCCGACTGGAGAAATTGAAAAATGTTGGAGTTAAATACTCTGAATACATCGAAGCTCGCATATTCAATCAATATGCAAATAACTGGGAATCGGTGAGTGTAACTGACACAAAATCTACGATCCAAGATATCCGCTGAATGGAATACTTATTCAGACAATTTTTGCCAATAGCATCTACGATTTGGCAAAATATGAGCAAGTTATCGACGAATTGTTAGCATACTGTTGCCGGGCGAAGGGTTATACAATTCTTTATAAAATGTAAAAGCTCTGAATGATTGAGATTATTGGAAAATCTGTCAATGCCGATAATTTGTAGGCAGCACGCGTCGAATTGGTAAAGAGATGATGATAATAGAGTGAGAGAGCAACATGGAGAACTGTACAAGCTGTACAAGGCCCACGAAAGTTTTTCATAGTGTTAGAAGAGTGGAGATTGGAGAGGGGATAGAAAGAGGTAGATGAGAAACAGGTAGACTGTAGAGAGAGACTACGTTGAATATAAGAATATACTGTTTCAGTCTCTCGTTCGTTGATCTCCTCAGTGGATCGCAGTTGAGTTCGAAGCTTGACTCAATTACGACATTGTATTTGAGTGAAAAATTAATTAGCTAGGTGCCATTGATACGGTAATATGTTTAATTAACAATATATCGTAACGACAATAGTTCAAGTTCGAAAGTGATGGTGACGTGGAAAGAATTTAATATCACTGTTATTGATGTGCTGATGATGACAGCAAGAGCCAAACTATGGGAAGAATTAAATTTTATGGTATAATTAGAGGTGAAGCGAAAAGATAGAGATAAATATCGACCCACATATTGATGAGTACCCACCACTGGTCGTACATCGCACTCAACATAGTTCTGAGTATTTTGTAAGTGGAGCTTGTATCGCCGAGTGACTTCAATGCATGGGCTGTTGGAATATCGCGTCCGCGTTCGTCTGCCGGATAAAACCACCAAAATTGCACAAGGCCCAGCGTTTAATCCCAGTGACAATGGACATTGTCATTTGTTCTCACCGACTCTTCGCTATTTATTCCTTCAAAGCTATTAATCATGTTAATGAGAGTTTTGTGAGTCATTCCACGTATGTTTCTATACGCAAATATTCCAGTGAACAAAATATTATAATCTTTCTTTGAAATTGAATTTCTTTGAAATCGAGAGTACCAATCCCGATTTTCGGCTGGGGACGACAACGGGGGAGAATTTTTTTCAATCCTTCACTTGAAGAGCATCACCCATTTCATTTCATGAAAGTGTTCAAGTGCATATGTACATGCACGTAAACCACCTATAGGAGAGTTGCTCATGACGTCATACATTTGACCACATCTTTGCTGAGGATTTGGCCATGTTTCAAGTTATTTTTCCAAATTTAACTATTTAGTGTTTGTGGTAGTGCTTTGATGAGAAGTGATTGAGTGTAGAATTTTGATTTATCGAGAGGATTTATTAACGCCACTACAAAATCATTTATCTTGGAATATTGCAAACGGGTAAGTTACAGTTCAGGAATTTTTTATAGTTCTATTCATCGAAAATATTATAGGACTGAAGGATAATTTTTTCTTAAAACTTCAAACTCCATTGTTAAATTCGCTATGTTCCTGAATTTTAAAGATATATATTGAACCCTCACCAATTTCCTATTTTTTCATTTTTGACAATTTTGGGGTAGTATAAAGCATCCTCTAATTTACCGCCCTCAGGATTTTCAAGAGAAATTATGAAATACGTATCCATTGAATTGGAATCGCGATGATCGACAGACTTCTGCAAAATATGAGAATACATTTCAAAAACACCGACTATACTTTTAGAAAATGAGTAAAAATACTGCTGAGAATATATTTTTCAGTAGGTAACAGTTTAGAAATTTTGCGATCATGTGTAATATTTTTGAGAAGTACGTTAAACTTATTTCTTACAAGTATTTTCCTAACTATTTGAAAGTCAGCTGACCAAAAGTTCGGTTCAAAGCGTTTGAGAGGTAATCCTTTTTTCGAGTGTTATGTCAAATTCATGATTTAATTATCTTGAAATCTTATGCCCATTTTATCTTCATTGCTTACTTTCAGAACTTTTTCTTACACCGTATTCTGCCGATATAGGCTCCAAATATGAAATCGATATGTTGATCGCTTATGCTGTTAGTGTCAAATTAGTTGGGTGTTGTTATTGATTGCTCATTCTTCCCTTCGTTTGCACTAATTGTCTGTCATTAAGACCTGAGAACATTGGTGTTATTTTGTGTAACGGATACAGCACCTTTGATATTCTTTTATTAATTACTTCTGTCTTCTTATATTTTTCAGATGCCCCACGGAAATGGCAGAAAAAATGCGCGAAACAATTGCGCGCAGTGAAACTGGCCGATTTGCACGCCAACTCGTGGACGGGGTAAAACCAGGGCGGGATGAAGTGAGTTATCCCTTCTTCTCTCTCTAGTCATATATTCCATCTACTGTAAAACAATACGTTTTTTCTTGTAATTCAGAGCGTAAAGCAACAAGCTCTACCTACGGACTGAATCAGAAAAATGATAGTTCGATACACACCCGTATTTATCACTTATGTTACAAGGCCGCGTGGCGTATGTTACTTAATACTTTTCAGCCATTGTCGCATAAATCACTCATTCTTCCTCATAGGATTACAGAACTCACTTTCGGCTCACCAAAACAGTATATTTCACGCCTAGGACGAAAAAAGGGAATCTGACGAATGCGACTTTATAGTCCGAGCCGGAGACGAGGATTATAACGCGCATGAGTCAGAATCACTTTTTTTCGCCGTGGCTATGATGTTATTATATGTTATTGTGGCCGAAAACACGTTTTTATCCGAGCGAAGCGAGGTTAGAAACGCCTTTTACCGGCCGCAATGACATAAAAGTTTTTCACAGCCTAGTGACGAAATGTACTGTTGTATAGTCTCAAATATACTTTGCAAGTTTGAAAACAATGGCGAGAACATTGGTGTCTGTTGTAAGGGTCTCCACAAGTTTAAAAAAGGTGTCAAGTTTATTAACCTTTTACCGATTGGTTACGTGAAGTGTCGGAGGTACTGGCCAATACCGGATATGCGTTTAGTATGTGTTCAGTACGTTGACGTTCTGGTATAATGGTGGGGAGCGTCCATATGATTTGTACCCCCACTCTGAGGACTGACTATATAAGGGCCTGCACGACAGGCACTCGTGCAGTTCGTGCTCGTCACGCTTGGCATACTGTACAACTTAAGCATTTTGATTTACTTCCAGTCATTTTGGGTAATCAGTTGTGATACATACATAGATTAGGGGTCTCACCCCCGATTTTTTTTTAATTATCAATTGCCCCGCCTAAAAGATGTCAATAATAAATTCAGTTAAGAATTGCAGGTAAATTTTACTCATACTTACACTAGGTGCAGATACTGTACAGCCTTGCACTTTAGTTTCAATTCTCCTTTCCAAACCTTTCCTGTGATATACCCTTGCGGGTATGTCTTTACGACCCCCCCCCCCCTATTACCCCCTGTACTGCATTTTCCGAAAGGGAGAAAACCCTCATTTGTGGGAAAATAGTTACTCAGGTACAGTCGTCCTTTTGACAGGACTCCCGCTCGACAGTTAAACTGTGAGATTAGAGCGTTATAAATTTTAACTGCCGGCGTCTGAGATCGAACCCGGATTATTGACATGCTACTCTAGATAACAGGTAGATAATATGTATCACTTTAACCGTGGTAATTCGTCGGTCAATTCTCCTTTCCATTAAAGTCTTGAGAGATTCTTCAGAGAGAGATCTTCCAAGTGTTATTTATTGAGTAGAATTTTTTTAACCGCCATTCCTCATAAAGGGAGTGCATGAGTCTTATTACAGTAGAGCTTAATTTGGTACATTCAAGACAACTGACAACACCTGGATGAGCTATATGATTATTCTGTTTTTTAGAGGGTACAGGATCTGGTGGGTAATATTTTTGCGTCGTATTAAAGAATTCATCAAACCATTTGTGAACTCCATCGCCATTTGTGAACTCCATTTAAACATGTTTTCTACTAAATATCCATGAAAGCGGTCTTCACCCAGGCCGTATCGTTGGATCATATCCTTCCTTTTTCTCAACGTTCGCTCAATGTTTTGTCTCTGTGCTCCAGATATTGGATCCACAAAATTGATTGAGTGGTTGATAACTAAGCACTCATACCCTTCACGATCAAGATCAGTGTATGCCTTTCAGCCATCTGAGAAAATAGTAATCCCAGGTTGGACCCAGTCCTCTTTGACACACATAAGAGTCTTTGCACTCTTATTTTCCACAACGGTAATGACCAAAGCTTTGCTATCCCTTTCGATCGCACCAAATATCTTTCTACCATCTACCATATGGCCTCTGTTGTATTTTTGATGTCCAATTTTTGACTCATCGACCTCAACAATCTTCCCCGGTCCTCTTAACTTGCGAGAGTTGTCTTCAGAGAAGTAAATGGGAGCTTCCCGAGTGACATTCGACTGATCCACCACTGTTTTTGTGCTGAGATATAGCTTACTACTGACGAGATCTTGGCTAAACGGGTTAATGTATACGTATAATCCTGTAAGTCTCAGTGAAGGCGGTATCCGGATTTGTGAGAACCATGATCCATTAAACGCACAGACCTTGGTGTTGCACTGGGAGTTACGTTTCTTCCGATGAAAATCATAGATGACTATCCTCTTCCTCCACCTGAACTCGATATCTGCATCACTGAATCAGCGAGTGATTTTCGGTCTGTTCTTCGATAACACTCATTATATTGCTATTGCTAGAAGGTGTTGCTATACACTTGTTGATCGAAGTTCTGAAAAAATGTAATGTTTCCCAGAACTTCTATCAGCAACACGCAAATGGATCACTGGAGGGGGTTAAAAATTACACGAATGGGTGAGCTAAACTTCCTGCCAGCCAGACTGAAACAATTTTTAGTAGAAGTAAAATAATAATTTTTTTTGTGAAGAAAATCGCTACCTTGCACCTAGTCAATCTTGCGCCTTTTCTACATTTTTACCCTTTTCCGATTTTCTTATAGGGTGGAAGAGATCTAAAAGACACTTCGTTTTTTTCTCTTTCACAGAGTTGAGAGATTCTTTTGGAAACAATTACTCCCGTCCCCCAATTTGATCGTACGAGCATCTGACTGATAATGACTGTTATTCATGATCATGGACATTTAGTCGTTCTGCATTAAGTCGCTTCAATAGCCAGTACATGAAGCTGATAACCATTATGATTTGCTGCATGGAAATTATTTTAGATAGTCTGTTATTATTTTCGAATAAATCGTCATGCTACGTGTTATAAAAACTTACTCAAATATCTCTCTGGTTTTCACGTAAAATATTACCCATATACCATTTTTCGGTGAATATTGTCATGCTGTTTGGCAGTCTTCTAGTGATAAGTACATTGCACGTCGATCATCGAGGCTGATAATTTAAACTTCGTATTATTTCGGTTCACTCATACGTATGGGTATTCGAAATCCAATAATAACGAAATAGTGCAATGTCAAAGCTGTTGGTAGTTTCAGATAAATTTTTGTTTTAGCATGGGCGGACACCATTATTTATCGCGGCCGCGGCTGGACAAAATGCTACCTGTGAACTTCTGCTTCTACAAGGTCTCGACATCAATGCAGCTGATAGCGTAAGTAAACTGTTACGTATTTAGCAAATTCAAATAAAGCAAGATGAACCCTATGAGAGCCACAATTTCTCCTGTGTGATACGTGAATGCGTTCGGATCTCAAATCTTCTAACAAAATTTTGCCCAATCCCTCTTGCTCTATCGTATCAGAAGAAGGGCTATAGAGATGTCTCACCAAAATCCGGTCTCCATTCTGTGGTGATCTAAATCCAATGGTCAAACAATGATTTAATCCGGAATGAAATATAATTAGCAACAAGTAAAACGGTCGAAAAATGCTGGGTTTAATCGTACTCCATTATCGCTTGATTGGAAGATTTAAATTATCATGGGATATTGTAGGTTTTTAGGAAATGAAAATGAATTATCGATAGGACGACAGGCAAACGGAAAGTCGCACGAGTGCGTATCGGTATGTATGTACATAAATGCAGTTAGGGGAATACGTTTAACAAAACGGATGATGTAGCAGGCTAATACTCACCAGTCGTAGATTGCTTATATTATCCTGAATCTAGATTAAAAAAACGAAGGCTTCATGAATCGGAATGTTAGTTTGAATTTTAGGAGGAAGCTTTGTACTATTATTCCGAAGATTTCTTGTCGGAATAGTCGACTGTGTACAATCAATTCGGAAGATTTCCACCTTCGATAGTTCCAATTTCGATAAAAATCAATTGCTACAAGCTTGAATAATTTTCATAAATTATTGATCCTTTTTTGTACAATGAACACCCTATAAATGCTAAGTCAAAACCTCGCAGGTAGGCCATTGTTTGTAGTGATTTCTAAGCTCTATCCTATGTTCAAAAGTAGTAGAGACGCAAGGTATTCTGTTTTCAGTATAGCTTGGACAGCATCCGTTAATGTGTCTTACGCCTTATCCACCAGCGTAGGATGCTTTCCACGGTAGTCATCTTCAGGAAAAGCAAACATGCAAAAAATCATAAGTAACTAAGTCAAGAGTCCAGACTCATGGAGGTAGCCATTCTGTACCTACATGAGTATACTTATGGAATATACTTGTATAATAATTTATACTAAACACACAAGTACCGTAAATGGAAAAAAATTATTTGAAACACTTCAGCAGTCCATGGAGAGAGAGTAGCAACGTGAAGGTTTTATCAACTCGACTACGGAATTTCAGTGCTGCCGTCATCATATTGCTTTTTAATTCAAATTAAAATCCGTGCCTATACCCCATTTTCTTTCTTTATTCGGAAACTCCTGGCATTGTCTCGAATCAATTTGTACTATTCACTGAGCGATGAGGATGCTTTAAGAATACATTATCTTGATTAATTTTTCATACCAGTCGGGTGCGCCCTTTGAACACGCTAGTTACTTTGCATGTAATTGGATCTAATCAGTTTAATGTTGATAAAAAATTCAATATTGTACATTTTATCTATAATTGTTATTTCTTCTTTGTTATTTTGGACCACATATTTGATGAGTTTTTCACGAAAAAATAAAATATATGAGTTTTTTGCCAGAATCACAAAGGTTATTAATGACTTTTTTCAAACAGAATAACTGTTTTTCAAAACATGACACATGAAATTTGACAAATTATCGTCCATAACTCTTGATCATATCGATAGACTATATTTAATGCTAGAATTACATTAATCTTAGCGGGCGCATAATGGTGAAAAACTAAAAAATTGTAATGACTCAATGAACAGAAACAGCCAAATCAGATACAACTGATGTAATTTGAAAAAGCGGAAAATTATTCGTGAAATTCTACATGCTTGCCCCTAGAAATTTGTTGAAAATATAAAAATTTGAATCAAACGTTGTGATGTCCAAAAATCTATCTAAATATTTTTTTCTGCGGTTTCCATAAATATTAATCATTTCAAATCCTCTCCATGAATCTTGAATTATATTTTTACTCAATTTCGTCAATGCGGAAATAAAAATGTAAAATCGTCCGAAATCGATTTCCTCATACAAGTGAGCGCACTCGTCTTTGCGACAGAGTGCCATATGCCAGGACAGTGAACCTCACTTGCGAAATCACGCGCTGTCAAAATTGCTAAATTGATAGACCAATTTTCTTTAAGAATAGAAAGTGGGAAAATCGCGCCATAATTTCCACCAATTAAAAGTCAATTCGTGTAACCACCACGGACCGCTCCCCAAAATCCAAATAACAAATTAGTTTGGCAGCTATACCTTTGGAGCGTTAATTTGACTTGAAGTAATCTACCAACGGACTCGATCTGTCTCTTCGAATCTCCCATACAATACAATAATTCCCGAAAGAGTACAGAACGAAAGAGTACGGGGAAATTGCACCCTTAAATTGAAACTAGTAGTGTTTCTTGCATTTTAATTTTAATTAACTGCTACGGGTCTTGGACATTTTCAACCCAAACTTTGTTTTAACTAGGAACGAATGGGTGAAAATCCCTATGAATTGTAAGTTAAATATTTAAATTTCCGGGGAAAAAATTTAAATTTTATTACATTTTGCTATTTCAATACTTGATATCAATTCAACGTGAAGTTCTAGATTTCCTTCAGATTTTTAATTTGTATTTTTCTGAAGATTAAGAATTTAGAATTGCTTTGGAGCATAAAATTTACTTCGAATATTTTGATTATTTCCAATCCATTAAGACTTCCTCGTTCCTGAATTTCCTTTTTAATATTCCTAAATAATAGCATGCAACTAATTTTCAAATTAAATTGAAAACATATAAACATTTAACTTCATTTGCAAAAGTAAAATTCAACTTTTCTATTTTCATATGAAAGGTTCGAGTACATTTTCCGTATTTAATTAGTCTTCCTACGACGTTGACATCTCCGAACATAACTACATGAAAATCATATTCATAACACAGCGGAAATTCTATAAAATTGGATTGATGACCCATTATTTTGAAGAACTATTGGCATACTTCTAAGTGATATATAGAACTTAGAAAAATCCAACCAAAAGTGACTATTTCAAATGAAAACTTGAATGTAAATTTTTAACTGAAACTCTCATAAGTTGATGAAAAATTTTCAAAACTAGACAAGTTCATGATATTCTACAACTTATTCAATGAGCTATCCAATAATATATCAGATGTATGCTCCATAGTATACAGAGATGGATTTGAGCTCAGAAAGCAGAGAAAGTAGCTTGGGGCGCTCACGGATCTTTTACTTATTGATGGATGGATGGGCATTAATCAAACTATCACAATTTTTAGAATTTGAATCTAAACTCTCGACAGGAGTGATGAAGATTCTCAAGTATAAGGTCAAATGATTGGAATAAGAGGCGTATTTTAGCATTAAAATTAATGCGGCGCCTTTTCCAGTCTGACAGAAAAGACTGCATTTATTATTTAAGGGCCATAATGTACCCTAAGGTTGTCATACGCGCAAACAAATTGCAATATGGGGTATCAGCCCCTATAGGGCCGTGTGGCCTAACGGATAAGGCGTCGGACTTCGGATCCGAAGATTGCAGGTTCGAATCCTGTCACGGTCGAATTTTTTTTTTGAATCACAAAATTGTCGATCGTCTCACGTAAGTCACAATCGATCAATCACATTTATTCTATCTAGTCCTTGTTATATCTAAAATGACTGATCGTTTCCTAGAAAACCGTATTGCTAAATGAAATAGAATGCTGATATTTGGGAACTGCCACATTAAGCCTTATTCTAAAAAAGGGAAAAAACCCCTTTCGATCCTGCCTGTTAATGACAAAAACAGCATGACACCAACCCTCAGTAAAATTTACAAAGTTGGTGTCAATAATTCTATTCGTAAATACGAAAAATCTAATAATATAATCCCCGATAACCAATAAGGTTTCAAAAAACAGGATTCATAGCTACATGCTGTGCGCAAATTACTTGCCGATGTCAATGAAATAATTTTCAATAATATTATTGTAGGCACTGTTCTTTTCGATCTTGAACGAGCCTTCAGTTCTGTTTGGCTTAACGAATTAATCTTCATTCGCCTAGAAAACAAATTCTGATAAATGTCTATGGCATTCATCACAACCATCTAGCACATGATCCACATATAATTATATAATAATTTCAGTAACAGTTTTATGATCACAGAAGGCCTCCAACAGACAGTCATTAATTCTCCCATTTTATTTTCAATTTTTATCGCGCACATAATTAACGCGTATAATCTCAATTCAAATAACAGCACATATACCATAGTTTATGTCGATGACCAATTGATTTATAGCTTGGGTAAAACGGGATATTATCTCACGCACACTAAACCAACTAACTAATAAAGTTAATGATATGTACTACGCTTGGAACTTAGGAGTTAACCCAACTCAAAGTGAGGCAATCCTGTTCCAAAACCCGATAATTAAAATACCTAACAAAAGAACACAAACTATAGAAAAATTCGAAAAAAATCATAGATCTCATATCGAATCTTGAACCTAGTATCCCCTTTAAAGATTCGGTTAAATGCGTTGGCGACCATATCGCAAATCACGTTAGGTGTTTATTGGAAATGGGAGGATTAAATAATAAAGAAATCGCAGTTGAATGTAATTGTCACTCAAATATACTTTTATTTTAATGTCACGAGGAAAGACTGTCTTTACTCTCTGGTGAACTCTAGAAGACTAGCTTTAATTTTGACTATGCAAAGGCAAGAGAAATTATTCACCAATATGAAGAAGAAAGAATCCTCTGTTCTTTCTTTCTTCCTAGGAAAACTGTATTTATGTTTGGGCCTCTCTGACTCCACTTACATCGATTGGTTTTTGTATATATAAATATTGAGTTGCTTAAGATAAATAGTTTATGTTAACTCAATATTTCAACAGTGCTCAATTAATTCGGATATTCACATCAACGAAGCCAGGTCCAGATATAAATCCTTAAGCTCTTTTCCATAATAATAACATTAACAATGGAGCTAGAGCTATGTTATTTGTTCCGACTAAAACATATTAACATACACTTCTTAAATTCTCTGGAACATGGGAGCAAATCAAATGAAAAGAAGCTGCCTGAGAACATGCCTCTTCCTCTATAGATCGTTTCATAGTAATTTTCATGACTTGGTAGACAACAAAACTTGATACTCCGATCAGCCCGAAATTCCATAAACAAATTAGAAATAATCGATAATCACACCATCCAATGGCTATCCGAATGTCCGGAACATGAGGCCATTGGTGGACCTAGATGAGGCAATATCAAGCCCCAGTACTTTTTCCTCAGGATTCCGTCAATAGACCGGTCTTTTACCGCATTAGTACGCATTAAAAAAACACAAAAATCCCCAATGACAGTTTTAGGATCGCGGAATTTAAATACTGGGGAGTATTGAAATTAACGACTGCGTGAGAGTCAATAAAGAGTTTTGGCGACTGCGTGTTGACGAGGAACATCTGAGATAATGCAGGATTTGCCAACAGATTTTCAGAGATCGGAACAACCATCAAAATGCTGTTTCTGGAGCAGCGAGATATTACTGGGACCCCTTTAGGCCTCTTTGAATGATACGATCTATTAAAATGTGCACCGTTAATAATCTCAAGATACTGGGCAAGCTTGTTTATTGATCCAGACAGGCGGGTATCAAAGCTCTATTAAAAGCGTACCTTATAAAATGACCGTATCACCGGAAATAGAAGTTTACAGTACCTTGAAAACAGAGTGAAAATCAATTGAACGGTTTTTTACTGAGAAGTCCGTTCATTTATCATTCGTTCGTCTATTGTTCATCAATTTTGTTTCTCATATTTATTATAACCATTACCAATTATAATTGATTCAATATTTAACAGGTATACTATGTCGTTTAGTGACATAATTCTTTGTTTCGGTTTGTAAAGTAGATTTATTGTGTTCATATAGCATTCTATTTTGATCCTTCATTTAAAATGTCATTCTTTTTTGTAAATTATATTGGTTGATCCTCTTGAGTTGTCGAGGTTCTCGAGATAGGATAATAGCCAGTGGGACTGTAAGCATTCTAAATATGTTTAAAAATTGTTTAGAACTTTCCGGTATAATACATTGAAATTTCTCCTGAGAGTGAACGATATAGGACTTTTAGGCGAGTTAGATAATTTCGAAATAATAATTCCAATCATTATTGTTTCTTCTTGTTATAGTCCGGAGTTACTCCCCTACAGAAAGCTGCAGCCGAAGGCCACTCTGAGGTGGTTGAATTGCTTTTAAAACACGGCGCCGATATATCATGCCAAGACAATATTGTAAGTACCCCATTTTTTAATGAAAATCATCGATACCTGGTAGCATATTGGTACCAACAATTGATATCTCATCGAGATGGTTTCGTTGAAGCGGGTATAGATTGCTTTATGAGAAAGAGAAATCATGATTATGTCAACGAAATAAATTGTTAGTGCTAATTTAGTCCCATATGTTCCATATGATCAATTGAAAGCATAATCGTAACAAAACATGGTTAAAGAATTATATGATTTAATGGCCTATTAAGAGGAGCGCACCGCCTCCGAAGGAAGCGTATTCTCTTCAATCGAAAGAAAAAAGAAATTGTCCTTTGAGAATAAAATAATGTGAGATCACGTAGTAGAATTCCTGTTGCGCTCAGCTGTAGACTGCGAATTGAACGCAACGTCAGAAATCCAGATTTCTTCCCTAGATCGTAGATTTAGAACCGCTGATGTCTACTGATTGTGCATGCAAGGTATGAAGATAGTGTCTGATGGTTTGTGGACTACCTCCAGATAAGACGGTTCAATGGAACAAAGACCTGCAGTTTAGTGGCGGCATTGGAGATCAAAAATATTTTGATCTCAGTCAGGTGTGACTGTATTATGGAAGCACTCGTGAAATCCAACGTACCAAATCACAAGCTATTAGAATTGTTAACAGCTTTTTCACCAACGGAATTCTCACCTACATCACTGAACATGATGCTGCGGAACGTTTTCGATGATTTATTTCAGCGCTCTGCATTGGATAACTTATACCGGAGTATCATGTACGATGAGCTGCTGATGCTGCAATTACCGTCAAATTGCAATTGGCATAGCCGTAATCGTCATAAGAAACTATGTAGGGGAGATAAACTTCATATTTGACATGACGTTTGAAACGATGCGGCCCTGCAGGCTGATATTGGGCCTGACACCAGCAAAACACAAAATAAAAGCCATGGTAATCTCTAACGAGATAAAAACGAGACACGACGAGTCATCACGGTAGTATTACTGAGAAGTGATGTTGAGCCCCATAACTTGGTGGAAGTGATGATGCCATCATAAGCAGTATTAGACGCAATGAGCGACTGTGCGGCTAGAGTCATGACGGAACTGAGAAGAGAGAACCACAGGGGTTTCATCACTAGATCAAAAATCGAAAAAAGCAAACAGCTGAAACTTCTCTCGCCAAGTAATATTTAATGATAGTGACGTGGGTGGTTATGGAAATTATGGTTTTCTATCATTTCTCCTGATCCTCACTCCAGAAAGTACTTAAACATGATGAGAGGGTTTATTACTGACTCTCGACGTCCGCGCTCTAATACGGCTATTTTTCCGGTTTTTAGCACGGAGACTCAGCACTTCACGAATCATCATGGCGTGGTTATAGTAGAACGGTTGCAGTACTGGCTAAAGGCCTCGGAACCCAACGTGTCCCTCTTCATGCGAGAAATCTTGCGGGATTTGCTCCGCTACATCTTGCCTGTCAGAACGGCCACAATCAAAGTTGCAGAGAACTACTCCTTGCCGGGTGTAATCCGGATCTTCAGAATAATGTAAGTTTTCACGGTGTTGGATTATGGAGATCGTAATAAATAAACACTTGGAGTAATTTTAAGACTGAGAATTATCATTCAAATCTATAAGACTCTAGGCAGTCAACAGGTATTTTACTGAACGAAGACTTACAACCAACTAACTAAACGTTACTAGTGAGGCCCACGTTAAACTCTTCTCCAGAGGGCAATATAATTTCTCCTTCCACCCTTGACCCTTGGACTTTTTTTTGTTGATCCTCTGATCATCAGATGTATTTTGGGAAAAACCCCCAATGAGAAAGTTCCTCTGGAACTTTCTCTTTTTTTTTTGTTATAACATAAAGGAAAAGTCCCACAGCAACAAAGAAATAAATATTTCCTGAATCCGGAAATATAAAAACTCTAGAAATGTGAATTTTGAACCCGGGAAAAAATCCGAAATCCAACAGAAGACATATTTGGGACTTGTCAAATTCTATATTATGGATCTATTTCTTAAAGTATGGAGATACACCTCTTCATACATCAGCCCGCTATGGCCATGCGGGAGTCACCAGAATATTGATATCTGGATTATGCAGAGTGTCAGATCAGAACAAAGTGAGTACTGTTTTCCTTATTTAAAAAATTGTCTTCACTTGGAGTCACTTGACACTTTCAACTTTCAAAGAGTGGAGAGTCTACTCCTTTGGTTAAGCAATATATTTATTATACCATTTTGAAGAACCACCCCGCATCGCCCCTCGAAATATTGTTTTTGAACATTCGGTAGAAAAATGTATAGATACGCCAAAACCTACATTTCTTCAAAAAACCTGAGAAAATTTTCGATGAAAGCTGTAGTTTTGATTTTTTTTTAATGCTTTTTAATGCATGAGGTTTCTTGATTTAATTTGAAAAGTAAATATTTTTAGAAGGAAAGAAAATCAACATAATCTTTGATATTTCGGCTCATAATTATAATAGAGACTTTCGCCTGCGCACGTTTTCCTTGACTACTTTTCGGAAAAAAAACAGAGTCGTGTTAATAGTCGGAGCAATGGCCTATATATACGAATATATAAAGCCCTTGTTACAGCCAGCCAATTCCACTTAAAAAATACATTATTTATATTAGCAATTTACAATCTCACTTGTGGAGAATTTTTCGATGATGCTCGTCCATTTTGATCTTCACAGAATGGTGATACTGCGCTTCATATTGCAGCAGCGATGGGTCGAAGAAAACTAACTCGAATTTTGCTAGAAGCCGGTTGCGACCGTTCCCTCCGCAACAAGCAGGGGGAAACAGCAAAAGACATTGCCAGGCGAAAAAATCTTAGTGAAATCCTGGAAATAATAAATAAGTCTCGAAGCAAGAGTCGATCACGCTCGAAAAGTGAAGATAAAGTAAATGATATTGCCTTTAACACAACTCCAGAGATAAGATCTGCTAAGGGTGAAAAGAAAAGAGAGAAAACTGGGAGTGGAACGAGTGGCAGCAGAGATGGAGGTACAAAAAAGGAGACGAAGAAACATAAAAATGATCATAAAAGTCATATTGGGAAAGCTGTTATCGGGAAACAATGGTCGCCATATGGTTGCCACTATTACCCTGATCCTGAGGCTTTTCCTCAGCCGAAACTCGACTCGTTGCCCTCGGACCCATTAGCTAGAGGGGAGCAGTACTACTTGGATCTCGCTGGTAACATAAGAAAAGGTCCAGTTGGCGTAGGGTACACTTGCTACTGTGCACCTTTCTTCCGACATATGGAAGCCAAACTGGAGCGTGATAAAGCAGAATTAAAAGCGCACATCGACCAAGCACATGAGCGATTAGATCTCAAAGTCGCGCACTTGGAGAGGAGAACACGAGGGCAAATTTCAGAGTTAACGAGATATGTTGCTGCAGAAAGGTCCAAATGTGAGGAACGTCATGCACATTTACGAAGATGGATACACCGTAAAGAATTTGGCAGACATTCAGAGCGACTTCCTAAAATCGTTAATGAGGAAACAAATCCACTGACAAAGGCTAGATCTCTCGAGGATCTTCTTGATGAGAGACCTCAGGACAGGAGTTTTGAAATACAGGGGGAGACAAATGGACGTAAGGGAAGCTTGGATAATCTCGATATACCTCCTATTCCAAGACTGAGTAAGAGCTGCAAAGACGTTTCTGTCGATGGAGCCAGACCGGCATTATCTGTTTTAAATGCACCACAGAGGCTTAATGAGACGTTCGATGGGGTGATTGCAAGGGACAGGACATCGCCGTTGGGAGCTGCTGCGTCACCGACTATCCACTTGAAACATGAAATAATACAACAACAGGTGATTATAACATTGAGAAAAAAACCTCTAAAAACTGAACCTTCAAGGAATCCTTTCTTCCCTGTAGGTTTGAGAAACTATCAACTTTGACGCACATTTCTACACTGAAATAGGTGCAATTACTCATAGTCTTTTTTTTGGTTTTTCATGCAGATGTCTCTTCATTACGATATCAAACACAGCGATAAGGAAATGGCAGTTAACGAGGAGACTAGAGAGGGATGGAAGCTATCACCCACTAGAAGGAGTGTTCACGAGATGATAAAACGTTTTCAACAAACCCCAGGGATCCATCATGGTTGGAGATCACCGCAATCTGCGAGCAGTGAACGAACTGTTAATCTTAATCTTAGACAGTCTTCAACGGGACACAGAATTCAAACGCAAGGAACAGCATCTAGTGGACGTCACGTGGAAAGTCATGGTAAAAAGAAAACTTATAAAAAAAAGGCTAATCAATTATCCTCTCTCACATGTTAATTAATAATGAATTGAGGCAGGTAATGAGAGCGAGAGTAGTGAAGCGGAAGATGATGTCGATATCAGCCCAATAACGAATGGAAACAGCCAAAAACGTTTCGATAGGGTATCAGAGAATTCCCATTACGATTCGATAGCAAGAATGCCATATAGATCGCGTAGTGCTGTTTATAGTCCCACTCCACCGCTTCATGATGCGCATAATGACTCTGGATATAGTACGAAGATGTACGGATCGAGTAAAGGTGCTTCTCCTTCCCTATCAGGTAAAACTATTGAAAATCTCAGAATCCATAGTATAGTCTGTCCGTAACTGCAGATGGTGTATACTTGGATTTAGGTTTAATATCTTAAGGCTGCACACCAGGGTCTTGAAAATCAATTATTGTACAGTTTGTCATGATGTCCAGATAGATGATCACTACATGATCTGACAATACCAATATTTAACCCAATATTTGCCTAAAGTTTTGTTGAAATCATTAAATAAAATAATCACAAGGTTTCTGACCAAAGCCAATTTTTCACCAACCTCATTTTTTCCAGTAATTACCTGAGTTTTTACTTTTTTGGGGTTTTTCTCTACTGCTGGGATTATGTCTGCATTTGTTGTTCTAAGAATCTCTCCGGCAATGTTAACAGAGTCACGTTACTACCAAAGTGCCAATATGCGCAAAAAACGTATTTTCATTCTAATTATAATTGAAATACATCAGAGTATATTAACACTTTTAAAATATAATAAAAGTTAATTTGAGAATAGCGAATACCGAGAATGACTAGCGCATTGTTTGAAGATACATGACTTTACTCCTGGAAATGGCCGTTTTTTTGCAGGTACGTGACTCTTTTACTGAGCTGTTAAGACGTTATTTTCTCTTGCCGTCTTCTCTTTGACTAAATCCTTAAAGGAGCTGTAACTTTTACTCATTTTCTTCTCAATACGAATCTAGCCAGTCCATATTTTCAGATTTTTTGTGAATTTTATCTGTCTAACGCTCGTAAAGCCTCAAGATAATTCGCTAGCCATAGTCAGTGTATACCTTCAATTCCTACAGTTGCGTCAATTTCCTTGCATATAAACGGCCACTAAATTTTTCTGAGACCTCAGAAAACAGGAGTGCAACAACCGCTGTTTGCAACGAGTATTAACTAAATAGTCACCGGGTCCTTGGGCTGCTTTGGAGTTGCAGGGAATATGAGTTCAGTTAAACATTTTTTTCGATATTTCGCTTACTGCTTACAGGTAGCTTTAGATGGTTATGGTTGAACGCCTTTAAAGAGTCACACAAATTTTTCTATGGGTGTTCCGTAGTTTCTATCAGTGAGAAAATTTTTTGCGTTTAAGATATCCTAGAAACATTGAGTCCCAGCCACATTCATTTACTTATCAGGCTAATAATTAATTTTTCCATACTGGTGCTCACGATTTCTCGTCTAGGAATTGATACTACATACTTCCCAAACTCGAAAACTTGAAAATCACTATGGAATAGTTATTTTTTTCATCTCGATCACGCGTGTTTGATCTAGAGCCATTGAAAAAGAAATTTGACTCAAGTAATTTTGAAACCAAATCGAAATTCAAGATTTTTTAGGAACATCCGCAATAAGTTTATAGGGGTAACAGAAAATGCATGAGAGACCTGAAATTTTTACCATTAAAGATTAGTAATTTGAAAATCGGTTTTGAAAATCTTGCCAAGATTGCCAGTATCGATTTGTATGGAGAAAACAGGAAAAATAATCATTTGTCACAGAGCCTTATGAAACACTTTTCAATAATCTTCATGCCGCTTCAATGTTTTTGGGCTTTCAGCGGAATTTTCTTAAGCGTAAAGAATGGCAGCCGATTTGGAGGGAAGAGGAAGAGAGCGTATCGCAACAGAGAAGGAAGGAGGAAGGATAAGTATGTGTGGTAAAGGCAGAAAATGTAAAAATCCGTATGGATATACGTACTGAAATAAAAATGGAATACAAATCGTACAACTGTTCACAACATTTTTTTCTCTTTCTTTTATACAAAATAGTCTATTCTATGATGTACACATATGTCCTAAGAATACTGAATATGGCGCTGGTTTTGTCTTTCCAGTTGCCTTGCGTATTCGGATATTGTAGTATGGTACAAAGGTATTCCAGTAAGGGTATTGGAATTGGCGCCACAGATTTGAGCAACAATGTAATCTCCTGATTTAATATTTTTAGATTTATCGTTTTTTCTGTCACTAGGAATTACCGGATCATGAATTATCACACGAGTATTGCCGTCAGTTCGGCCTTGAAGAACATGAGTCGATTTTTTACTGGGCTGAAAACATCCAATAAAATTGCATTTAATTCATTTTACTTCTTTTTTAGGTTCAAATATTTAATGAAACTCGAGAAATAAGTTTATTCAAATAGGTTTGCATACAAGGCAAAATTTTATTGGTGAAAAACGTTCGGGACTTGAGCGTTAGAAATTTTTTTAAAATAATTATGTTGCCAATTATTATTATAATAGAGATCTCTATAATTTTGAATTTCTCCGTTTAAAAGGTACTAAAACGTGATTCTAAAAATGACTTACCCCTTCAATTAATACGAGTTGATGTGTTCCCACTTGCATTCTGTTCAAATTCTCCACTTGCGGCCGCCATAAATGTATCATTCTTGTTAAACGTTCGCTTTTCACTTCTGGAGACACACTATCCACATATCTTCGATGGGCTGTTGTTTTCTGGAAAGAAATAATTACTTCAATTTTATCTTCTATTCAAAATTATGATAGGATTGAAAAATTCAATATATCCAAAAATGACAGCTTACCTCTCGCATGCTGTACTGGAATAAAAATGCCTGGTGATATTTCACTTGATCTATTAATGTCAATGTGTCTTCAAATTCCTCTGCAGTTTCATCGCAGAATCCAGCAATAAAGTCGCTAGATAATTTTATTTGGGGTATTATACTACGAATTCGTTCAACGAGCTCAAGGTAAGATTCACGAGTGTATCCTCTTCTCATTCTTTCCAAAACCGCAGAGTTTCCACTCTGAGCTGGTAGATGAATTTGTTTACAGATGTTGGGTCTCTCAGCAATCAAATGGAGAACTTCGTCTGGGAAATCTTTGGGATGTGGGGACGTAAATCTGCAAAATTTACGAACATAAATATGGATAAATTTAATTCCCTTGCGGAAAACTAATGAAATTTAATTTGTTTACCTGATTCGTATTTCAGGATTAACTTGTGAAACTTTATCGAGCAAATCACTAAATCGAAGTCCACCTAATTTAGGCTTGTAAACTGTTTTAAATCCTTTTGCAAGATGAGTGGAGGACTTCTCACTAGGGTAGGAATTAAATTGCGACAAATCTCTGTAACTATTGACGTTTTGTCCCAGCAGAGTAATTTCCTTTATTCCCATGTCTGACAATTGTTGTACTTCATCCAAGATACTCGCTGTTGACCGCGATCTTTCTCTCCCTCGCACAAAAGGAACGATACAGTAGGTGCACATGTTGTCACATCCTCTCATAATTGATCTTTATAAGAAAAAAAACACAAATGACACCAAATAAAATATCATTAACAATACTTCAACTATAATACATCTACCGGATTTAATTTGAGCATAAATGTACGCCCACATGATCGTTTTATTTATTATTTCTTCGCACATCTTCATTGAAAATTCGTATTTTGCTCCCTGCCAAACGGCAGCAAAATAAATACTTGCCGTCATGTAATGTAATGTAAGGTAATACAGAAGAAATAAAAGGAAGCAGTAGAGTAATTGAATAGAACCCCTTTTCTCAACTAAGGTAATTTCGTATAAGAATCAAAACTAATTGAGCAATTTTTATTAACTCAACATATCGAACTCTTGTTCAATGAAGTATATTTTGTATTACATACACAAACGCAGAGATCGAGTCTGGGTTCAATCTCACAGGAGTTATATCAGCATAAGTTTCTTCCAGGGAAAGTTGGACATTGATGGCAGTTTCATGATTTTCTACAATGGACAGTAGTCTTGGCAAATCTCTGTAGCTGTCAGGTCCAGCTACAAGATCCACAGCTTTTTTTTTCTCCAAAATCTGCGTCTTGAGTCTCTCGGCCATGCAGCCAAGTATCCCAATCTTCAGGGGAGTTTTGCTCGAAAAAGTTTTTCGTTTTCTCTTCAAACTATTCAACTGATCTATTCTTCCCCAGATTTTCTGTTCCGCTCCTTCCCTTATCGCACACGTCACTAGCAGAACAATATCAGCATCGTCCATATCCATCGTTCGACTATATCCATTCCGCTTTAATATAGACCAGATAATTTCTGTATCATTGACATTCATCTGACATCCATAAACATCAAAGTAAACTTTTTGTTCGGGCCCATAATTCGTTCTTAAATATGGATGTTTCCTAGCACTCACTGAAGGTGTTGTTTTTGTGTTTGCGAGAATAAAGTCCGCCAGATCGGGCCCTTCATGAAAGCGATTTTTTCTTTCAACATCTAAATTGTGAGAATTTTTACTTGTAGGTCTTGAATCTGCTCTGTCATAAACTGAACAATGGAATTCATTTAGCATGTTATGGAACAATAATGGAGACATACGATTGATTTGATCCTTCTTTTGCCATTGCAAGGACAAAATTCTTCGAGATCGCTCCAAGTTAATGCAACTTGATACGTATCTCATTCCGTTCATTATTCAAAGAACTCAAGACACTTTGATCAATGACTGAGAGGTTATGGTGTTTTCAATTCTTAAATCATCACTTAATATATTACGTCATTATTGATCTTGAACATTTTTTATTTCACAGATTTTGATCATTCAAGATTTTACGTTTTATTTTCACTTATTAAGCATTCTTTGAAGCTTTTAGAAAATTATAGATATGTACTTCCAAGTGTGGCTATTAATATCTTACGAATCGTACGAGCCCTAGAACTGTCGGCAGACATGTGTTTTTGTAAAGTAGACCTGGATAGTGATGACCTCTAGGGTGATATTCTCATTATTCTCTCATATCATTGAATAATTCAAGTTAAACAGTAAATAATTGAAAAAATAATTGAAAATTAATATAATATATATCACAAACAAACAACAACAACAAATAACAGAATATAATTCATCAGGTCGATCGCACAAAGCCCAAATAACTTGTCACAATGAATTTACTTTAAAGTATGCTCCCATTCAGCGATTCAATCGAGAATTTTGTTTAAATAGTGAAATAATCTAGAGGCATTAAATCATACTCGTCTGAATTATGTACACGTTTTTATTAATTTCAATGATCTGTATAGTTGATCTCAAATAATTATCATGATTGTAAATTGTTGTCCATCCTTTGGATTTCAATCAATGAGCTAAATATTCCATCTTTCACATTATTTATTTTTCTTTTGGAATTGAAGCAGTCTCTGGTGATTTTTTCTGCAAAATGAAAAACTCGATTAAAAAAGTGAATGAAAAAGGTAATTTGTGGATTTTGAGGATTTCATAGGGAATTACAGACGAATTTCCACCACCATCGAGTGGTTGTTTCAACGGATTTTCGTTTCTTGGGATTCGAAATGTCGGCTATTTCATTTGAACTCTCGAAACAATTCAAATCATTCGATTTAGGATGGGAATCATATTTCTCTTTCTCGCATTCACAGTTGTTATCTAGAGAGAAGTTTCAAGAGTCATAGTTTAATTTTTACCTAATGAAAGGGAACATTTATTACGTTATTTAAATAGATATATGGATGTCATTAATAGTTTGTAGGTAAGATAATTCGTCCGATGAGGAATATGAAAGGAGTGATGTGAAATGGAAGGTGACGAGGGCAGAACACTCTTGGATGCCATAATACCTGTTCCTCAACGCCTTCAGTTATATTACCAGCCAATGAACCAATACTAGACGCTACACTGGAACCTGTCTCAGAAACTATATTAATAATATCTGAAAACGACGATGGCATTTGGAAAGATGGTAATTCAGGCCATGATATCTCCATTTGTTTCTCTCCAGGCTTAACTAGAATTATGATTCGTCCAATACAGAACATTTCATTTTTTAATTCCATAGGTTAATAAATTCGTGAGTAGTCAAATATTTGCAAAATACTACATAAATTTGACATAGATATGATAAAAACGTTAGCATACCTCCATAAGCAAAATTTATAGCAATGTTGGCATAATGTTTAGCAGCCATAATACCAGCTTCTGCCTGTCTCGGGTAACAAACGGCAGCAACACCAAGAGCACCAGTTGTTGTGTATACAAATCGTTTGAATTTACCACCGCGAAGACTGAATATTAATCCAGTGAGACCACCAATTGCTACAGCTCCAAGTCGCGGTAACGTATTCGTTTCTTCACGTAAGTAATCCAGCATCACTAGAAATATTGATAAAATATTTTTATTTCTTAGAATATTTATTAAGAAAAACGTCGGAGAACTAGGTATATAATGGGAATGATTCTTTTTAATAATTGAAAACCTCTTAGGTAGCAAAATAGTGAGAGGGTATATGGTAAAGTTCAATAGATGAAAATATAATATTATCGTTTTCATATTTACATTGGCTATGTTCTATTCCTGTATTAAATTTATCACTGACGGTGCTGGTGACGGAATTGTATTCATTCAAGATGTCTTGAATGTTTTTTCGGACAGCTCCGAATCCATGCTCCAAAAAACCTGCCGAATCTTGATCATTTGCACTAGAATAGAAGAAGTGGTTTCTTTTCTAATCAACTGGTGAATTATTATAATGATTTGATAAATGCCACAATTGCATCCTATTCGAATCAGTCAGAAATTGTTGTAAGAGTCAAAAAATTTAATAATGCTCAATTTCACACGATTTCTTTTGAACCCAATTTTTTATACTCCATGAATCTGCGAAAACTTTTTGGTGCAGGTGGAATATTTTTTATTTTTCAAAATGGGAAATCCTGGAAATTGTATTTTCTAGTTTTTAAAACGTAGTAAGAAGTAGTGGGTGAGTACAATGAATCGTGAATTACTTGTGATTTACCGTTGGACTTGTTGATCTGGTGGTGGGTCGTGTACGTAAATCGGCAATTCTGAGGGACGAATCAATGTTTTTGGTAGAATTTCGTTGCTGGACTCTCCTGGTTTACCAGATGGTGTAGATTGGGACTTAGCCAGTGGTACTGCAGCGTATAGTCCACCCGGCATGAGGATTTTTTTCAAGAGCTTTTATTGATCAAAACATAAATTTTGAAACTTCGTAACGATTTCTTGACATTCTATTTCATCATCGGAGATATATATTTATGTCATAAATCAACGTTGTAAAATAATGAAATTGAAATGTCAAAATAAAGTGTAAACATTGAAAGAATCATGGCTTTTGATGGACTAAGAAATACTCATAATTGGTGCAGCTGATTCGATTATCAGAAATAGTAATCATAGATTGACATAAAATATTAATTTTTTTCATGAAAATAAATGCTTGTGCTCTAACCTTCAGCTTCATCCCCTGCATGTTGACAGTTGTTTGATGCACAAATAATTTTAATGAATAAATTACAGCCAATAAGTAAAGCAAATAATTCAAATTTCTAAAATAGTATTAATAAAAATCGTTTATGTCCAGTCAAATTGATTTTTCATATTTATAACTCAAAATAATGTCTCACAAATATTCCCAGATTCATCAAGCCAACTTTTAACAACGACATCTGGATATCTGCATGTACCTTTTGATGAAAATAGAGGTGCCAGCTTGTTAGAATTTGAAAAATTTTAAATAATCTTTTTACGCATTTATTAATAGTAGAATTATTGTCTGCTACTGTAATACTATGAAACCTTTACACGTCTTTCCTTGATTGTTAAATACCTAATGGGAATTATAGCCAGAAGTTAGGAATAGCAATCTAATTTCAACTGCAATTACCATCAGAGTATAAAAATTCAATTTTAGGTCTTTTATTGCGGGCTATCCAAATTTTTATTCTCGTATGATTGTGTGATAAAGCACTTGAAAGGTCGGGAATTAAATTCATTTAGTGCTTTAATCATCGAATATTACCATCGAATAGAAGCGATAATTCATGCAATTAGGTGGGAGAAATAATCTATTTAGAAAATAAAAAAAGTCCACAAAAAAAATATTTTTACTAGTCCACGTGCGTAATTGGAAAGATATATATTTATAGAAAGATCTCCTTTGAATAATACTTTGATTATCTATTTATATTGATTAAAAATCGTAAAAGCGGTAGTCTACAAAAAAAGGTGTAAAAAATATCGTGCCATCTTCAAACTTTCCCGGTTCATTGTTTTTCACTCACTTTTCAGGTGACGCCACTTCATATAGCCAACCAAATATACAACTATACTATATACATGTACATCACGCATCGCAGACGTTTGTCATTTGTCCCGTCTGACTTGACGATTTTCTACAAATCTGGATTGAAAAAAAAGATTCGGCAGGAGTTTATTTAGCTTAAGGGACAAAATGACTTCTCTAGTTTCTTCAACATCAGTTGAATTGAGTTCTTACCGAGATCAACATTTCAAGGTAAGCAAATTTTTTCAAGATAACCTATGATGAGAGTCCCAGCGGTGAACCGCCAGTCTAAGGAATCAAATCTAATGAATAATCTCATCTGATTGTCAATATTTATTTAGGGTTCGCGTGCCGAACAAGATAGGCTACTTCGGAATTCAACCACCCTTTACGTCGGAAATCTATCTTTCTTCACTACCGAAGAACAGATCTACGAATTATTTTCAAAATGTGGTGATATCAAGAGAATTGTTATGGGTTTGGACAAATACAAAAAAACACCATGTGGGTTTTGTTTTCTCGAGTATTATTTGAGAGCTGATGCTGAAAATTGTATGAGGTATGTTAATGGTACGAGGCTCGATGACAGAATAATTCGAACTGATTGGGATGCTGGATTTGTAGAGGGCAGACAGTATGGACGTGGAAAAACTGGGGGTCAAGTAAGTTTAAAAGTTTATTCATTTGCAAAACGTATAAATAGTTGGCCAATCTCTACCACAGCCCTTAAGGGTTTTTTTTGTAAACGTCGATGAAACCCTGGATCAGATCGATGTGAAAAAATATGCCCTTTTGAGGTTTATCATTATTCAATGACTTACCAATTGTCATAGTCATGCGTTTATTTTTTCAAATTAATGGCAAAGTTTGCTAAGCATGTAGAAAACTTCTAGAATAATCAAACTTCACAAGATATTGAATAATAATGAAACATAAAAGCGGTATATTTTTTTGTGTAAATTTTATCCACCGGTTGTCATAAATGTGTGAAAATCTTGAAAATTGAGAGGATATAGCGGCAATAACTCCTACTCCCTAAGTAGATCTTTAACAGCGAAAAATTGACATAGAAGTTTTTGAAATAAAAATTTCCGGTATGTAATCACTTCATCATTGATTAAAGAGGAAATCCATGCAAGGTCCTTCTATATACAATACTTTACTAATCACCAGTCACTTCCCAAGGGAAGAATTATTTGACAGCAAATCAATTAAATAATTTATTCATAAAGAGGAAATAAGACTTATACATACAGAAAATCCATGTTTTGCTGCGAAATACCAATTGAGATGATATTTTAGGAGGAAAATATTGAATGCATGTAGTGTAACCATTAAATGAACATTGAATCATACTAACTAGAATTTTCTCATGCAATGAATCCACAGAGGGTTTATGCGTCATACCACGCTCATTTTCCATTCACAGAAGTCATGAGTCGAAGCTAAACAGTGCTTACAATACAGATAACCATTCAAAGGCCATTATCAATTTGCAAATTGCGAAAAACTTCTGTATAGAATGGCCAATCAATAATTTTATAACAGTAGAATACGTCTAAGATTAGGGATATTGAATAGAAGAAAATTTGCGACTCATTCAGCAGTGAAAAAATAAAACCATTTATCTTGCTTAGCTTGTATTTATATTGCAAAGCAATATCTCTGAAGCTCAATTATATCTCTGAGAATAGCTCAATTTTCTTAGAAACGTGTTTAGCAACTCCAACTCTCCTATTTAACGGAAATACGCAGAGAAAATTCCTGATTTCTAATAATTTTTAATTCTAATCATTACTGAATGATCCCATACATCACACATCCCAGCGTTAAATTCTCCCAGAACAAGTTGCAAGGCAAATCCTGTTTTCTACCTTGAATTTGTTAATTTTCAGGTTCGTGATGAATATCGATCTGATTTCGATGGTGGTCGAGGTGGTTATGGAAAAATCCTCCAACAAAAAGTAACTCCAATGGGTGAAGGAGGTTTTACACGATAATATAACACTAGAATTTTGATACATGCTTCATCCGTAAAAAGAGAGATGAGATTCATACTATTCATGTTTATATTGTACATTTTTAATTCGTAAGTTCATTTAGTTCACTATTCACGATTTTTTTCATATATTCAGTGTTCGTTGGACAGTGAAATTGATATTCAGATATACCTAATTATCTGTTCTTCTGAAAATTGTAATTAATCGTTCAATATTACATGGACGCTATGTAGAATAAAGTATAGACAGAGGCGATATAGTTTCATCTACAATACTTGTTTACTTTCTTCATTAAATATAAACGGAGCATTCTTGGTCAAGCGTAAAAACATTAGTGTGTTGAATAATGGGAGTAATTTCGAATTTTTAGGAACAAACAGTCTTTAATTGATAATTCTATAAGGTGAAAATTCAAGGGATATTTCCCCGAGAATTTTAAAAAGTATTTACAGTAGAAGAAATTTATTCTGTACAGTGAAGGCACATCAAACTGTACTTGAACAAGTCTTTGGTCGTGGCTTTCTTTCATCAAACTTGAGAGAAATTCATACAATAATCATTCAATTCCTATGAAATTCATAGGAATTATTCTCCAGAAATAAGGGGTAATACGATTTAAAATTTAAATTAATTAATCTCAATATCCAAACATAGAAACATTTTGATTCACAGTATGCAGCATAATTTTTTTCCCGGTGGTTTTTTTAAAACTGCTCTGATTGCTTCGATAAATACCATTTGGAGGTTCTCTTGATTCATTGCCGAACATTCGACGTATCTGGCTGCTCGAATTCGTTCTTTCATCTTTTTACATTCCTTCGGTGTAATTATTTCAGTTGTTGCTTGATTTCTCAAATCACCTTTTGTCCCTAGAATTACAGAGAAACGTTGAATTGAGTAATTGGCTCAAAAGAAATGATGGAATACAACTATTCAAATATATAACTTGTATCACTAAGTAATGGATCATTTAATTTACTCACCCACGAGAACAATTGGAACATTAGGGCAGTGAAATTTAATTTCTGGATACCATTTACTAAAAATATTTTCAAATGAACTTCTTGCACTGATTGAAAAGCACAAGAGGAAACAATCCGTCTACAACACAAATAAATGTTTTATTAGAGTGACAACTGAACCCTGAATCAGGAGAGTACATAGTATCTGTATATAGATAGATAGATATTAACCAACATTTGGATATGAAAGTGGCCTAAGTCTCTCGTAATCTTCCTGTCCTGCTGTGTCCCAGAGTATCATATTGAACTCCTGCCCATCCATAGTAATATTATCTGAGTAATTGTCGAACCTGATAAAACGAGGTAGAAATGAAAATACAGTCATTTCATTCGTAACATCATTGCGTGCCTATTTTTCGCTATTCAACGTGAAAAATGCTTTGCGGATAAAAAAAAATCGAGAAAGAGAGTGGAAAAGACACAAGGATTTTTATTGTTACGTGAATGGTTTAATGATTGAATCAACTTACACAGTGGGTACGTACTCCGTGGGAAATTTTTTGTCAACGTATGTGATGAGGAGGCAGGTTTTACCTACCATACCATCACCCACTGCTGTAATTTTTATTGGTCTTAAGCGAGATGCCATCCTCGTGTCTGAAATTAGAGAAATGTGTATTAATAAAATACCAATAACAATTTCAGATTTTCCATAGAAATAGGTTTTCGAAAGGGAAAAATAGAGCATGTTGTCCGTACATATACAACTGTAAACGATATAATAGATCCGTGCATGTAACTGTTCAACTTATAACGCCTAATGGCCAATGCCCCTCAACAGTACATTTCCTGCTCGGATGGCGCGATAACATCTCTATATAACCATCATTTTTCCTAATTTTATAACATAATAGCTTTTAGCTTTTTTAATCTTTCCCGTTCTTTTATGCGTTCCATTTTTCCCCTGCTATTATTTTATTAACTTCAATTCAATTGGGGTAAGCGGTCAAATACAAAATGAACCGTATTTCGAATCATTTGACATTAGACCGATACAATTTGTCACAGTATTAATTCAGTACTTAAACCAAATGAATTATAATTTCGGTACAGAATACTCAATTCTTAATAAGAACAAGCCCGAAAACTCAGCCTCCCACTGTATTAATAAACAATTTCGAATAAAAATCTTTAAGGGACGTTTGCTCTCAAAAGTTTCTCCAATTATTTTGTACACTCAATGATAGTTTTATCATCAAGTGATTTTTTCTAGTGAAAAATTAATTTTTTGTCAAGTTTAAAATTATTTCACTGTATTAATTACTGATTTTGTGAATTCTTATGCAAATGCAGGAAGAGAGTCGTATGAACATGAAATACAAATCTATCACATCTATGGCGTAAGTTCCAGTTTTTTAACGTAAGATTCAGCAAATTGTAGCGTTATTGGTTTGTCTAGTTGTCAGTTGTCTGAAAAGGAAGCAAACAGTGTACTGGTAGCATCCGGTCACCCTTCAAGGCTATCCCTGGATTATACTGTCATGGATTGGTGTGGATTGCATATCAATTAAGTCTAAGAATACCTCTAATACACTCGTATGTATTCACATCGTTTATCAGAATTGCCAAAATATTTCAATTGACCGGCACTTCCAAAAATTCCCTTCAAATTAATCAGTCTCAGAATAAAACAAAAATCTTTGCAATTTCATTTATCGTATTGTGGATAGGAATGAAGCGATTTCACAATAGCCCACAACCTGTTGTGTCTTTGGTCCGTCACGTTTAAATCGAACTGCGGGGAGAAAGCGAAAAAGAAAGAAAGCAATCTCCACAATGCGAAAGATTTTGGAAAAAATGGATGTCATGGTAACATTTAACTGATCAATTACTTGACTGCAGCAATCAAATTACGACAAACCTTTTTTGCTACCACTTTCGATGCACATCCATGCAACCTTGGCGCAATAAAATGTGATTAAATTTCAAGTCTCTTTTGAATCTTCCGCTTCTCCTTTATTTTTCCCTGATGTGTGCTTGCCGTTTTTTTGACGTCATTGCATCTGTAAAATACCAAGTGCAAAAATTAAAGAACTCGATAAAAAAATAGGGTTTTTCTTATGATGAAGGGATCACTGATAAGAGTCTGTTGTGTGTGGGTATACTGATATATAATATAATCATTAACACATTCTTTGGGATTTCGAAGCACGCATGGTTTTATCTGGAATAACTAGAAGGACGATAATGACTCAGTCGTGACTGAGTAGAGATACCAGTGTGAAATATTTCGAGATGAAAAAAGGTCTTTTCAGCATTATTCCTAGCCTTGAGTTTCAACTAATATTTTTTTAATGGAGTGAATGAATGCATAAACAGCACTATAACATTTTTATGATTACTTCCATCATACACGTATACTCCCAATAATTGCTTTAGTAGAGATTAGTTATCCTTAAACCTCAACTGGTGATTTTACACATACGTGCTTCGTGGATGGTAATAAAATTCAGAGAAACTACAAGAAAAAAATGAGCCGAAAAATGAAAATATATATGATATAATCATGTACATAGCTTTATATTATACTTAATATATAATACAACAAAAGTAGAATTCTTTGGAAAATTAGTATTAGACAGTGAAATTTATTTACATACAATATATTTACGAGTTTTGAAATATACTTCCAATCCGAAGGTACGTACGATGACAAATCATTCTCAAAGTCCTTTGTCTCGATTTAATTCAGAGATATAAATAAATATAAATAAATATTTAAACAAAAGGAATCGTGTAAATACCACAAACTGCCCTTATTTTTTAATACATATAAATAGTGAAATACAAAATAAGAAAATTTGAATGAAATAAGATTGTCCGATCTGTTCACATATTGCATCTGTGACTCAGATGACATGTCACGGCTCACGGCGATCATAATTGGTTAATTAAAACTCACGCCTTTTGACACGATGAAACGAGAGTTATGTGTTTCCTAATTTGTACAACAGCCACTACCCACACGCCTGGAAAAGGTCAATTACCTCGCAGGTCATACTTTTCTCCAATATCTCCAATATTTCCGCATTTGCCGAGTGATGAAGAATATTGAGGGTTAAAAAACTAATTGCATAAAATACAAAGATTCTACGCATTTGTAAGACGGCTTGATATAGCGTTTCGAAATCAAATGCAAAAATTAACAGAATTACATATACAGGAAAAATTACGCTGGCCACTCTTTCAGGCTCCATTAAATTCTCTTCAATGAATCCAGTTGAATTCCTCGAATTAGAATATTTGTTTAAGCGTGACATTAAATAGAAATTACATGTGGGAAGTGTCATGGGATAATATTTAACGAAATTTTTAGTTTATAATAAACATCGCTTGATGAAACTTTTCCACTTCCAAATAGTCTCAAGGATTGAGAATTAAAATATTTATCGTACAATTGTTACAAACATCATTGGCTTCACTAACATGCTTGTGCACCTATCACAATTGTTTTTTTTTCGCACATTCTTGGGGAATGTTATATTATGCGATGTGTCCTTTTTCAAAGCCAATGTGTAGTATTGAAAATTCCGATCTAAATATGGGCCATTCTCCGAAAAAACAAAGACGTATAAAATTTTTTTTTATTTTAATTTTGCTGAGTTTTTTGTGGGTAATAGTAGGTAATGGTTTTCATGAATTTTTTCTAATTTTTTCTTTCAAAAATTCATAACTTCCCGAAATATCTATTGAATAAAGTTTTTTTCCTTTTGAAATTTCAATTTTTAACTATATTTTTATTTTCAAAAAATACTGCAAAAATATTGATCAGTTCTGAAGTGATGATTTTCCATTTTTAAATACAAATTACACGATTTGGGTGGAGCGGACACTTTCTTTTTGTTTTTGAAAAAATTTTCAAAAAAAGTTGATTTTTTGTATGAATTTGTACTTTTTTTTTCATCATGGGGAATCAATTCCTTCTATATTTTCTTCCAGTTTGAACATTTTCATTGTGTTTCCTTCTATTCTGGAAACTCGATACTTGATTTATTGTATGAAAATGTCATTAATTTTTAATCTCAATTCCCACATTTGCATACTTCAAATTTTCGAATTAGCACTACACTTCGCTCTTTCTACACAGAGAGAAATATTCAATAAAAATCACGTGTATTTTCCGTAATTCCAAAGCGAAATGTGGTTATCGGAAATTTTACGGAACTGTCACGTAGTTTTTATCTAAAGTGACAGAATTTCTCTGCGGTGCTCCGTAATTTTTATCTGAATTACTAGTGAAAAATTACGATACGGTCACTTAAATTTTTTGAATCGACTCCGTAAAATAATATTATTCGGGTTGTTCTAATGAGGATTTATCTTTCATGTTCCTTGCAAATTCCGGATGATGTGCAATTTCGCATAACAGAAAAACTTCACTACTCTCCGAAATATGATGTATTCGCCAAGGATTCCCCGAAAAATAGTGATTTTTACATGAAACTTTTGAGTTTACTCCGCATCAGTATCTGACACATTCTTATAATCAAATATTTTTAAGCATAGTGCACACTTATGCTGCAGAAAAAACCGTGATAAAATGAGGACATGCTCAATTGAACTAAGCACGAACGAACAGAAAATTTCCCAAATAAATAATGAAATAATGAATAACCTTCAACCTATATAACAATAATAAATAGTTTGAATAATTGCATGGGTAAAGTCCTGTTTTTCTACTGGATTTCTTCATATGTATGAAGCTATAAGAAATGCACCCAGTTGTCTTTCTTAGCGTGATGATGCATCGCAACGTCATGTATTGATTCACTGTAGAATGATTAATTGGGCTTGTAGGAACAAGTAAAGATGATGATTCTAACAATAATATTAATACGACGTACCGCGAAGAATTATTGTGTTGACAGCGTAGAACCGACGCCTACGTTTAAGGGTGTGTCGAGTCTTTACCATGAGGGTAACATAATTCATTAAATTATTGTAAAATTACTATTTTCCAATAGGAAAAATAATAATTTCATTAGAATTCAGTTGAGGAAATAGTTGAATCTATCTCAGTGTATTGTCGCGTTTATCTCTCCGAAGCTGAAGAATTTAATCATATCCTCGTTTATGTTGGAATTGTGACCACAACAGTATTCACTTATCATTTTTTTCGTCCTGTTTCATCACTCCGAATAACATAACGACAGTGAAAAAATATTTATTTTTCAAACTTTAGCCATTGAAATTCCAAAAAAATCCTCATTCTGTATTATTCTCCATTATACATCACAAAGATTGTCTGATGGCTCGTAAATGATAATGGGTTTGCGATAAGATAAGGGTTTTAAAACATGACGAATTTCCACGTACGTCACCTTGCGACCAATTCCATTCATCCAACATAATTATTCTGCAAATAATCCGTTCCTCGTACATACGTAAAAAACACTGCCAGCATATATGATCCTCCAACTTAACTATGACTTGTGAAATTAATTGACTCACCAGAACTAAACATTGAGTAAGCCTCTTCTTCATGGTGTCATCACCAAAATGAAGTCACCAAAAATCCACGTATTTGCAGGAAATTGGTGTGGATGGAACGAGTGAAAAAAGTCAACACAGCAAAGTTAGAAATAAAACGTGGAATTGAGTGAACAGTGTGGACGGTGCGGAGTACGCACGAAGACTGAACAGTGAACACTCATGACTGAACATGTTTATCAACCACTAGACAGGAGCACATATACATATACACATGACACGATTTCGTGGCCGATAGACTCACACACTACACTACACTCTTTTATCCAACCTTGTTCTATACTTTTTATACAAAAGACATACCCACACTCCTTTTCTTCTTCCGCCTACAATCTTTATTATTGCCAATATAAACAATACCACAAGTTATTTCTTCTTTTATTAACCCTTAAAACACTGCAATTTCACTTTTCGTGTATTCACCTTCCATGAAAGGATTATTTACTTTTTTTAAATCGCGTTTTTCCAAACCAATCATTTCTCCACCAATCTGATTAGCTTTTTATTATGACAATTATATCGGTATATATAATATATAATTGTGGTTTGCATGGTTTTTTTCTAATCGACTCCTCTGATGATGTGTTAGTTTTTTTTTATTTCGTATTTTCTTGGGAGAAGAATTTCCAATACGTTCTTGAGATGTAACTATTGAGAGAGTACACTCAAGGCTATAATTATCATGATGATTTTCTACGGCAAAATTCGAGGAAACAAATACAAATATTTGTTTTTAGTGTGGGATGAAAAATGATGATGTAAATTCGAAATACAAATGCAGTGTTTGAATTGGCCATCAATTGTTTGACAGATATGGTACAATAGGTTTGATTTGCATCATAAAGTTTCAGGTGGAACGACTTGTGTGTATTTTTGGACCCTATCAATATTCTACACCCCTACCCGTTTTCCCTTTCGGTCAAGAAACACTCGAGTTATGGTGGTAACTGGCAAGCCTTTGATGATGCATCCTACTGAATCAAGGGTATATTAATTTTTCCCTTTTTTATCTTTTCCTCAGGAAGGTGGGAAGGTTGATGGGTAACCGATGGGAAAAAATAATACTCAGAAAACTGAAGAGAGATTGTGGAATACAGTTTGATTTTGATCATATCATAAAATGTACGAAAAATGAGAATATAACGGCGACAAGGGCTGGAAGTCTAACGATGCTAAACTTTATCCTATTATATATGTAAATAATCAGAATTTTTAAGAAATCTTTAAATTAGAATTTACTCCAATTTATTAATCCATTTTTGTTCTTTTTTTTTGAAAATTGAAAATTGTTAATGAATCTGTTAATAAAAAAATCATAATAACGCATTTATTACGTCAATGATTCATGATTGCAATTTGTTTACAAAAAAAGTAGAGATCTATATTCGTGTTCATTTGTTATTTCGATTTCTTGTATTATTTATTTTTCAAATGTCTTCGTTTTCCAAATTTATCGCGAATAATCTTCATTATCGGTAGGGCATTATAATTGGATAATAAAGTTCATAATTTTACATACGGAGGCGCCAAATTACACGGACATCGGGAAGCAATGGAAGAAATGAATATTGCAAGGAGGAAAACATTGTCATTCGCATTCTGTGACAAATGACTTAGGCATTTCATTGAGTTTCCTTTGTTTAGATTATTAAGCAAATCCACTATACACTACTGATTTTATCACAAAGTTGATTAAACACTCAACAATGTCAAAATCTTCGCGAATGTCTAGTCATCCTCTTGAACTTATTGGCGGGGATTTTAAAGAGGGAGCAGAAAAGCTCGTGAACGAGGTACTCATTCACTCATTCACAATTTTCGATGTTCAATATTTTCTATCCAAGCTAATGTATCAAGCAGATTCGTTAAATTTTTATTGATATGTAATTTCAAGGATAAACAATTGAGTGGTGCAGTGCAGAGGACTGTTACGACATTGAAACAATACCAGCACCGTGAAGTAAGACTCTTCAACGATATTGCTAAATTCGAATTGTCGTTGAATCTTTTGCGTGACAGCAATCAGGGTTTGACAGAAGCCATTGCTCAGAAGACTGTGAGCAATGATGAGACTAAAAACCACATTGATATTCGTGAAAATCAAAATGATAATGAACGAAAAAATACTCGGTAATCTTACAATATCAAATTGCATTTTTAAAGGCGAAGTCGTATCTCTAAATTCACATTTTCCATTTTATCGTATATGTAGAGAAATAATTTACGATACGTATTTTAGAGAGGATCTGCAAAAGAAAGCTGCCTTTTATGCTCGTCTAATGATCGAGTCTCAAAGTGAATATGTAAGTTAGAGAAAAATTTCTAGGTTTCATCAATATTTTAAATTCTATCAATCGTATAGTAACAATTATAATCTTTTTAGAGTTCAATCAAATTAGAAAATGATACGAATTTCTACGAGAAACAATTGGCTGTGATTTCTTCTGAAGTAAATAAACTCATAAGAGAAATTGGAGCTTTGGAAAAGTCTGCGACATTTTCTTCGTCACAAGAGTTCGCGTATGTTTTTGATCTCAATAAATTAATGTAAGTGATTCTGAACTCCTTGAAGACATTATCCATTACTGAAGTACAATTTTTGATTAATTTAATTGTTTGGGGAATTCTCGATTTCTTTAGGAAAGATGAAGAAGAGCCGATGATACGTGAAATGAGATCAAAAGATAATGTCCAGTTCATGCTTACACGAGAAATTAAACAAACTAAACATGAGATCTCTTATCTATAAGGGAGCGTCAATGACGATTACTAAAGAATCATTATTTCATTTTCATCTAACTCATATGAGTTGTAAATCCATTACTCACTTGATTTGCGATCAAGCATTTGAATTGCATCGTTATTAGAGATCATGAACCTGATGAGAAGGGGAAAAATCGTTGAAAAAGAAAAAATAGTTGAAATTTACAATATTAATAATCTACTCACTTGGGCTGAAATTATTACTAATCAATTGATGTTATATTATTTAAGGCTCGGGTGGATTATCTAGAAAAGATAATTTACTCCGAAATTCGGATTCCTAATTACTTTGGCAATTAATAGTTTTTTTCAATGATTGTTAGCTAGCGTTCTAGCGGTTGTCAACAACTAGGCCGCTAGCTAACAATTATGGGAAAAAACGATTAATTGACGGGGTAATTAGAAGTCCCAATTTTGGAGTAAATTATCTTTTCCAGACAGTCCATCCGGGCCTTAAAAGAACAATTACGAATAGAATATTATATTTTAAGAAGCGTGAAAAGTTAACTTTCGAATGAAAAAAAAGATATGCTGAAGTCCATTAAAAAATTGTAAGAACCGAAAAACAACTGACAATAATAGAAAGTGACATTTAGGCTTCCTCAAATTCTTGTGTTTCCAAATATCTACTAATTATCGTATAGCCTACAACATTATTTCCAGCCCTTATGACATAAATTACTCAGGTATAATTAATTAAGTTACCTATTCTCTTCCAGTCATATTGTATATAATAAAAATATTTATTATAATTTTCGTAACATAGCTCGATGTTTCTCTTTAAGCCAATCTTCGGGATAAGAACGGAAATAAAAAAAGACATTCGTCAAATGTCAGATTATGTTCGATCACCAATTAACCATCAAAAATAATCAAAGATTTGCGTGAATCATTGGCGCCGCGATTTATTTTTAATTGTAAAAATTTTCATCTACTAGTTTTATCTCACAGTCATAGTTTCGAGTAAAGCATTTAATTTCTCCTTAATATTTGGGACTAGTATTACTTCACATATTAGTTTCACCAAGGTAAAATAATGAAGGTAAAATTCATATCAAGTTTATTAATGCCAGAAAATAGAAATTATAAGAAGATAATATTGAATATGACAGAAGCGAAGAGTGAGTAGTCACCAATATTCTCGTTTCGTTAAACTATCTTCAAAGCCGGGAGAAAATCGAGCCTCAGATTCGATTCTTCTGCGGAATAAAGTCTCCCAAGATCTAAAGCGCAAGAGACTACCCCAAAATGCCAACCAAAAGAGACAGTTTCGTGCTCACCAAGAACACGAATATGAAACACCATTGACACAAAATCCATATGACTCCTTAAAAACACTTTTTGATGTTAAAAAAACAATAAATTTAAAGAGCCCATCTCTTCAACTTCATGAAGCAGATGACATAGCTTCTGACTCGTTATCTTCAAAGTATTCAGACTTTCTTCCACCAAATTTAGAAGCGCAGTTTCCAGACCAGGTAACATTCTATACCAATGTTTCACCTAAACCAATGACTAGTTAAGGGCCGGATGGAGTATCTCGGAAAGATAATTTACTCCAAAATTGGGATTCCTAATTACTCCGCCAATTAATTGTTTTTTCCGATAATTGTTAGCTAGCGTTCTAGTCATTGACAATCGCTAGAACGCTAGCTAACAATTATTGAAAAAAACGATTAATTGCCAGAGTAATTAGGAATCCCAATTTTGGAGTAAATTATCTTTTCCAGATAATCCAACCGGTCCTTAATTTCTCCTATTTTCTCTATAGTACTACCAAATTGACTTCAATTACCACCCGACCAACAATCAGGTCCAACATTCTGCCCTCAATTTCAACAGTAATCTAACGTCGAACATGGCAGACGAAGAAGAAGGTCTTGCACAAGATAATACTGATCTACAGGAATCAAATGTAAAAATCGAAGATTCACCAGAGGTAACTGAAGAGGACAATAAAACTGCGGAAATCTCAGGCCCTCCAGTAGAGGGCAACGAAGAACAAGTAGACACACAAGAAATAGAGGACAATCATGGGGATGTATCTGGTATCAAAAATGAAGAAAGTGACGAACCTCCTTCAGAAGCCCAACAACCGCAAATTGGGCAAGAAGAGGAAGAACTTACGCCATTAAAAATTGAAGCTAGACCACCTGATCATCCTATCCCCCCTGGAGTAGCTGAAGGTAATCATTCTGCTGCTCTTCATATCACTTATGAAAAATAACAAAAAGATTGGCCTATAAAAGGGTCTAGCCGGATAGTCATGGTGAATCTGCCTGCAGCTAATTTCAAAGCGCCATTTTTTTTAATATATTTATGACTCACAAAGATATTTCTGTGGAAAATTTCAGAACTTTATCTTGATTCCCAGATTCTTAATAATTAAAGAACATGTTCTTTCATTATGTTTGAACATTTCAGATAACTGAGATAAATTTTGTTGAATATTTTTTGTAGATGTTAGTGGTGAAAGAGCCTAGTGACTTAAATGTTCACAAAAATTTGCGCAAATGCGAATTTATTTCAGGGGTGGAGATTCTTCCTGGGCAACGAACTGCTTCTCTCGTGAGTTCATTGCCAATGACAGATTCGGGAATGTTGGCGGAAATAACTGAAGCTAGAGAGAGATGCAAACTGATAGAGGAGGAGATTGATATGTTGCAGAAAGAATTTACAGAATTGCAGCAAGTGAATGAGCTCGAATAAGTTAATTTCTTATGAGTCTTACATGAGTCTAATTTGAGGGTTTTTATTGAAAATTCAGAAAGAAGATTTAACGGAGGAGGATAAAGTAATGGCCAGTATCAAAAGCGATCAAATAATAGCAAAAATGAATGAATTGGAAAACATGACAAGAAAGCTTCAAAGAATGTTGGGACTAGGAGATCCCACAAGCGAAGAGTTTGCGAAAATTTTCGAAATGTTTCCTGCACCACCTCATCATAGGGATGAGGTACTCTCATGTCACTTTCTTCACAGAGGCCATTTATTTAATGAATCCTTTTGAAATATTCTAGGAAGAAGATGGGAGAGGGTCTACAAGACAAGCAGCTCTCACCTGCAAAGATAAAATTCTCCTTGAAGAATCAAAATGTAAATTCGATACGTCAGTTGATGCAGAAATTTCGGGAGAGGATGAATTCGATATCAGGCCCCCTGAATTTCCAGAAGATAGGTGAAGATAAATTCCAATTTTTGTCATTTTTACAAAATACTTTTACAATCTTTCTAATATGAGAAGCATTTTGAGTGCTCACTATTTAAATATCGAATTTCTGTCTCCATCATCTTACTATTTATTTCAAAAGATTACCTAGGGTCATAGTCTGTGGTTACACCGAGGATAATATCCCCAAAATTGTCGTTGCTGACAGCCAAAAGAAACCTCGGTTTGAAGAATTGCAGCGTTTGAAGAATATCACCGGGAAATTAACTGAAACATTGAACATGCAAGAAAAATTAGCTCAAGAAAATGCTCACTTCGAGGGTAACAAGTAAGTTTCAATCTCTAGTATTAGTCTCTTGTATTAATTTGTCTGAGAGAAGAGATGAAAATGAAAAATACAGAGTGAAATAGTACATCATAGTACAATGCTGATGAAATTATTTTCAGAGTCATTTAATTATAATCCTTGAAATTGATAGCATTTCTATTATTGGCGATTGGAAATTAAAAAAAAAAGACAAGCTATCGAGAGATCAATAGCTAGTAACAGTAATTTTATTTTGGAATGTCATATACATAATCGTTCTTGGAGATATTTCAATTTTGAAAATCCTGAATTTATCCTCGAAGTTCTCTCGCCGTTTGATATGCAGACAAAAGCAAATGAAAATCGAACAAAAAACAAAAACACAAGGAAAAATTCACAACCTATCAATCAGTATAATTCTTCATGGACTTGCCAACAAAATTCTAATGTCTGTCCAGATATAAATTACAAGAGGCCCTGCTTGAAAAGGATAACACCGTCGATCTCTTGCAAAGAAAAGTATGTGGTCTTCAGAAGGAAATGCAACTTTTGATGAAAGAAAATGAACAATTGGGCCAGCAATTGCTATACATCAATAAACGAATGAGTAATTCACCTTGTTGCAGCAGTCCAGGAAATTCTCCGAGAGTTGTAGATAAATCTAGGAGATTTTCTCCCGAATGTCAACGTCCAGACAGCCATAGCTGCAAGTGTTGTCCCACTAACCGCTCGACACTTCCTCACAGTTTATCTGCATGTGGTAGTCTTCCTCATTATTTGAAATCCAAATAAATCAGTATCAATGAATGCGTGACTACAGGGGTGAATTCCATGCATTAGTAACATTTTTTATTTTTTCATTTTTAGGTAGTCCACGTGGTCCAAATTCTGTAGGGCAGAGTAAGTAAGAATAATTTTTGCCAATTTCATATAAAAGAATGTTCAAATTTCTGTACACTTAAAAGGCGACAGATAAAATCAATAATTTTTAGTGATTTTGAATCATCATTATTCATCATTCATGTTATTTTTACTCCTTGTTTAATTAACCGATGTTCATTGCAATGATTGGTATGTTTGTATAGAGACTCCTCGACTTGGTGGTGGTAGTGATTCAAGAAAAATCGTTAGTATTGAAAATCCAACGATGTGTTGTAGAAATCCTGCAGTTTCTCCCCGAGGTGTTCTCGGTAGTCCACTTCCTCGTGGGCCATGTCCAGCTGAAATTCAAGACAAATTAAATACTTATGAAACGAGCACGAAACAATTGGTGAATTGAAGGCATCTGAATCAGTCAATGGATAAATGCTCATTGAATTATTGAATTGTTTGCGCAGGAACAACAATTGGGTTGTATGGAGTCAGAAGTTCGAAGCATGAAGGTCGAATTAGCCAATGTTCAACGAGAGAGAGAGCAACTGGAGCAACAGAAGAAATTACTGAAATGCACTGGTCCTTGCGCTCCTTGCCCATGTCCTTCTCCTCAGGATGGTTCACCAATTTTTCAATCGGTCACAGGTGTCTCTTCTGGATATGATGGACAAATGCTCTCAAAAGTGAATAAATAATCAATAATTCATTTGAGACAACGATAACTCAGTAAAAAAAATTAATGCTCAGATAGAATTGAAATGCAGATGAGTATTTAGAAATATGATTACTTTCTTCATGTTTAATTCATGAAATTCACCTATAAAAAAGTTGATCAATGAATTTCCATAAATTTCTCGAAACTTGTTCATTTGGAAGATGTAACTCGAAATAAAATGTGCTCATTTATTTTCTATCATCTTACCTCATGTGACAAATCGTTTAAATAATTGTGAACAACTATTAATGATTGATTTTTTCATTTCAGACGAATAATCCAGGCATAGGCTCCTCGTGCTCGGGGATCTGCATAGACCAACCACCCGTAATTTTTCTTAATCCCACGAATTTAATGAGAGTACTATAATAAATAAATGAATGAAAACATGATTTCAGGGCGCTAGCAGTTGTCCACAACAAAATCTGCGCGATCTCCGAGAACAATACGCCCGCCTTCAAGAAGATTACAAGAATAAACTGTGTGAAGTGTCCTGTCTCCGGACAGATTTTGAAAAAATCAAACAGGAGAACCGAAAGATTCGCGACACCAAGGAAAAAGCTGAGAATCGATTGGTCGATCTTGAGGAACGGTTGAAAAAATTTGAGTCGGAGCGGACTAAATTTGGAGGCAGTAGAGAACAGATGATTGAGGATAAACATCGTCTGATGGTTGCAGAGCAGCGACACAAAGAAGCTCTCGAGGAGCTCGAAGAGTTGAGGCTCTCTAATCAAGATTATATGCTCCAGCTTGAAGATTATCGAAATAAATATTTAAAAGCACAAGAAACGGTGGAGGAGCAATCAAGGCAGTTGGACATGATGGAGATAGATAACGCACGGATGAATGAGAACGTTACATTGGAAATTGGAAGAGTGAAAAATCAATTTCAGGAGAAATTGGCAGAATTGGCGCCTCTCCCGGAAATTCTTAAACAGGCACAGTTAAAATTGCAAGAGTGCCAGCAGATGCGTGTGCTGGCTGAAAGAAATAGCGAAGAGTTGGACAGAGAACTTCTTGGAGCTAAAGACAAAATCGGCTCCTTGTCTAGTCAATTGGATAATCTTCGAAGTGAAAATGCAATGCTCAAGGTTCGTCAATCATACGATCTTTCAACTGTATGCAGATATATTTTGCTAAAATTTTGTTTTTATTAAATGGATGGATTTTTTCACAGGGGGAGAATGGCTCTGATCGCCTAGATGACCTCGAAAATAAAATCAGTGAGTTGAGAAACGAAAACGAACGCTTAAAAAACGCTGTTTCTCGATTCGATGAACGTGAAGCTGACTACGAAGAAAAATTGGAGCAAAAACTACACGAAATAGTACAATTGAGCTCAGAAAATGAATTAGTACGCCAGGATGCGGCTAGACAAGTTGCAAGGACTAAGGAGAGGTGTGAAACTATTCGAAGAGCGATGCAGGATCAAATTGCCGATATGGAAAAGCAACTGGCACAATGTAGGGCAATAGCAAAGGCTGCACAAAAAGATAGAGACGAAGTAAGTAATTATAAAACTCCACCAAAATGGAAGATATACACAGACTTATTATCCCCCAATAGTTTAGTTGTAGATAAATGGGAATGTCACATTTTTCAGGTTTAAAATTATTCCCATTGGAAAGATAATGATGACATGTCTTTTTCAGATCCGACAAAAAATGCAAGGACAAATCAATCGCTTGAGTGAATCCTTCGAGCAAGCTCAAGGTCGTATCCGAACCCTTCAAGGCCATGTCAATTATTTGAAAACATCTTACAGCAACGTTTTCAACCCTCCTGCCCCCGAAGACGGTCTGACGCCGTCATTACCTCCAGAAAACATGAGTTCCAGTCCGTACGATAGATGTGATTGTGCTCCTTAATCTCGAGCTTACAAATAAAACTGGAAAAAGGAAAACTGCAGCCCGATATTTTTTAAATTAAACATAAATTCATATATATAGTACTGCCAAATTTTATGTAAGCCAATTCTAAGTTTTAAATAAATAGAATATACTCTCGACACAAAGGATTTATTTCGGATTTGCACATTTCGTCCGCATGTGGAACAGAACAATGCTGTGTGTTCTTATTTCAAGATATAAAAAAAACTGTAAAGAGTAAAGCAACAGTAGTAGTAGTTTCATCTTCAATTAACGAAAAAACTATGTCTGTTTTATCAGATTAAAAATTAAATGATAATATGTAGTTTGGAGTTTTGAGTTTGCTTTCCTCTGCATCTTAATGGTTATATTTTATTTATCAATATCCACATGTCAACCATTGATGATATTATTCTTATTTGAAGTATTTTCAGTTCTCCTCAGGAGATTAATGCCGGAAACAGAAGACTGCTTATGAGGCCCTTTGAACTTCAACGTCGGCGTTTGACCCTCATACACATAAAAAGCGCTAAACAAAAATTCTCTGGCTATTTACAATTAAAGCCAAGTAGACAAGTATCATTCCAGATTTCTAAGGAATGAAAAAATAAGAGAAGAAAAAAGTAAAATTAATTACTGAAATTGACTCAAAATATTCGTAGAGTACGCAAGCTTAAGATCACTGAGCGTCCATATTACAAAGGGTATTCATCATTTGAAATAATGTTCTGGACCTCGTATTTATTTTCTCCACATCAGCCATCAATTGTTCAAACTGCAGTTGAAAATCTGCCATTGAATTGGGGGCCCTAGAATTGTTTTTTAAAGATTAGTAATAGTTTTAACAGTACTAATTAATATGTGGCAAATTATTTTTCTATTCTATACCTATCGCTATTGGAGGAATGAAGCTGATTTTGCAAGCCAAGGTCATCATCGGCTGTAACGCGAATGCTTGGTATCGGAGCATCGGCCTGTTGGAGATGACCTTCATCTTGAGTTGTAGTATGGGGATGGCGACAATCACCACAGCTCTTCAAAAAATCACGAAGAATTCCGCGGACTCTTTTACCTGAGAGGCGACGTCTTGTATTCTGCAAATAATTGCATCAACCATCTTTTGATACACAATATTTAATAACCATTCTATACGAGTAGTCATGAAGAAAAAAGTTTCTAATTAATCCCATAATGAACGGTGACATTTTTGGGCATAGAAAAAAACAAAAAAAAATAGAATGAAATTTTCAAAGAAATAGTTATGTAATCCATACTTCTCTTGATTACTTACATCAGACGATTCGGAAGACCCTGACTGCATAAGGGGTACACTGTCTCCTACAAATACCGATTGTCCATCGCTATGAATTCTTCGGCGCGCGCAATTATTCTCAACCCCTGGATGACAGGGAATGTCTACAGAGTTACAGCGTTTGGGTACATGACAGCAAGCCTCCTCAGTATCACTAACCATCGTATGAGAGGGCATTTGATGACTGCACCCTTCATTTTGTACATAATTAGCACAGGAATGTTTAACATGAAGATTGGCAGGATTGGAGACAGATACCCCTCGGTAACCTATACTGTTCGCTGCTCCACAAGAGTGCTGAACAGTCCCATATTCGTAATCATTTACACCGTCATTGTGAATGCAGCAGATAGGATTTCTGGGCCTTGTTTGAACGGCCGCAGCACCAACTTGTTTTTGAGTGCAACTCATGCAATTTTGAGGCCCACGATTTTCTAAATTAGGCATACTACCAAATGCCCTGTCCACCGGATCATCAAATGTTCCTACAACACGTCCCATCACTGAGCGCAATTTTCTAGGTACTCTTGATCGAAGTCCTGACGTTGGCGTCAACGGTTTTTGCTTTTTATTCGTGGAACAAACAAAATGACTTTTTCTCATTTTATCCACTGGGGTTTTTGCCCAAAATGCACTACTCTCTGGGGGATCTTCCTCCAAGTTTTCGTCAACATCATCGGAAGTTGATTCATGACTTATCTAAATATTGGCAAAATCAATTAACAACAAATGAATGATTTCCATAATTATGATTGCACATTCTTTAAATCTATCAATGCGTTTTCTAATTAATACATCAATACCTCAATGTGGTCAGTGGACACTGATGGACAAGAGAGAGAGAGAAAGAGAGAAAAGTAAGGAAATATGATATTAATGGCGCAAAATATAAATAAAAAGGAAATTTCTATTGAAATATCTAAATTAAAAAAAAACCCAGCGACTGTTCTAAAAGACAATCTAAACGAATATTAAATGAACTTACCTCTCTGCCCCAAATATTGAGAGTTCCATTAGCCTCCGACATTCTAACTTCAAGGTTAGCCAACAAAAATGGTCCACACTCTCTGACTGTTGTTCCACCATTATTATCAAGTTTCGTTATTTCTTCGGCCTGCAGCAAGAAACTTCTTTCCTTGCTGTCCTCATCCTCTTTGTAAACATAACATTTTATTCCATCTTTCATATCAATCTCTTCGACGTTAACATCATCATCCGGTTTATTTCCATTATTCTTCAGACTATTTCGAGACGAGCTTGTCTGGTCCATCGTTGTTTTATCTCCAGCATCTGTTTCATAATCTGAATTGTATTCTCTCCGTAATTTAGTACTCAGGAGGGGCATTTTGAACGGCTGCGGACCAACAGCAGACGTTCCATTACTATCACTAGCTTTACGCTTTCTCGAGCGATATTCATTCGTTACCAGGGGACTGATTGGTTCTTTTAACTGACCTGGATGGTTACTCTTTCTGACACCAGTATTTGGATTTGCGGGATCTGGTTTACCCTGGGTTATGTTAGCAAGTGTTTGCAAGATCCTCGAGCTCGTATAGAATGCCTGAGATAGAGGACGATTTGCCTTTCGTGGAGTTCCTAGACAAAAACTCTCGTCTGAATTGAGAATGCTACCGACGTTCGGTGGTTTGAGTGAAACCGAAGGACTGCAGTTGCTGTCTGTCCATTGCTCCATCGAACTTGGACCCGAAGCGATGCTGCTGTTTGAAATTTTCTGCTGTGGAACCTTCAAGTGGCTTACTGCACTCTTATCAAATACTGCTGGCAGTGCTTCTGTCTGAACCTCAGCTACTCTCATCTCTTTTGATTGTTTATCCTCTTTATCACCTTTATGATATTGAGCTAATGTTTTTCTAAGCTCACTCAGTTCTTTCTCCAGTTGAACATTCCTATCTACAAGCAGATTGTAATCGTTCTTCAGCTGAAAGTTCTTGTTTACTACTTTCTTGTAGGCTTCCTTGATCTCATCACATTCTACCATTTTTTTATTCAATTGGGCTTTCAACAGAGAGATCGCTGAGTCCTCGGCCGAGTGCTTCTCAGTTATCACAACCGTTTCTGAAATTGTTTCCACTTGTTGGATTTTCAGAGGATCAGGAGCTGTTGACGAGTTTTCAAGAGCAGGCAGTTCAAGAGGGTCTAATAATTTCTTCTTTTGGGTATCAGTCTTTTGGCCTTGGTTTCGCTCGAAGTTACCCTCGAGGAAGTCCTCATATGACACTGATTGGCAATTCATTATCTGCTGAACGTCATCTTTACCGTTTGTCAGAGTCTCGTGGTTTTGTTCTTGGTAACCTTTGGTGTTGAGTAGAGGCTTTGAGTCAACCGTTGTTGTGTAGTCAATCAGCACACCATTGGATTTCTTGTCGGACTGACGATGAAGTTTGTCCTCGTGAATTTCATTCTCTTTGTCAACCTCCATTGGAATTGTGTTGTCGTGAGACTTTTTCAAGTTTTCACCTGTATCAACAGATATTACATCGGCGCCATTTCCTACCAGATGACGGTTTGCTGTCATATCCTCGGCACGAGTCGGATCCTCAACAGTCATGTGCTTCATATTACTCTCCATGTAACTCTTCAACAGACGACTCTGGGGATTCACTCGAATATCTGTCTCCATGTCTATGTCTGAAATTCATTGCATTGCATTAATTAAATTAATGCTTAAAAAAAAAGCATAGACTGCATATTACACGAGAAGAAGGATTAAATTTGGGAAATTGCGCAGTTGGGTGCAAAAGCAACTGCCAATAGAAAGGAATATCAAAGGCTGATTTAAGATTTTTTTTTTGGAATTTAGGATTTTTTTGAATTTACAAAATTAACGGTCTTAACCAGCCCTCCACAATATTATGACCCTCTCTGTGTTAATAAAAAAAATGATTATCTCACCTCTCTTAATTGCATTAGCTAGCTCTCGATTGACATCGAGAGGATCTCTGGATCTCTTTTGCCTCGATAAGCGACTCTGCTCCTTCATCCCTTCAATGTACTGCTTGACTTTGCTAGGTACATGCGCATACTTGGGTCCCCCCAGAGAACTCCTTCGCTGTCCACCAAGATTAAAATCTGCTCTTCCATCCAATTCGGCTATTGGTACATGCACTACATGAAACTGCCTCTTGCTATTGAACTTGCCACTTGGGCGATTGGGGCTTGTTAAATCTTGTAGTGATCGGCTTCGCTCTTTAGCCGTACCATCGAGTGTTTCTGTATGACGCAAGTCAAAGTCACCAGAAGATCTTTCAAACTGCTCAGCCTCCATTTCGCCACGACTGTAGTCCTCGTCGTCACCATGGCGCCGCATGTACTCTTCATCTTCGTCCTCCTCTTCCTCTTGTTCTTCTTCATCATCATCGTCGTAATCCCTTTCTTCCTCTGTGAAAAGTTTTTATAAGTTCAGTGTGATTACTTGATTGGAACATGTGTTTTTTCAATTTAATTATTCAAATTGTTATAAATTATTGGAGAGTCTCTCTTCATTGAATATTGTTTTCCCTGCTTTAGGACTCACATGAGACACATGATTTTTGGCAGTATTAATTAGATTACCTCCAAAAATATTCCATATTTAAGATTATCCTTTCACATTATTCAGCAACTTTTACAGCCGTGCGACTATTTTTCTAGATTCTTCCTAAATTCGTCAAAATTTGAATGAATTCCCCAAAAGTTTATACAAAATTTAGGAAAATTATTGGACAATAACGAACTTATGTGAGATTTTTCTGCGTCAATTTGATTAAGAATTTATCAGAAAAAAAAGATGATAAAGCACAATGAAATGCGATCAATAATTTCCCGAAAAGTTGGCCAAAATAAGGAAACAGACTAATAAATAAAAGCCAATGATTTGTAAATTTAGCAGTGGATAATTAATGGTGAAGGGTAATTCCCTGAGAAAGTGTAAATTTTACCATCAGATGTGTAATCATCTTCATCCTCGATTGGATCGAATCCCCGATCGCTCTCTTCCCCCGATGAGACGAGTTCGACAACACTGCTGTTGCTTCTGTCCCCCTCGGAATTGTGATCGCGGGGTTCCGGCTCCTCAGGGGTGCCATCAGCCTCCGATTGAGGTTGTGTTTGTCCATCGCTCTCAATTCTCGAATCATCGGGTTTTGTAGAACTTGAAATGCTTGTTGCCTCCATGTACGACGGCATTTTTTCATCTTCAATGGTCTCACCCTCGAGCATCATCAATTCTGTATCCTTGTTACATACCTCCACCTGATCCTGGTGAATTAAACCCGCATCCGCATCCACATCCCGAACCGCCTTCACCTCCGGAATATCCTCGCCCACAGGCGCTTCCGGTTCCGCTGACATTATTTCTCCTTACCCCGAAAATATTATCAATTCTCTCTTTTCCACTGTGTCCTTTTGTGAATAATAAAATATTCGTCACTGCGTCCCGGCCCCGATGAGGAGTCGAGCCAACAGCCCGCCGTTTCACTCGTTATCGTCCGCCATCATGGCGGCACTTTTCCACACAATAAAACTCACTGTGTGTACGTGTACATTCCTTTTCTCATTACTAACTGCTATTATATTATGTGTACCCCGTTGTACCCTTAATATGTTTTTTTAATGAAGTAATAAAATATTGGTTTATTTGCATTTATTCACATCGTAAAGAATTTGCGTTTTTCTCTCGTGCCAATTTTTCTTTATCTATGCCAATCCATCGGACTCATCGCACTCAAAAGTACTTGTTCACCGTCTCGCTGAATGATTTTTTCTTTATTTATTTATTATAATATTATATTTATGGTGTTTATTGATTGAAGAGACGTCGGAGAATTGGGAGGACAGACACTATTCTACTCGTCAGAATTTCTGATTCTGAATGAATTTTTAGAATTTCAGGAGAAAATTGCCCACCCAACCATGTCGTGGTAAAAAATAAAAGATTTTAGTGAGGAGCTTCTGTCCTATTAGGCCTCATCGATATATCTATTTTTTTAATCGATTTGGTTCGTTTTTGTTTACGACGAAGAGCAATGAAAATACATAATTTATCAAAACAGAAGTGACCAAAAAGGCGAGTTTTTTTACATTTCGTGGATAAAAAACTGCTTTTGCTTATTTATATGAGAGCAATCTAGTCATCGCCATCGTAGACTTGCTAAGATTGAAAAAAAAAATAAGGAAAATCTTCAAATGAGTTCACAGTATAAAATAGAGCCGATACTTATTTAGAGCGGTATTATTTCTCGAATGAAGTTGGATTTTTTATGAAAATATAATTGAGAGAATTTGAATAGCGGTGTAATGTGGCGCTGAAACATGGGAGCTTTCCAATGCCATCTCCTGGTGTGAAAGAACATCAGATCCAGCCTTTCTGCCCTTTCTGCGCAGACTTTTGTTATTGTTATTTCTTCTGGTTTCCTTCTAGAAAAAAAAGTCAAAGTACGTCTCAGAAGCACCTCTATCTGCCACCGTATTATTCATGTTATGAATCGTGGAGAATAAATACGTGTGAAATACTAGAAAGAAGGATTACAACGTCAACGTTATTTATTAATTATTGTGATGTTTTGTGAAAGTTATATCAAGGTGAATCTATTTTCAATTATTAACGAGTGTTTATCATTTGAATTTTCAGTTGAATAATATATTTTCGGTAGTTCGTTACCAACCACGCTGCATCATCGTGGTTGACAATTTCGAACAGACGTCAGACGTTTCTACGTATTGCAATATTCGGTCCATTGTTAATACTTTACATTGTTAGATCAACTTTCATTGATTTTTACTATTATTGAGATTCAAATGTGGTAGCAATAGGTGAGAGTGTAGTGGAATACTATCTAAAAATGTGAGATATTTTTAATTAGAATAGCCAGATTGACAATGGGTGGGGATAAAACACCAAAAAGGTCATAATCCTGTTTATTTACGTGTTTTCTTCATAATTATGCCTTGTCTATACCCTTTTTCCTTGACTTATTCATCTTTTACACAATGTATTTAACTACGCCACAACATGTGTTATCACTTACACATTAGGGGACGAGAAATTGGCACGAGACGCAATAAAAACAGATGGAAGGAGAAATTTATTGATTCAATATTTTCAAATCCAAAAGCTACGTTCAACCCAGGAAAACTTTTCCGTGTTTAAAAGTTTAAAAGAACGTCTATTTTTTTTTCATTCCTCATACAATATGTGTATTTAACCAATGTTATTCGTTTTCGGAAGTGATGGTGATATGAATTCAAGTGAATTTATAGCGAAAAATAACCAATTCAAACGATGAATTTTTCTTTCAGAATGCCAATACAGGCACCACAGTGGACTGAATTCCTCTCTTGTCCCGTTTGCTGTCACGACTTTGATTCAACAACACGTGGTCCAATTTCCCTGGGATGTGGTCACACGATATGTCAAACATGTCTCGCTAATTTGCATAGAAAGCAGTGTCCATTTGACCAGGTAAATAGTCCTTGAATTACCCAAAACAAAATAAACAGGTAAGAAAGACTCCTGAGCAAGGGAATCGCGCAATATGATGAAATTGAAGATGAATCCACTGATTTTCATTCTCGCGTAATTCTCAAAAATTTTAATTGCCCATTGAAAAAAACAGATTGATTATCACAAAATGCGGAAAAAAAATTCAGTGTGATGCGATCTCTTGATATTTACTACTATGCTATTATACTATCCGCTACTTTGGTCCATTTACCGAATTATTAAAATGGTTCGGACGTTCAAATGAAAAGCAATTAAGAACAAATAATACTTTAATAATAATAACAATAACAACAATGACCTCTAAAGATGAGGTGTTTGGCCTCTTCGTTAGCGTACTGGCCCTATGATCAAATCGTCCCAGTAGCGCAGGTATGGAGTTAGTTATAAGTTAGTTAAGTTCCAATATACGATACATAGGTGTATCTAGTTTTGGAATATTTCAAGTATTTCGGGAGGGGGGAAAATAATGGTTTGCCTCTCTGTCCGTAGAATGCGATTAAGACGGAAATCGAACGTTTACCATTGAACGAAGCCCTTCTTCAATTGGTGGGCAATGCAGGGCCCTCGCGCTTTAGTTCAGCTCACCTGAAGCTTCTTCCCCCTGAAGATCATGCCGACTATCTCGCGGCAAAGCGTTGCATTGAAGAATTGGCTCTTTATCTCAAGCCATGCCAAGCAATACCAGCAAATGGCACGGGAATGGGGCTCGTATCTCGTCCTATGCAGAGAAAACTCGTTACTTTGGTCGGATGTCAGTTGGTAGAACCTGAGGGACGTGCTAGAGCTGTCCGGGCAGCTCGCAGCCTGGGGGAGAGATCTGTAACAGAACTAATTCTCCAACATCAGAATCCTCAGCAACTGAGTGCCAATTTGTGGGCAGCGGTGAGAGCACGAGGATGTCAATTTTTGGGGCCTGCCATGCAGGAAGAAGTCCTCAAACTCGTGTTGTTGGCACTTGAGGATGGATCTGCCTTGTCCAGAAAGGTTTTGGTCATGTTCGTCGTACAAAGGCTCGAGCCACATTTTCCTCAGGCCTCCAAGACTAGCATTGGACATGTTGTTCAGCTTTTGTATCGAGCTAGCTGCTTCAAGGTATTTTATTTATTCCTTATATTTCATTGCAGTATTAATCATTTGTTAGTAGTTTTCACATTACTCTTAGACAAACCATTTTTCGAATTTATCCATTTACTTTTTGAGTCATCTCTTGCTGTTGATAATTTCATAAATGTAATAGTTTAGAAAATATTTTCGGGACTATCTGCATCTTCACCTTCTGTTCGTTGCCTCTTCAATGCAATGGGAAAACCAAATGACAACATTAATTATTGTATTTTCTTCGTTAACTATTTTTAATTATATTGTAATAAAATCACAATCTTTTAAAATAATTCAGTGAAGACATAAAGACTGAGAAATCCATCTGTTACTTTTTTACGACTTTTCCTTAGGGGAAAAAAGGTAAAAGCGTACTTGCAAAAAGTTCTTGTGAAATTCTCTTCAGAAACTGAGAATAATATTATAAAAATGTAAATTTATCTTACTTCATCTGATGGTTGCATATATTTTTTTTTCTAACAATTTTTCCAAGCAAGTAGGCGTTCTTTTTGTTTTTTCTTTTATATGAACGGTTACCGGATATTGCAGGTATGTGATAATTAGAATGTTGCTTGATTGCGTTACGCGAAAAATATGCAGCAATTCTCATTCTAAAACCGTGAGTTAGCCTGCGACTTTATTTAATCAACTATAAAAATTAGGAATGTTTCGAAAAGGGGAATAAAAACAGGCCGGTGACCGAGCCTATTCCGCAGAATACACGTGACCATTATTTTATAAAACATAAAATTTTATTGGTCTTTATTATTTTCCATCGCTACGAACTCCATAATTTCGTAATAAGCTTCCAAATGGAAACCTTGTGCCAAATTTTAAGTTGATCTATGGAGTTTTAGAAAACTGAAAGTGCGTACAGTTTTTTTAACGAAAATCGAAAAATTTAATTATCGCGAAAATTTTTTATTGTAAGGTTTATACGTTTAGGTTAGATGAGATAGAGGAGATCGAAATTAAAATTTCGAAAAAAAACAATGATTGAGATTTTTTCGAGACTCACGAAACTCACGAAAAACCTTGTGCCAAATTTCAAGTTGATGTATTGATTTTGACAATTGACAAAAAGTTGAAATCGATTGGATATTCAGCCAGATATTCGCAACAAACGATTTAGAAACAAACTTCGGTTTCTCTGAAGCCGCTAAACTAACAGGACTGAAATAGAGCATAAAGGTGGTCTTCGATAATATCTATAATTTGACAAAATTCCGAATTTTTTTTATATATTTATATAATTTTTTTTTCGAATATTTCTTTCATTTTTTAAAAGTTTATTATCAAACGGGCCAATAGATGATGCGGATAGACACATATGGTGTTCAAATTTTCTATTTTCACGGTTTAGGTCTTTCTGCATCATATCCAAACAAAATTCACATTCAAAAATCGAAAAACTGAACGATTTCAACGCTTCCATTTGGAAGCAAAACCTTATCGAGACCTAGCAAAGTTCACGTGAGCTTTTGCTAAAAGATACTCCCTTAAATAACATTGAATTTTTTTTTTGTTTTCTCATTGAAAAAAGCGAGGAATCTGTAGTTGTATAGTCTTTACTTGTATTCTTCACTTTCGATTTTCCTACGATAATGAATTAACGAATTAGTTTGAAAAATAATGAAAACAATTTATTTTCATCTTCCCAAGAATTGTAGAGCTTCGCATATTGTCTTCAATAATTATTGAATTATTAACTAAACGTTAAAATGAACATTTAATGATTTAAATATTAGTTCAGTAAAAAATAATTTTATGATATTTATATGAGATGGATTCGAGAGAAAAATTTAGTTTGAAGTCATTCGTAAACCGAGGCAGGCATCCATATAGACATAATTCATTTACCGTTTCAAATATACTATCATATTGAAAATAAATTTACCCTCAAAATCAGTGAAAAATATTCCATAGTAGCAATGAAAGAGTTAATCTCCATGATTCAATTGATGGTGTGAATGATAAAAAAATATTGAAAAAATGAATGCAGGAATTGATGAAATTGTCAGGAGTGCTAATGGCAAGATATACTCACATGTACTTGACAAATTATTCACCGGGAAAGAATATACTTATCATGCTTAATAAATAAAGAGTAATCATTATGGAATTTTATGATGAATTTTGACGTCTTTTCATAATTCCGCTGTGCGAACAGAAGCTCACAGGGAGAAGAGAAAAGGACAGAATAAATCAGTGATTGGGCGAAGAAGATTTCATTCGATTATATATTATATTATATTCGATTATATATATATATATATTTTGGAAAATGTTGCTTTCTCACTAAACTAGCACAACCAATACGTTGGCCATTAACAATTACCAATTAATGTTCTCCGTGCATTCCAAGGTCTCGAAAAGAGAAGGAGACTCATCGCTTATGCAACTGAAAGAAGAATTCAGAACATATGAGGCCCTCAGACGAGAACACGACGCTCAGATAGTTCAAATAGCAACTGAAGCTGGATTAAGAATAGCTCCAGACCAGTGGTCAGCATTGCTGTACGGAGATATTGGTCACAAATCCCATATGCAGAGTATTATTGATAAGCTACAAACACCACAGTCTTTTGCTCAGAGTGTACAGGAACTGCTGATTGCGTTACAAAGAACACCAGATCCAGGACAGTTAAGTAGTCTGAGGCCGCAGTTGGAGTTGCTCGCTGCCATTGACCCAAGTCCAGGTGAATAGCCTCTTTATCATTTCCAATGGCTTTGAATTTAGACATACTGAAACTTAATAGCAACAAACAAGCCTCAAAGTCTATACTATCTTTTCAACGAAAAACGAAAAATTAATAGCAATGCTTACAGAAACGGAATTTCCCAGTTGGCCTACAACGACTGCAGTACTAGAGGCAGTAAAAATTGTTGTAACGGCCCTCGTTGACTACATACAACAGCATGGAAGTAGAAAATCACAGGAGGGCATTCATTCGACTGGTCCTGGACAATCTAAGTACAAAGTCAGTATGTGTCGCGATTTAGCACTCAGAGGCTCTTGTCCACGTGCCACTAATTGTACATTTGCTCACAGTGATATGGAACTTGATAAGTAAGTAACAACGTCTTTAGGGAAATTTTACTCCCACTATTTTTTTCTGGCTTTTCTCAAAAATAAAAATACTTTTTCATAGTTAATAAAATAACTGATGAGAGTAATCGGTTTTTATTTATTGCAGATACAGATCGAAGAATCGAAAATTAAGTATGAGATCGAGTTTGCAGTTGAGTGGAAATCTTGACGGAAAAGTAGAGAAAACCATAAGCCCACCGGTAAAAGGGTTGAAGCAATGTGATGACTTGAATTACCACTCACCCAAAACAACGGACAATAATCGTATTGACAATTACAATTCAATCAAAGTGAGTGCTCTCCAGCGTTCAGTGAGCATTGAGAATAATTTAAGTGCTTCAATTCCCAATTATGCTGTCCCAAATGCCCAATCTATTGCTGGTAAAAACATCGATATGCATTACGTCGTCCATAATACTGCGATAGACTACAACAATCCGAGCATTTACGTATGGGATTCGCATCAAATGGCACCTAGTCCGAACAGTCTTCCTAACAACACCAGCAAAAAGCAGAGATCAGTAGCGAAAACTTTGGCTATTTTATTCCAGAGGAGGATGGAGATAATTAATCAATTGGGGAATATTGTAAGCAAACCGCATCAAAGTCCGCATCAGATTAAAATGAATTATGATACTCAGGGAGAGGTAATGCAGGGGAATTATTCCATTTGGGCTAATGGACCATCACAAATATCTCCTGGCTCGATTAATTACGGAAATAATTATCGACGCTCCGATTTAGTTTTTGATGACGAATTTGTGCCACTCGATGCATCGCCAGCTAGCAAATATGGCCCTATTTCTAGGCTACCAACAAAATCATTGCTCAGGTAAGATGCATTATGATCACATTATTATTTTAATTTCCCATTTTCTTCTCCCTTGGTCCTTCGCGTTTACGGTACAATAGGGTAAGACAAAACACAAAAAAGTTTTTAATCAAACTAACGGACTCATTAAATTATCTAAATTTGGATCGAGAGGATTTTTATGCAGAGCGACAATTGGACTATCGTTATGAGATTAGTTACATCTGTTACATCTGTAAGAAAGAAGGATTTATTTGGTACTAATAATTTGTCATTTTAGGCCCACAAATGGAGTCCCAGCAAACGGTCTCCACATTGAGGGAATGTCTCCGTCAATTCAAACGATAAGACAAATTCCATCAACAAATCCTCTAGGCCCGTGGTATTACAGTCAACAGCCCTACCCAACGATCGGAGCCAATTCAGGGATTACCACAGTCCCCACTTCTGAGATTAATGAGACCTATGTTACGCTTGGACCCTGTAAATTGGCAGAGTCACCTGCAAACGCTCAGTTAACGAGACAGGACTGCATGTCGAAGGACTTAATTCTGGAATCACAAAAAGTTAAACAACAATTGAAGCATCTTGAAAAAAAGATTAATGACCTCAAGCTGGCAACACAAGGAGCTGCTTTCAGCGAGGGTGAGAGGCTAGCACAAGAACTTCAAATGATTGAGGCTGGAATTCGAGAGAAGGAGGACGTGAGGAATTGGACCCCCTATGGAAATGTTTCCTGCATGCAAACTGTTAATAATTTGATGCCGAATCAGACTGTCAATCATCCTATTGATAGAGATTTTAAACCTGATGATGTAAGTTTATGCTCTGAAGAAAAAAAAACAAACAAACGTAACTTAACTTAACGTAACGTAACGTAACGTAATGTAACGTAACGTTTGCTTAAAGTATTTTGAAGATTGAACCGCGGACTCTCATCCTTGAAAAAATGAATGCTAATTATTTTTAATCTTTGAGGGACTTACTTCAGAGAATATAATTAGGGAGAAAATTTGGATTTGTAGAGCTGGGAATTGATAGAGCTAATGAAATTATATATTGCTGAAGAGATGATGATCCATTAATCAATTGCATTGCAGGAAGATACCTACGAAGCTGATATAGCAAACGATATGCGTGAATTGGAATTACGCTGGGACTTTGAACTGAAAGAACAAGAGAAACGTTGGTCCGACGAGGAGGACAACGTCAAACAGTTATAGTATGGAATTTCTATAGGTACGGAAATCATAATAAATTCATCAAACATATTATTCCATAACATCTATAATATTCTCCGAAAATAAAATCCAAGAAGTAAATGATCAATTCCACCCTTTTTTGTTCAGTTGTGAAAAAGGTAGACCCAGACGACCGTGAGCTGAGAAAAAATTGAAAAAAAAAAAGAAAATTATGGACTGCATTGCTTTTAACCCCACAATAATATATATAGTACTTAGAATTTCCGTGGTATACAGATCTGCCTCTAATGGATGAAAGAAACAATGTGATATTTGACTACTGTTCATCTCCAACTACTCTGAGACTAATATCGTTTTGCTTTGTTTTTTTCATTTTATTAAACAAATTTCTATTTAATCTTTGAATTTCTTTAGACATTAATTTTGATTCGTACACTAAAACTTCTTCAGCTTTGATTAACTATATTGAAAATCTTTACACGATTTAAAAATCAACATGAAGACAATTTAGAATCTCTCAAAGTAAACAATGATTCAATCTCAGGGTCTGTCGGAGATATTCAATATTTCATGTGATCTGTACAGATTGCCAGGCTGCATGTGGCTAGAGGACGAAAAAAACGTGATGATGACAAATCTTTTTTAAATATGTATGAATTTATTAAAATTTAACCGAAAAGTGAGTGATTCAGAAGACGCAAACGAGATTGAAGTTCCGTCAATGTTTTTATAAAGATGAACATTATTATTTATTTATATTTCTTTGAATGTCTCGACTAAACAAATATCAATGATAATACTCGGGACAATGTTACTTAATTGATTATTGTTGTTACTGGGATTGCAGCCAATCAGAGTGCGCAGTACATGAGGCTGCCAAACAAAATTTTGTTGGATATTTTCTCAAAGTTTTCATCGCATATTCTTTAGTAGCTTTTTAAATATCTCTCATCTTTCAATGTGGTTTACGTTGACGATTCTGTATGACAGATAAAACATAGTCGATTATTCTCAACACGATTGAATAATGTTACTCTAGAGGATTTTCTTATTTTTTTATAATCATGAATTAACGAATGGTAATGTGAGGACAGCTTTTGACTTTATAGTTGTAAATGTATTTGCATGCAGTAGCACACTCCGCTTGGTCGAAATCCGAGTAGATGAATAATCTGTCAAATACCACTCGTACTCCGAAATTAATCGCATATTTTTTTCAAGCCTTGTAGGCTAAAGATCCCGAATGCGAAGCACTGGTGGTAGCACTACTGGAAATTCGTGGTTTGCGACAAGAATTGGCATTTAAAATTAATAACTAATGATAAATTAACATTTGACATTGATATAAGGTAAAAAAAATTTTCACTTTATTTCTAATTGTTATTATTTTATTGATGATTGTAGATGTAATTGCCGATGCAAGATCTAGTTGAATATCCGGTTTTTTTTCATTGATTGTTGTTCACATCTATTAGTATATTACGCTAGGAGGGGGTTAATTTTATTGTTACGTGTGTGAAGTTAACAAACCGCGTGAAATAGTATTTTTCATTCCTAGGACGGAAAAAGTGAATAATTTTTTTTGGCCATGGCTATGATGTTATTTTATAATATCATGGTTGTGGCCGAAAAGGTGTTTTATCGGCCTCAATGACATAAAATAAAATTAACGCCCGAGTAGCGCACGTTATTACAAATTTCAGAGTGCAGGAATCGGCCAATTACTTCCTGTGTGTAATCGGCCAGTTACTGCACGCTGAAATGTAGAAATAAGGTGCATTGCAATAACGTTTGAATTTATAATATAATTTCCAATGACTATGTAACGGTAATACTTATAGCATCAATATTGAGAAATTCCAGTTTTATTGGAAAGTATCATGTAGATTCATGGGGAGGAATTGAGAGTAGTGGAAAGTAACGTTTCCTTTAACTATATTCTTATTGATACCTTACTTTGTTATTTTATAGAAAAATTGTTTTTATCAAAGTGGTCACCATGGAGAATTACATAAACAAATTTTATGATGTGGATTCAATGAATTCAAGAATTGGCGATTGGAAGAAACACTAATTATTCAATTTTCGAGATGTAAATATTTTTGGAATTGAACAATTATCGTTCTAGAATAGTCATGGTGCAATTCAGAATATTAGTTTTTTCTTCTGAAATTATGAATCCGTTTTAAAAATTAAGCTTTGATTATATTTTTGTTTAATTTATCAGAGGATATAAAAGGAAACATGGCAATTTGAATAATTGTTACGACGCATGATACTCGAATAATAAAAGAATACAGAGTTGATGAGTTTGAGTTGTTGGCTATATCTCCTATCGAAATTCAGCAGTGAAATGGCAAATCACAATGAATCAAATATGATTTTATGCATTCCATGGCAAATAAAGTATTTTTCGACTTGTATGATTGTAATATCATTTTTTTCAGAAAATACTTTATTGTTAGGCCTACGCCATGTTAGGCCATGTGTTCTGCTGTTTTTGTATCACGTAAAATATGCAATTATTTGGAATACGATTGATTATATGCTAAGATGTTAAATGAGTTTGTTCGTTGGAAAATTTCTCAGTTACACATAAAAAGTAACGACATTTTATTTTAAAAGCGCTTGCTTTTCGAATTTGGTACTTGAAGGAAGATATTTTGAATCATTACGCTTGATCAATTAATTACAGAATACGATAACGGATATGAACATGAAAGCAAAAGAAGAAAGGTCAATGAATTTATTTACAAATGAGGTGGAAGATGAAAGGGCTGTGTACAATGTGGAAGTAATAAGTGCAACGTTAACGTTTGTGCTAGCTTCAGAATTAATTGCATGTTAAACATGTCACTATATAGGTGTATTGAAGGATATAGCATACACAAGCAATACCTATTGTCAATGGTATGAAAATTTTCACACTTGAAAACAAAGAACAATTGCGTTGTTTGTTTTTAACTCTTAACACATTAAAAATAATAAATAATTATATACATATCCGTATATAATTCATATAAGCCAGTACACTTGAAGTTTATATTATTTATGGGAACAGTTTGAAAGGAAGGAAGACATTTTTTAAAATGATTTTTCATTTACTAAAACCACCTTATTACTACGTGCATTGGTTGCAAGTAGAGACACTGAAAAGTCGAACGAATAATTGTACCAAAATAATAAACATTAAGAATTTTCTCAATTTTATAAAGAAAGAAGTAATGATGAACAAGTAATTGAGTTAATTGTTATAAACTAACGAAATATTCTTGAAACGAGTATGCATGCGCCATACGAAGCCAATTAATTGTTATGCGCTCTGCAGGAAACTATTCTTTCTCAATCGATGTCAAGTCTAAAGAATGTGCCTACTTTTTGTCTATAACTGACATTGTCATTTTTTCATAACTACTACATAGGGCTTACACGTTACAAAAATGAAATGCATCTAATTGTTTTTGTCCGTCGGTTTATGTCTGTAATCGAGTCAACCATTTTTCCGGTGTATATTTAAAAAAAAAACAACTTGATAGATTGTAGAAATGTAATGTTTGGAAGTATAAAAAGAAAAGTGTAAAATTTCTGTATTTTACAAACAAGTGTACTTGTATATTTATATACTCAATAAAATAATTCTGAATAACATAACGCTGGTATAGATTTGTTTTATTATTGGAAAAACATTTATGAACATATCTGCTTGTAATAATCATCTTGCAACATCATTTAATGTTTGTTTATTGGCAATACTATGAGACAGCGATAATAGCGATTTTCAGGGATAATTGACACTTTATCACGACTTTTACTTTAACTTTTTATAGCGATATATATATAGTGAAGAATATTCGAGGTGGAGAATGTTTCGGGCTAAAATTCCAAGAATCCATCGACGGTTTGTATTCAAGCAATCAGCTGTGGAGAATCTCTTAACCCAAGTTGGCTGGGGTACAGTCGGCCCGAAATTTTTTAGTAAGTCCGTGGTAGACCCCAGAAACGTAAAATCACCGAACTAGAAATGCGCGCGCATGATCACCACGAGAATTGATGTTGGCATGAAATTGGAATCATGAGATGTTAAAATTCACAGGATTCCAATTCAGTAGCCATGAAATGTAGCCAGAGTCATTATCAG